CCCGCCATTGAGTCGTCATGGTTTTCTGAGGACGACCACCTTCCCTCCTCTCAGGAAGTGGCTCCATCAGCATAAAAATCATCATGCAATATTCCATCCCACACAAATTAAGAATTTAGAGTCTAGCCAAGTGTAATACATGTCTCGGTGCTCAATAACCGCGAGCACGGCTATTCGAATAGATTTGGTTTACTCACACTGCAGTGGATGTACACTTTATCCGCACTCCGCGACTGCCCAACACATGAGCCTCGTCCCAACACATGAGACGCGTCACGGCAAAGCTTTTTGATAACCTCGCATTGGCAGTACCCACTCCATAAACTTTACATCCTCATGCACTCTAGGCGGAATACGATTTCTAGCAGTGAGAGGAGTTCTGGCGCACCCGGGAAAGGAAGACTCACACATGCATTAAGGTATAATTATGTTTAGATTCTCACATGGCAGTCCTACCGATGGCGACACCACTGTAGGCACCCGCCTCGCGGTCCTACCAAAGGCTGCCCCACCGTAGAGCCCCTGCCTCACATATCAAGAAACCACTATGCATGGATACTGCCTCCGCTCATCTATCTACTCCGCTAGGTCTATACCCATACGAGAAGTGTGGTTGTACGGGGGTCGTTTCATGCTTAACCTCATGGCTCGGTCCTTAACTGACCAGGGACGGCACTAGCCTTTTCCAGACACCACCCAAATCCTACATCCGCCCCAGTTGAAAATAGTTGTTTCATTTTATTTTCCTTTCACCAAATCATGTCATCACTATCATGGCAATGTGGCGCTCATGTCTCCATATGCCGCATCTCAATTACCTTCCCAAAGGTAATTGCCCAGGCATATAGCATTTGATAAATATGAGTATGCATGATTCTAGAATAGCATTTCTAAGCAATTGTCATAATTGACTAGGGACTCATACATAAACATGGTTACAAATATTTAAGGGTAAACAATAATCAAGGCATGGCATAATCACAAGTGGGATGTTCATCATTGCATGCAATTTTATTTGTAAACAAAATAATTTCGCAATTGGGATCAACATGTTCAAAGAATAGTGATGACTTGCCTTGCTCGTAGTCTTGCGGGTCTTGATCCTTGCTCGGATCCACAACTCCCTCGGGCTCTAAAATTACGTACGAAGAAATGATTTGAATTCAATTAGAATTCAAATAAAATCCAAATAAACTCAAATAAAAGTCGAACGCGAATCGATTACTCCTAAGAATCTCCAAAATAATCTACGATTATATAAAACTTTGCAATTCTACGGCTAACAATAATCTACAATTAAATTCTAATTATTTTAAATTTTCTAAACCTCCTTAATCTCTCTCTAATTTTTTATTTATTTTTCCTTTTCTTTTTCTCTCTTCTTTTCTTTATTTTTTTCTCTCTTTTTCCCTCTTCTTCTTTCTTTCTTTTTCTCTCCCTCCCGGCTTCTCCCTTCCCTCTCGGTTCTCTGCCTACCCGAGCGGCAACAGCGACCAAACAGGGGGGGGAGCGGCGGCTTACTGACGACGGCGGCGGCAACGGCGACGCAAGGCGGGGCGACGCATGGCGCGGCGCGGCGGCACCGAGGGCGGCGGCGCAGTGGAGAGGAAGAGAGGAGAAAAGAGGGGAATGGGGTGGGGGTATTTATAGGGGAGAGGGGGAAGAAGGAGAGGGGGTGGCCGGCTTAATGGCGACACGATGGCGGTGCACGGGGCTCGGGGTGACGGCGACGCGCGGCGATGCGACGGCGCGGGGCTCGGGGCGGCGACGCGATGGGCGGGCGGCAGCAACGATGCGACGCGCGCGGTGGCACGGGGCTCGGCGCGACGGGACGTGTGGCCCGGCAGCGGCGCGAGTGCGACGGCGACGAGACGGCCGCGCGGCGGCGCGTAGGCGCGAGGGCGAAGGGCGGCGATGCGACGGCGAGCGGTGCGCGGGGCGCGAGGGCGACGGGCATGCGGCAGGGGCGCGGGGCGCGAGGCGGCAGGCGCGCGACGGGACGGCGGCGCGGCGCGGCAGCGGCGATGGCGACGGCGCGCGGCGGCTCGGGGCGCGAGGCGCGCGCGGCAGAGGAGGGGGCATGGCTAGGAAACCTCGTCGAGCACCTACTGCGCAATGAACAGTGCTAGCTCCTATTTAACCCTAATTTAGCCTATTCCCTATATAAATTTTATTCTATAAATCCTAATTTTTGCACAAATTAAGTTTACTCAATATTTGTGTTATTTCAACCAATGGATTCACCCTGGATTAATATTACCCATATTTTATTTTTATATAATTTATTTGAATTTTAATTAGGGCTAATTCTTATTCCATCGCACTTAAATTTAATTATTACCAATATGGTCGCGGTAATATTCTATTTATTTCTATCTCGCCTAATCTTTATTTTAAATTATATTTCAATTATTTATTTTGCCAATTTATTTTTAGGGTTTATTCCTAATTGATTATTCTTTACTCACGATCAATGAACTCCGAAATCAAATCCAAATAAAATAGGCGAATAAAACCGGCATGATGCAATTTATTTAAAAAGTTTTTAAAGATCCGTATTTTTAGGGTTTCGATTTTGTCGGTCGAATTTTCAGGGTGTTACAGTTACTCTATATTTATCAGAATCACACAAGTACAATATTTGGGATTGTCTATCTAGCCGTCGTCGATATGGTGGCACGAACACCAACACGTAGTCGACGACGGGGTAGTCTTCCTCCTTGAATATAAACTCGTCACGATGAGAGATTGCACTAGATCCCTCTTGTTGGTCTTCACAGGCACCAGATTGGATCTGTCTAGGCTAATCTCTGATGTCGATATCTGGCTTTGTCTTGGCTTGTGTTGGTCTCCTCCCCCTTCTTTAGGGGGTCTTGTATTTATACCCATAGATGTCCCATTGTCCAAACATAACTACAAATACCAATATGGATACAATTTGAGTAGTCCATATAGTTTTCATATAGAACTCTACTTGTCCTTACTTATCTGGAACTCCTTCTATATACGAGTAATAATTCCATATAAGACTGTATATAATGGGCCCCGCCGAGTTTAGTCGATTACTATTGGGTATGTGGTATCCATAACCATGATATATACACTGTTTAACAAAATGAATAGACCACTAAAAAAGTTATAGAAGTAATTTGCGAGGACTGTAAATAAAATAAAAAAATTTGCTCCATGACACTTTGAGGCATTTGCTCTATAAAACCTACTTTTTACAGCTTTACCCTAAGATACTCTGGTTATACGGTTATCTGTCAAAAGACACTCCGATAATTAATTTATATAGAGAGATAAAATCTTTTAAAAAAGGTTTTACCTTTGGACAACTTGCAAGCTTTAAATTTCAAAATTTTGGCTGACTTTAAACATTTTATGCAAATTAAAAATTTTCCCAAATACCGGAAATAAAAAACAGTTATTTAAATCCAGAAAATATTGGTATAAATTTTATTTTATCTTTTTTTTTTTGCAATTGTCATTTAGACAATTTGGGACAACTTTTGAATTTGCAAAAAAATTTAAATATTAGCTATTATTTGTTTGAATTCAATTCATACGAATAGTCAATCTTTTTTTCAAAGTTATATATGTCTCTATTGGAAGATGGTATTGGAATAGGGTCTCTTTTTTTTTAAACAATAGCGTGCTTGACAATACACCACAACCGAATAATGTTATAGCAAATACCATGAATCTAGAGTATCCTGAAGTCAAGAGACCTCAATCGTGGTTCCTCTCGTGCGTAAACTCTGCTAATCCCATAGGATCAATAGCCTTGATAAGGACAGATTGAGCATATATAAGGCTATGTTTAGCTCTTAGGGTTGGGCATTAATCCCTTGTACATGTAAAATAAAGCGACTTGAACAACTTTTTTATAGAAAAAAAATTGTAAAATACACACCGTTTAACAGTTTATAAAACGTGCTTGCGGGAGAGTGGAGGTTACGAAAAATAAGAAACACACACAGCCTAATACATCATTTAATAATAGGCAACAACTAGGAGCTACAAATATCATGCTCCCTTCAGCTTTTAATATTTGACGTAGTTGACTTTTGAATGTACCTTTAACTATTCATGTAATCGTGTTATTTAATAATTTTGTGCAAATATGTAAAAATACGAGTCATACTTAAAAGTACATTTAGTGAAAAAACAAATCACAACGAAAATAATATTACACATATATTTTAAAATTTAATGACGTTAAATATTAAACATAAGAGGGAGTACTATATACTCCCTCCTTATTTCTTATTTTAATGTATGACGACGTTGACTTTTTAACCAACGTTTAACCATTCGTCTTATTCAATTTTTTTTGTGCAAATATAAAAATACTTATGTCATACTTAAAAAATATTTGATGATAAATGAAGTCACAATAAAATAAATGATAATTACATAAATTTTTTGAATAAGACGAAAGGTCAAACGTTTATCAAAAAGTCAACAGCGTCATACATTAAAATACGGACGGAGTATTATGTAGTGTGTGCAAGGCACATTTCTTTACGTAGAAACAAATCTTGTTTTTCTTATTTCACTCATCATCAATGTCAGGCAAAATTCACCCCCATTATTTACCTTTGTACATGGCCTAATACGATTGTTTTGAATCGAAAGAGGTTCAAATAATTACACTTGACTAAATGCTAGTAGTAGCTATCATGTTGATCCAGGGATCGTGGCTTGGGGTGGTTTCCATGAGAATACTCTCGACCAACTTGCATTATTCCTCCTTTTTCCTCTTTCAGACGATTCAGACAATGAAACGGACGCTACCTACGGGCTATGGCAGCATTGCATGCATGTTGCCAACTTGCCAAGGAGGCTTGTACTACTTCCGCAGTATCTTATCCTAAAATGAGTTACTTTTTTACCTACCATATTTTCTCAACTAATCATTAATATTCTTCAATTAATTTATTCAACAATTTTTTTCTCAATCAACCATAATCTTTCCTTCAATTATTTATACCTATTTCCTTAAAATTTATGTTCATATTAAAAATACTTACAATTTTGAAGGAGGAAGCATCCTTTTTTAGCCCGATTCCCGAAGCTAGCTACCGTGTTAATTCGAGCTACTCCACTATTTAGAGCAGGCACAATAATAGACTATAAATCAGTTATAAACATATTTTAAAGAGATAAAAAAAAGAGAAAAGAGCAGCAGACTATAGATATGTAACCAGCTGCAGCACGGATTCCAAGACGTAATGTGTATATGCCAGTTGGGATTATGTATTAATAGTGTAGTAAACAATTATTATATGAATTGGCTATTATATTGGCTATAGATGATTTAGAGCTAGTAGTTAGCTATACTATTAAACTTATACTATTAAACTTGCTCTTAGCTTCATTCCATCCCACTGCCCCCAAACTGCTGCATCTACGGCAAAAAATGCTGCGACGCTCTTTGGTCGCCCATGCCGTTCTCCTCTTCGCGGCGGTCGCGCTCCCGCTCGCCGCCGCCCAGCCATGGCCTGTCTGCGGCACCAGCGGCGGCAACTACACGGCGGGGAGCACCTACGAGTCCAACCTCCTGCGCCTCGCGAGCACCCTCCGCGCGAACGCCTCCGCCTCCCCCACCCTCTTCGCCTCCGGCGTCCGCGGCGTCGGCCCGGACGCCGTCTACGGCCTCCTGCTCTGCCGCGGCGACATGAACCCCTCCGACTGCTTCGACTGCGGCACCAACGTCTGGAGGGACGCGGGGCCAACCTGCAACCGCACCAAGGACGCCATCCTCGTCTACAACCAATGCTACGCCCAGTTCTCCGACAGGGGCGACTTCCTCGCCGCCACCAACAACTCCGGCGAGGTGAGCCTCCTCATAAGCGGCACCAACATCACCAGCACCGACGTCGCCGGCTACGACCGCGCGGTCACCGAGCTCCTCAACGCCACCGTGCGGTACGCGGTGGAGAACTCCACGAAGCTGTTCGCCACGGGCCAGCGGGTGGGGAACGACACGGGGTTCAGCAACATCTACTCCATGGCGCAGTGCTCGCCGGACCTGTCGCCGGCGCAGTGCCGGAGCTGCCTCGACGGCCTCGTGGGCCAGTGGTGGAAGACGTTCCCGCTCAACGGGAAGGGGGCGAGGGTCGCCGGCCCGCGCTGCTACCTGAGGTCCGAGCTGGGCCCCTTCTACACCGGTAATCCGATGGTGCGGTTGCCGGTCAAGGCCGACGAGCTCACGCAGGTAAGAATAATTCAGGAAGCAAAATTCTAGTAATTATCTTGCCGATAGTGTCAGTTGCAATCATCATAGCTGTAATTTCCCTCTGTATCTGGAATGCACGTAAGAAGAGAAGATTGGCAAAAGCAGAGCGTCACCCCGGAAGTGAGTCCTCTGCACACAATTAGGCATAAATTCTTGTTAAACATTCTTATACCACGAGCATCCATTAACAGTTTAGTCAAAATTATGCAAACTTGCCAGCTGATACAAATGAGGACTTTGAAAGTGTCAAGTCAACCCTGTTATCTCTGGCATCACTGCAAGTGGCAACGGATAACTTCCACGAAAGCAATAAGATTGGTGAGGGGGGATTCGGTGCCGTTTATAAGGTATGGCATGAGTACTCTTAACTTTTTAACTTTTGTATCATTGTTGATTTCTTTGAGAAAAAGTTGTGTGATTTGATGGTGTGAACCCAGAATATGGTCAAAAATATAAATTCTAGATGGCTAGAAGTACGATTGCACTACTGCTCAATTGTTAATTAATCACAAATTGTGGTGTACTTCTCTTCTTGAAGTATATCGCAGAGGTTTGGTGCACTACTGCTCCAGCCCTTGGTTTTAGATAAAAAAAAAATGTGACGTCCCAGAATAATTAGAGGAAATAATAATAAAGCAGGACGAGACCTTAGTCCTTGGGCCTCCAGCAGTAGTAGAGCAATTGGCCCGGTTGACCTTGGGCCTTCTTGACCCCCAGGACGAGCAGCGGCAGTTGGGCTAGGCAAGCTAGCTAGCTAGCTGGCAGATCACACGCAGCAGCAAGCCAGCAACAGCACATCAGAAATGTTCCATATGCTGCCAAATAGGATTAAATGATCAGCCACCCTAAATCTAAATCAAAAGACAACATCCACGCAAACTCCAAGTAAAACGTGAGAGTATTATAGATATTACTATTTGAACATTATATGTGATATAGTGGATATGTTGCCAATAAAAGACATAAATAAAATTAGAAGTAGTAGTCACATCTATTATAACACTTGCTCTTAGTTTCAACTTAGGAGTTTAAGCTGATCCATGACTATAATATTGGTTTAAACTTATTGCGTGAAGCGAGAACGTAAAACATGATAGTGTTACAGTGTAGGGTGTATTCCATTTAGATGAGTCGGGTCTAAAATCGTTTTTATCTAGTCGGGCCTAGAATTATTTTGGGCTATAAGCGTTATATAGTAAAATATATGCATGTGTGTAGTCTAACTAAATAAGTTGAGCCTAGCTATAACCTTTTTTTTTTCATAATGGACGTTACAAAAAGCAAGAAAATATGAATGTCTGGTTGTTAAACTTATTAAAAAGTCATCTGAGTCCATAAAATTACAAAATACACATCTCTATCCATAACTCTTGGTTTAACGTATCACATGGGTTCCAAAGCGCACCTATAAATATTTAAGACCAAATTTGGTCAAAATTTCAAATTTTGTATCATCAATAATTCCTTAAATGATTAATTAGTTTAAAGGATTGGTATATATTGATTTGCCTTAAAATTACTACTCTCGTGATATTATAAATTTACTAGTACTAATATAAAATAAATGGTCCAAAATACAAAAGTTGATCGAAACTTATCCTAAATATCAAATATTTATATCCAGGAGGAGTAAGATACTAAGCCAAGTAGTTAAATTATTCAGGGAATTCTTCATGGACAAGAAGTGGCTGTGAAGAGGATGGCCAAGGGCTCCAACCAGGGGCTGGAAGAGCTGAAAAACGAGCTAGTTCTTGTCGCCAAACTTCATCACAGAAATCTTGTTCGTCTTGTTGGTTTTTGCCTTGACGAGGGGGAGAGATTACTCATCTATGAGTACATGTCCAATAAAAGCCTAGACACCTTTCTTTTTGGTACTATTAGCATTACCCTTTTTAACCTACATATTTTGTCTTTTCACTCCATCAATAACAATTTTTTTCTTTTGGTAATTAGATGCAGAGCAAAAGAGAAAACTAGACTGGGCGGTAAGATTTAAGATAATAGAAGGCATTGCCCGGGGGCTACAATATCTTCATCAGGACTCCCAAAAGAAGATCGTCCACCGTGATATGAAGGCGAGCAACATTTTACTAGACGCAGACATGAACCCCAAGATTGGGGACTTTGGCCTTGCTAGGCTCTTTGGGCAGGATCAGACTCGAGAAGTCACAAGCCGTATCGCCGGGACATTGTAATTAAGTCGAAGGAACACTCATTATTTTTCGCTCATATATAGATAACAAACTAAAATGCAATTCTTCTTTGATGCAGCGGTTACATGCCTCCTGAGTACGTGCTGCGCGGACAGTACTCTACGAAATCAGACGTGTTCAGCTTTGGCATTCTTGTCATAGAGATCGTGACAGGCCGGAGAAGGAATAGCGGGCCATATTTGTCTGAGCAGAACGATGAAGATATATTGAGCATAGTGAGCATCCCTACTAATTCATTGAGGAATACATGCCTATTGTAATTACTGCTGACTAAACACATATGTGTGACTAATGTTGCTAGGTACGGAGGCACTGGGAAGAGGGAGCAATTGCAGAGATGATTGATCATTCCTTAGGAAGAAACTACAGTGAGACCGAGGTGCTGAAATGTGTCAATATTGGACTCTTGTGCGTCCAGCAAAACCCTGTAGATCGACCTACAATGGCGGATGTCATGATTTTACTCAATAGTGACACTACTTGCACTATGCCAGCTCTTGCACCTAGGCCAGCATATTTGATCGATGGGACCTCTGGTTACTCCCAGACCGTAACACAATGGTCCGGCAGGTAGCAGGGGGCCGAAGCAGATCTAGCACCGTTGTTGGCTTGTTGCTGCTTGCTTTGTTTTATATTGTAAGTGTATCAGTTCTCAATTTGTATTCCATGATAACCAAGTTCAACTAATAAAGAGTAAATATATACCATTGACCAGTTTGTCTCGCTCAATGTTTATCATCGAGTTTGTGTCCATCCATGACATATTCCAATTACATGCTACTAGTTATTACTCCCTCCATTCCTAAATGTTTGACGCCGTTGACTTTTTTAAACATATTTGACCGTTCGTCTTATTTAAAAAAATTAAGTAATTATTAATTCTTTTTATATCATTTGATTCATTGTTAAATATATTTTTATGTATACATATAGTTTTACATATTTCACAAAAGTTTTTAAATAAGACGAATGGTCAAACATGTTTAAAAAAGTCAACGGTGTCAAACATTTAGGGAAGTAGGGAGTACAATATAATTACGTTATACTCCTTATAAAATATAGTAGTGGTGGTGATGATTTTGTCACCACCTACTTTTGCGGGAAGAAAAAAAAAAGTGGAGCTAAGAGCATCACTAATAGAATGTGTAAATTCAATCTTCAAAATTCTGAATTTGGGAATCCTAAATGAAATTTGATAAGTTACAGAAGTGATCCTTCCAATAGATTGTGTAAAATTGACTCTCTAAAATAGAAAAGTGGACCGCATAGTAAACTATCAACTAAAAAAAATCAGTTATATATTCCTCCTCCTTCCGCGACGGCGAAGGCACCATCACATCGATTGTTGTTTACAAATACACGAGTAATCCAGGTCGAGCATGTTTAACTCAAAAGAATCAGTTAATTACGCACATCAATTTACGGAGAGATGGGCATGATCATCAGATCATGGAGGAAGAAAGAAGTCTAGACTCTACGACGCAACGACGTGTTCGTCGAGGCCCCCGATCTGTTTCTCTCATACACGATCGGGTGCTACTTCGGCGCCTCGATCACCTTGATTAATTGTGCGCTAGCTGCCGCTTCGCGTCCTCTGCTTCTTGATACACTTCGCGGAGCTTGCGCTTTGCAGCGATCATGGCCTTCTCGTCGGTACTGCACGACGACGTGGCACTCTCGCGGCGGCTCATGTTGGCCGTCCTCTTGGGCGGCGATGGCTGCAGGATTTTGGCGTGATGGTCGTCGGTCTCATCGGGTTCCAGCACCTGAGAGAGCTTCTCCATGACGGCTGCAGACTTGAGGAGCTCGTCCTTCACGGATGCCCTCCACCCACGGACAAAAACATTTCGCCCCTCGCCCGGGAACGGGAGGAGAGAGGCGGGAGCGTGAGATTGGGAGTGGTAGAGGCGAGATCGTGCGCCCTCATATCAACCGAGCTAGGATTTGGGAGATGGAACTCCAGAACTGGATTTTTCACCTTTTAGTTCTTTTGAAAAAAAACTTATTCTACAAATAAATCCTTAAAATAACTTATTTTAGAAATGGTGCTTTTCGCGGCGCCAATGTAGTTGGTGCCGTGGTCCAACATGACAGCACCAAGGACGTTGGCGCCGTCCTCTCCACCCTCGGGTGAAAGCTAAGTCACTAATGTGAAGGAGAACGGCACCACCAACATTGGTGTCGAGGAAATTTGCAAAAAAGAAAAGAAAAGAAAAAGGACCTAGTTGTAATAAAAAGTGACTCATTTGTAAATAAAAAGAACTCGGAAACTTCGGCAGGAGAGTAGCGGATCCGTTGGAGCTGTGTTTTGGACTAAAATCTCTCAAATTCAATTTTCGAAATGAAATACTCTCTCCGTCCCATAATATAAGGGATTTTGACTTTTTGCTTGCATTGTTTAACCATTCGTCTTATTCAAAAAATTTTAGAATTATTATTTATTTTATTTGTGATTTACTTTATTATCCAAAGTACTTTAAGCATAACTTTTTGTTTTTTATATTTACACAAATTTTTTGAATAAGACGAGTGGTCAAACAGTACAAGCAGAAAGTCAAAATCCTTTATTATATAGGATAATAAGACGGAGGGAGTAGGTGGATAGTTGGTGATGCTCTAACAAGATTCACATATAAGTAACAAATACGTACAACAATTAAGAGATAATAATAACATATTAATAAAAATTTTCTTTAATTGGAAACCCGTTGCCATGCACAGGCAATATGCTAGTATACTAGAGTAATATTTGAAAGATTTTAACAAAAACTGTCGGAATGTTATATAGTTTCTCCCTTCCACAGGCACCATGCAGGCAGGCCGGCGGTTGGTGATCATATACTCATATCATGTCATGTCCTTTTGCTCCTCACCGTGCTCGTACGTACGTGCTGCCCGACGCTGATCACACCGGCCGAGCCGAACGTGCTGGGATGCGCGCGCGGAGGACACCGGCACATACGTGCCATCGCCTCACCGCGCGCTCATGTAGGAGTTATATGTTGGGTGCCGGCCGGCCCGCATCGACGAGAGAGGCGGCCATGCATGCGTGCGTGCGCGCGCGTGTGCCGCGCGCGACCCGCGACCTTGCTGCCTCTCTCCAGTCCAAATATAGTCCAGTGACTGATTCGTCGCGCTGCGCGTGCTCTCCTGACTGAAAATAGGCGTATATTGGCAAATCCTACCCTTTATTAGCCGAAAACCTGGCACGGGGTCATAGTTGAATCACGACGTACAGCGCGCGTGGTTACACGCCTCCAAGTTTGAACGTATACGTACGGTAAAAAGTGGAACGGTTTACACATAGCCATGCACCGATTTTTCTCGATATCATTCCATACGCGACCGCAACAGTCATTTTGAGTTAGAAATGGGTCAAGTTTCATTTGACTAATTAAGCGATATATAGCATGCGTGTTCCTTTTTTAAGGCAGGGTGCAAACAGCTGCTACAGAGAGGTTTCCGTGATGTCGACGAATATATAATTAGTCCCTGTCCCACGTGCCATTTGACATCCACCAGACGGGTTCACTGAATTCAGTCTGACCTGTCGGCCTCGGCCAATCGGCCATCGCATGGCAATTGCCAAGTTGACAACTTGTCAAGAGCCATCACTTCCAAAAGTATAGGTAGTACTGTACTAAAAGCTTGTAAAAAAGAGAAAAAAAACAAGAAGATATGATACGGAGATGGATTCTAATAGCTCGAGTGGACGTCCACCCGTTTATTGCATGTCAATTAGATGGTTACGAAAAATTTTCAAAAAAACTAACAAGACAGATCAATATATAATATATTACTCCAACGAACATGCAAATTCAAATTCAACTTCTACAAGTTGTAACAAAAATAACAAATTTAATTGTAAACATACCTATAATAATTTGAGTTTTTTTTGTTATTTTTATTACAATTTGTAAAAGTTAAATTTTAATTTGCATGTTTGTGGATTGATATATTACATATTGATCTATCTTATTCATATTTTTTTAATTTTTTTATATTCATCTAGATAACATGCAATAAATGGGTGGACGTCCACTGGCTATTAAAACAGTTTACCGATATGATACTGCAGTAGTGGAGTAGGTACCATTAGCAGAGGATTGCAAATTTGCAATTGCAATGCAAAGCCCGACGATCGAACAAGCTTGCTCTGACGGCGCCATGCGGCGGCGCTCCTCTGTCCTCCATGCCGTTCTCCTCCTCCTCCTCGTCGCGGCGGTCGCGCTCCCGCTCGCCGCCGCCCAGCCATGGCCTGTCTGCGGCACCAGCGGCGGCAACTACACGGCGGGGAGCACCTACGAGTCCAACCTCCTGCGCCTCGCGAGCACCCTCCGCGCGAACGCCTCCGCCTCCCCCACCCTCTTCGCCTCCGGCGTCCGCGGCGCCGGCCCGGACGCCGTCTACGGCCTCCTGCTCTGCCGCGGCGACATGAACCCCTCCGACTGCTTCGACTGCGGCACCAGGGTCGGCGACGACGTCGCCCAGGCCTGCAACCGCACCAAGGACGCCATCCTCGTCTACAACCAGTGCTACGCCCAGTTCTCGGACACCGGCGACTTCCTCGCCGCCACCAACAACTCCGGCGCGTACAGCCTCCTCATAAGCGGCACCAACATCAGCAGCGCCGACGTCGCCGGCTACGACCGCGCGGTCACCGAGCTCCTCAACGCCACCGTGCGGTACGCGGTGGAGAACTCCACGAGGCTGTTCGCCACGGGCCAGCGGGTGGGCGCCGACCCGGGGTTCCGTAACATCTACTCCATGGCGCAGTGCTCGCCGGACCTGTCGCCGGCGCAGTGCCGGAGCTGCCTCGACGGCCTCGTGGGCCAGTGGTGGACGGGGTTCTTGTTCCCGCGGAACGGCGAGGGCGCGAGGGTCGCCGGCCCCCGGTGCTACCTGAGGTCCGAGCTCGGCTCCGGGTTCTACACCGGAGCTCCGATGGTTCTGCTGCGAGCCGACGGGCTCTCACCGGCGTCGGCGCCGGCGCCGGATGTTGTTCCGGCCACTACGTTAGGTGAGCAGCATACCAATTACTCTACCCATCAAAGTGATCACGTCACGTCTCTTCAGTCTTCACGTCATCTGCACCTAATGTTTACTCATCTCCGATGCTTGAACTGATTATTTTTCACTGAAATATGCAGTTAAGAAGAATTCAGCAAGCAAAATTCTGCTAATTGTCTTGCCGATAGTAGCAGTTGCAATCGTAGCTGCAATTTCTGTCTGCATGTGGACTGTTCGGAAGAAGAGCAGAGCGACAAAAGCAGAGCATTTGTCCGAACGTGAGTCCTCTGCACAAATACAATATGGCATCGGATTGTTTACAAACCCCACTTAAAATTCTTAATCATCAGTATGAATTGATTGTTCTATCGAATCCATGCAAATTTTTGCAGTTGATGCATCTGAGGACCTTGAAAGTGTCAAGTCAACCTTGCTAACTCTGGGATCACTGCAAGTAGCAACGGATAACTTCGACGAAAGCAAGAAACTCGGCGAAGGAGGATTTGGTGCAGTGTATAAGGTATGCCAGTAGTCTTTATGTGTAACTTTTGAGTCATTGCTGACTTCTTTTTCAAAAATAATTGTTGATTTGATGGTGCGAGTCAAGCATGGTCAAAAGCTCAAAATATGAATATCTAAAAGTTTTTCTCCATTGATGATGATGATGATTTTTATTTTCTACAAAAGATCTTTCGATCTTTCTTTATTAGAAACACCAATAATTGTAAACTATTTTACAGCACTCAGGTTTTTAAACCATTACAAAATACAGTATATCAATGAAAAGTAAAAAATATGCAGGGGCATCTTTTTGGACAAGAAGTAGCAGTGAAAAGGATGGCAAAAGGTTCAAATCAGGGGCTAGAAGAGCTGAAAAATGAGCTAGTTCTTGTCACCAAACTTCATCACAAAAATCTTGTTCGTCTTGTGGGTTTTTGCCTGGAAGATGGAGAGAGGTTGCTTGTCTATGAGTATATGCCCAATAAAAGTCTCGACACATTTCTTTTCGGTAATATTAACACCTCCTTTCAGTATATATGGTCATGCACTTCTTTCTCATGTGATGGTGTGCAACAATTACAATGATGTCTTCATTTGGGGCTAATTAGACGTGGAGCAACGAAGACAACTAGATTGGGCAACACGATTTAGGATCATAGAAGGCGTCGCTCGTGGATTGCAGTATCTTCATCAAGACTCCCAGAAGAAGATTGTTCACCGCGACATGAAGGCAAGCAACGTCTTGCTAGATGCAGACTTGAACCCCAAGATTGGGGACTTTGGCCTTGCTAGGCTCTTCGGGCAAGACCAAACTCGGGACGTCACGAACCGTATCGTTGGGACATTGTAATTAAGCAGAACACTTGAAGCTTATGTGCCAATATTTCACTTAAAAACTACGTACTAACATGCAATTTCATTCTTACTGCATGCAGTGGATACATGGCTCCTGAGTATGTGATTCGCGGGCAATACTCTACGAAATCAGACGTGTTTAGTTTTGGCATTCTCATCTTAGAGATTGTGACAGGGCAAAGAAACAGTGGGCCCTATTTTGCAGAGCAAAACGAAGATTTAGTAAGCCTAGTGAGTATCCCTTCTAATTCCTACAAATCAATACACTAATATTGCTTATGTTTCCAGAAAACCACTCATATGTACCATCTATATTACTGATAACTGGAGATCTATATATAACTAATGCTAGGTATGGAGGCACTGGACAGAGGGAAATATTGTAGAGATGGTAGACTATTCCTTGGACAGAAACTACCCTGAAGCCGAGGTGCTGAAATGTGTCAACATCGGCCTCCTGTGTGTCCAGCAGAACCCAGTAGATCGACCTACAATGGCGGATGTCATGATTTTGCTGTTAATTTATAGTCATGATTAGTTATAAACAAGGTGACACCAATGAGGTAAATCAAGAAACTGTTGCCAAATTTCACCGTTAACAGAAACTCATGAGGTCAAACCCGTCTATTCAAAAGCTATTATTAGGCCTTGTTAAATGGGCTTCAATCCAGCTCACCAACATTTGTAGGCCGGTAATTTGAACTAAAGTTCAATGCATGCACCAGAATCTGTCAAGATTATGACCCATCCAATAGAGGTTTAACATGATGGATTGAGAAATTATCCTCTGAAACAAGACCATCAATGGGAACACAAAATGGGCTTATGGCGTTGTATGACACATTTTCACGCAGCTGCGCAAGGCATGAGTCTATAGTGTGACTTAACGAGAACGAAAAACCTATCGAGCGATCGATCGCGAGGGGCGATCGGTTCCCCTCCCCCCCACGCAGTTTCCATTTTTGGCACCGCTTTACTTTCCTCTTTTAGTAAGTTTATACACCTAAAGTTTACACATCTAAAATTTATCCACCTAAAGTTTGTAGAGCGAATATTTATGCGTCAAAAGTTTATATACCCGATTCAAATTTAAATTCGGATTCAAATATTTTATATATAGAATATTTCTATACGTAAAGTTTATGTGTGCATTATTTTTCTCTTTTAGTAAGTTTATACACCTAAAGTTTACACATCTAAAATTTATCCATCTAAAGTTTGTAGAGCGAATGTTTATAAGTTAAAAGTTTATATACCCAATCCAAATTCAAATTCGGATTCAAATATTTTATATATAGAATATTTCTATATATAAAATTTATGCGTGCAAAGTTTACGGTATAAAGTCTATGCACATGAATGAGAGTATTAATTTTTTTTCTATTTTTTTTACTAACTTTGTTTTTTTAAAAAAATATATGATGAAAAGAGAGAAGGGAGAGGAGTATAGGGGAGGGGCGGGTCCCATTAGGGGCGCCCGAGAAGGAAGACCAGACAAGCAATTATATTGTTAAACAGTAACCTCGAGATTAGGGTAGGTACCAGTCTTCCAAGCTAACATATTGTTTTTCTTTGTAAATACTTGTTTAGCTTAAAAAAGTGCATGCACGCCTATTACAACCTGCTAATCATTAATTGCGAATTTCAAACTTAAGTTAGTGAAGTAGTTAAGTGAAGATTTGCATATGTTACATATTTATATTTGGATTCGTAGTACTAGGCATGTATATTTTGAGATGGGTGGAGTAATTTATAATTTAATTATTATTAAATTAGGGATTTGCTACCCATCTACCTGCTATTGTTTTTGGTTTTGTAAGCCGAATTTGTGGCCGCTAGATCACTCCAAGATTTGTGTTGATTTGGCTCACCAAGATAACCTTTGATGTACCTTGTTCATACGCCTACATTACTCGCGAGGGGGGGGGGGGGGGGGACAGGCACCGATCCCCCCTTCCTATTTAAAACTCTACTCTCCTCTTCCCTTCCTCCTCCTCACCTTTTTTTTTCTCTGTCTAGGTACATTCCATAGCTTCGTTTCGTGAGATCAATCGATTGAGCTAGATGTTAGCTGCAGGAGAAAGGTTTCTAGGTTGTAGAGGAGTAGCGTGAGGGTGAGGAGGTTGTGGATGAGGTAGGCATTGTGACGGGGAGGGTGGAGCTGAAGCGGATCGAGAACAAGATCAACAGACAGGTGACCTTTTCCAAGCACAAGAATGGTCTGGTCAAGAAGGCGTACGAGCTCGTCGTGCTCTACGATGCCGAGGTCATGCTCCACCTTCTACATCCGAGGCAAGCTCAACGATTTTGCTGGTTGGGGTCCTAGTATGTGCGGCTATGCGTGCGAACATGTTGACAATAATCCCATTCTAAAATGTTTTGTAGCCATGCATGTAGATGCATATTGAGTCAATGTTGTTATGCTAGCTTTTTTCCAAACTTTAAATGTGGCTAGATATATTATGTCGTCAATAAATAACACCAGAATTTTGTGGACTAGTTTTGTTAGGACCTGAACATAATAAACAAGAATAGTCACTAGACGGGAAACTATATATTTTAATCCCTCGAGGGGACATCGTTATTTGCATGTTACTCAAATGGTTACGAAAAAAATTGGAAAAAATTAAGAAGATGTATTAACATGTGATATAACACTCCACAAACATATAAGTTCAAATTCAACTTTTATATCTCGTAACGAAAAAAACAAATTAAACAACATCTAGTTAACGTATATTTACAGTCAAATTTGTTTTTTCGCCTATTTTGTTAGCTAAACCAAATATCTTAATGTCAGTTTTGTCAGTGCTTGGTGGTCAGTTTTGTTAAAGTTTTAGTTTCGACTGAATTTGTATAAGCCAAGGAGCAATTTGGTCAACAGTTAGTTTTGTCAGCAATTAGTACCTGATTTTGTTAGTTTTGTCTGAATTCATATATAACTAAATGCAGTTTTGTTAGCAGCTAGTTTAATCAATAATTAATTAGTTCATGGTGTTGTTAGTTTTGTTGGCTACTAAATATGACTTGATCTAATTTTGTCAGCAGTTAGTTTTGTGAATTTAAAACTTGGTTCAGCTTGGTTCAACTTGACCAACTTGACCTTGGAAGGGGTCCCCTTGGGATCCTTTTGTAACCTTGCTTGTACAAGCTCGGTTTCCCTCTCTTCTCCTTTTATGAAATAGGCAGAGCTCCTGCTTTTACCCCTCAAAAAAAAACTTGGTTCAGCTAGCTCTAGTAATTTCATGGAAGCTAGTTAATTGACTTCTTGATTTGATTATATTTTTGTGAGCAATCGGTATCTAGTTTTGTTAGTTTGTCAGCTAGCTAGTTTTGTCTGAATTCTACTAATAGTAATTAGGTCAATAAGCCATTTCAATCAAATACAAGTTGTCAAGCTGATCTGCCCATTTCACTAGTTCAAATTCCTGCAGTTGATTTGTATTCCCTGCTTTAGTATATAGATTTATCAGTTACATATATATGTCAACATTTCATACACGTAGGTAGTATAGATTTATTTTATTTTATTTTAGTGTAGGGTTGTAATCTTGTAATTTTTTTTCCTGCTATATCAATATGAACTTTGCACTGTCTAGTGCGAGCTGTAAAAAATAAAAGAAATAGCGGCTATGAGTTCGTTCCCAAGATACTGTTAATCTCGACGACCAACTTGAATAATTCCATTTCCCTTTTTCTTCGTTCAAACGATGAAACACGTCTGCATGCACATAAGTACACACGTACCTAATGGTGATCAGAGAATTCAGTCTATATGGACTATGCATGGCATGCCCAACTTGCCAAAGACGAGATCAATATCCTTCTTTTTTTTTGACGCGATCGAATATCCTTTTTAAGGGGATGCACCCCGTGTTAGTTTTATACTGCCATCTATCCCACGCCCCTAGCTAGCTGCATCCTAGCTCTATCGGCGCAATGTTGCGACGCCGACGCTCGTCTGTCGTCCATGCCGTTCTCTTCTTCGCGGCGGTCGCGCTCCTCGAGTCGCTGGCCGCCCAGCCGTGGCCGAAATGCGGCAACGGCGGCACGTTCACAGCAGGGAGCACCTACGAAACCAACCTCAAGAACCTCGCGCTCATCCTCCGCACGAACGCCTCCTCGGGGTCCTCGCCCACCCTCTTCGCCTCCGGCGCCCTCGGCTCCGCCCCGGACACCGTCTACGGCCTCTTGCTCTGCCGCGGCGACCTGAGCTCCTCCGACTGCGCCGGCTGTGGCACCAACGTCTCGAGGGACGCGGTCGCGGGGCCGACCTGCAACCGCACCAAGGACGCCATCCTCGTCTACAACGAATGCTACGCCCAGTTCTCCGACAAGGGCGACTTCCTCGCCGCCACCGACAACTCCGGCGAGTACAGCGCCCTCCAAAGCGGCACCAACATCAGCAGCACCGACGTCGCGGGCTACGACCGCGCGGTCACCGAGCTCCTCAACGCCACCGTGCAGTACGCGGTGGAGAACTCCACGAGGCTGTTCGCCACGGGCCAGCGGGTGGGCACCGACCCGGGGTTCCGTAACATCTACTCCATGGCGCAGTGCTCGCCGGACCTGTCGCCGGGGCAGTGCCGGAGCTGCCTCGACGGCCTCGTGGACCAGTGGTGGAAGGGGTTCTTGTTCCCGCGGAACGGCGAAGGCGCGAGGGTCTCCGGCCCGCGCTGCTCCCTGAGGTCCGAGCTGGGGCCGGGCCCCTTCTATACCGGCAGACCGATGGTGCTGTTGCCGGTCAAGGCCGACGGGCTCACGCCGGCGCCGGATGTTGTGCCTGCCATTACGGGAGGTGATTAATTAAACTACAGTATTATACTTCCTCGTCTCGCTCATGCTGTCCCATATTTTTCCCGGGTAATTTTGCACGGGGCTTGATTTTAACTGTTAACTTAAATTTGATTTATACTCCTCTTAGTTTATGTTACATATATAAAGGGAGAATAGCCAATATGATCCCTAAAATTTTGCTCCTAGATCATTTTAGTCCTTAATATTTCATAGTGTCCAAACAAGTCCTTTAAATTTGTCACGTGGGCTAATATTGTTCTTGGTCCTACCAAAATCACTATATGGACATGCCATGTCACCCTCCTATGTAAAATCTATATGATTTGTCTAATTTACTCTTACGTATATCATAGAAAAATTAGAAAAAAGGAAAAAAGTTAAAAATATATATATGGTATATGTAAGAGTAAAAATATACGTAAAAGGGTGAAAAAAATGGGAAAAGTATTTGTTCCTATGGTTATGTCTAATTCACCCTTACATTCTTTTTCTATGATATACGTAAAAGTAAATTGGGTAATTCATCATAGATTTTGCATGAATGATGACATGGCATATCCATATAATGATTTTTTGGACCCAAGGATTATTCTAAGCCTTATGAAAAAGTTTAAGGGTTTTTTAGACCATTAAAAGGTTAGGGACTAAACTAATCCTACATTGAAACTTTATGGACTATAGTAGCTATTCTCCCTTACATAAATATGATTATATTACATATGCAACTAGCGTACAGTCTGTGTGTTGCAACGGTTTTCTTTTAAAAAAAGAGCAATTTTACGGTACTTGAGAAGGTACCATGAGGTACCCTTTTTTCTATTGTAAATTTGGATTCTCTCGGTACCTAGGTACTATGAGGTACCATGAGGTACCAAATTTTACACTAAATTTTTGGTACCTCATGGTACCTCCTCAAAGACCGTAGTGTATTGTATATATTTTTAAAGCCTTAAAAAACTATTTCTACCGTGTAATATATCAAGGAGCGATGAAAATTTTATATTGAAGGAATTCGATTATTTTTTAGGTTTTCTCTCACTTTTTGCGTGCACATATTGTTGTTGGTGGTGGGTATCTTTTACTTTATGTTTTTGTATATACAAATTAATTTATATACAACTATTGTCGATCCATTTATACCATTTATAGTCAAAATTCTTTTCTTTTCTTTTCTTTTCTCATGAGATAGATAGATAGATTGATGGATTATTATCAAGCGAAAAAATAACTAAAATTTGTTCACTGAGCAGCAGCTAGAAGCATAGAACTGTATTATTGTGTAATCCGTTTCATATTTAGTTCTTCACGTACTTGAACTCATTATTTTTCACTGCAAAAATGCAGGTAAGAATAATTCAGCAAGCAAAATTCTGGTAATTACCTTGCCGACAGTGACAGTTGCCATCGTAGCTGCAATTTCCCTTTGTATCTGGAATGTGCGTAAGAAGAGAAGATTGGCAAAAGCAGACTCCAGACGTGAGTCCCTGCACATAATTTTGGCATAAATATTAACATTCTTATACACTGGCGTCCGTTAACATTTCGTCAAATTCATGCAAATTTGGCAGCTGATAGAACCGAGGATTTTGAAAGTGTCAAGTCAGCACTGTTATCTCTGACATCACTGCAAGTGGCAACCGATAACTTCCACAAAAGCAAGAAGATTGGTGAGGGGGGATTCGGTGAAGTTTATAAGGTAATAGGCCAGTAGTCTTTACGTCTACTTCTGAATCATTGTTGATTTCTTTTGAGAAAAATGTGTCGATTTGATGGTGTGAATTGACTATGGTCAAAATATAAATTCTAAATTAAAGTTGTGTTTAGTTGAGCACAAAGTTTGGATTTTGGTTGAAATTGAAAATGATGTGACTGAAAAGTTGTGTATGTATGACAGGTTGATGTGATGGAAAAGGACTGAAGTTTGGATCCAAACTTTGGATCTAAACACAGCCTAATACTCCCTTCGTCCCTAAATATTTGATGACATTGATTTTTTTTAAACATGTTGGACCGTTCGTCTTATTCAAAAACTTCTATGAATATTATTAAAAACTTAAGTAGTAGTAGTATATGTAACAATGAATCAAATGATAGGAAAATAATTAATAATTACCTAAATTTTTTGAGTAAGACGAATCCGGTCAAATAACGGCGTCAAATATTTATGGACGAAGGGAGTACCTAGAAGTATGAATGCACTACTGCTCAATTGTGAGTGAGTCGCAAATTTTGTGTTCTCTTGAAACAAATGGCGAAGCTCCTGCCTCTTGTTTAGAAAAACTATTAGTGCAGGTTAGTTATTGTATTTTATTAATAGTGAAAATATATTACATCCTCGACTTTAGCCATATAATACATAGGTAACAAGTTAACTTGAAAAAGACATAGGTGATGGGACAAATCCTCAAATACCTTTGGAAGAAAACCAATTGATAGACTTAAAAAGACACATAAATTCTAGCAAAAAGTAAGCCTATATGTATTACGCCACCCATAGAAAGTAAAAGACCTTTGGTAACTAACTCTAAGAATATAGCATAATATACTGCTCCTCCCATCGTAATAACATAGACCAACATTTGGATCAGTTGGACGATAAGAAGATAACCTGCATTGCAGAGTTAGACATCATTTTTCTGTTATAAAAATCTTTTATCATTTTTTTTCAATGCCAAATTGATGAATTTCAAGTGTCTAGGCACTCCCCGAAGCGAGTTACTATTTTTTTTTGGGCACCTCAGGAGGAGGCATATTGTAAGGAAAAGAACACATTGTCGTGCAAAATGAGCAACATGGCAATAAAAATAGGTCTTGAATTGTTTCTTGCACATTGTAGACACTATATTGCTTGTCTCCTCTCCAATTCCTTTTATGAAGGTTATCTTTCATTAAGATTGCTTTTTCTATAAAGAAATCACATAGAAACTTTGATTTTTTATAGTAACCTTTAAAATTAGTTATGTTATATTATTATATTTTTAACCCATTACAAAATTTTGTATTTCTGTTCATGTCTCCATGTATAAGTTAGTAAGAAAGTAAGATACTAAGCTAAATTATTTAGGGAGTTCTTTCCGGGCAAGAAGTGGCCGTGAAGAGGATGGCCAAGGACTCTCACCAGGGGCTACAAGAGCTGAAAAATGAGCTAATTCTTGTTGCCAAACTTCATCACAAGAATCTTGTTCGTCTCATTGGTTTTTGCCTCGAAAAAGGGGAGAGACTGCTCGTCTATGAGTATATGCCAAACAAAAGCCTCGACACCCATCTTTTTGGTACTATTAGCATTATCTTTGATCATTTGTTACTCCTGTAATCATTTCACTCCACCAATAATAGTGACATTTTTTTTACATTTGGTGAAAAAAGACACAGAGCAAAGGAAACAGCTAGACTGGGCCACACGATTTAAGATCATAGAAGGTACCGCTCGGGGACTCCAATATCTTCACGAGGACTCTCAGAAGAAGATCATCCACCGTGATATGAAGGCAAGCAATATTTTGCTGGACGCTGACATGAACCCTAAGATTGGGGACTTTGGCCTCGCTAAGCTCTTCGCGCAGGACCAGACTCGAGAAGTCACGAGCCGCATTGCTGGGACATTGTAATTAAGTTGATGGAATACTTCATATTTTTGTGCTTATATTAACTAACAAACTAATGAAATACAATCCTCCTTGCTGATGCAGCGGTTACATATCTCCTGAATACGTGATGTGCGGGCAGTACTCTACGAAATCAGACGTGTTCAGCTTCGGCATTCTCGTAATAGAGATCGTGACAGGCCAAAGAAGGAACAGTGGGCCATATTTCTCTGAGCAAAATGGTGTAGATATATTGAGCATAGTGAGTATCCCCGGTAGTTCACATAGGAATTCATGATATTGCTTTGCATTGCAATATTTGCATATTTGTGGATAGCTGCACATGTCTATCGTAATTACTGCTGACTGCTGAAGACATACATATTTGTGACTATTGCTAGGTATGGAGGCACTGGGAAGAGGGGACAACAGCAGAGATGATCGACCATTCCTTGGGAAGAAACTACAATGAGGCTGAGGTGGTAAAATGCATCAACATCGGACTCCTATGTGCCCAGCAAAACCCTGTAGATAGACCTACAATGGTGGATGTCATGGTTTTGCTTAACAGCGACGCTACTTGCCCTCTACCGGTTCCTGCACCTAGGCCAACATCTTCGATTGATGGAAGCTCTGGTTACTCAACAGGTTACTCAACATAATGGTCTGGTTGGTAGCTGGGAGCTAGATTTGTCACCGATGTTGTTGCTTTCTGTTGTTTCATATTGAAACTATTCATTCTCGATTTGCAATCCGTAGCATCCAACTTCAATTAATGAAGAGTTTCGGGGGACTATTACTCCTCAGGGGTTATATATAGTTTAACTAGTTGATACCCCGTGCTTTGTTGCGGGATATGTGAATGAATGCATGTTATACATTATAAAAATGGTAAATGTATATGTTTAAATAATGTGAAAATGATGAGTAGATAATAATTTGCCATTGCTTGTATATTGAGTTCTAATAATACAGCAAAATTGTAAATGATACGTAATGTTTGCATGATATTTAAAATACTCTAGATAATAATTGCTAGTGTGGGTGATGATGTCGCACACTTGCATGATGAGTTTTAGGAGTTAATGGGCATCAATTTTATAGTAAGAAAGGATTAATGAAAAGTGTCCACATTGGGAGATTCCTATCCCATTCAATCTCTCAGGCAGCTCGCTCCATGCTTTTCGTCTCAACTCCTTCTCTCCTCTTTATGTGTTAAAGATTGGGTTCAGAGATAGCCCTTTCCATTGTGAAATCAAGTTGTTAGATTCAACCTATATGATGAACAAATAGTCAAAAGTGAGTGTTTTAGAAATTATGGTGAATACTGTTTTCGCGGGTAAACAGTGCAGGGTGGCACTAGGTTGCCGGTCAGATCGGCAGATTCCGTGGGGAGTTGGTTTCGGATTGTTTTCGTGGAATTTCTATGTTACTTCATGTTTATGACTTCTAGATTGTTTCTATATGTATGTAATATTGTTTGTGTGTTGATGTCAGTCAATTTAGTGTGAACTTGTACTCAAATATGGTATTTCTTTGTTAGTTCATGTGCAAATATTGCTTGAGGCCATAGGAGTATAGCCAGTGATAGATTAGGACTAGGCTTGGGAGAAGCTGAGATCCAAACAATCAAGGATATCACGCGGGATGTCTAGGCTAGAGAACAATGCACGTGGAGATGAAAGTTTCCATATATCATACACGAGGTGTTGTGCAAGTATAGAAAGAGTAGTCAAATTTGGATTGGAATCCAAGTTTGGAAAGATTAGAGTGTGGAGTTGTACGGGGATGTTGTTTCTCTGGTTTCTTAGATTTCCTATGTGATTAGAAGTCTAGTTCTAGTTGGATTCCTAGTTAGGGGCATTCACGTTATGGTATAAATAAATAGGGCATATTTGTCACTTGTTTGATCCAGTATTGTGAATTTCCTATTATGGGTTAATTGGATCATAGCATTACAAATTTGTCTGTTTGGAAATATGCTATTATAATTCATCTAATTGAAAAGATGCCATTGCAATACTTCTAAAATCTGGTTCATGCCATTTTATACGCTTGAGATGGGTTTTGAATTGTTTTTATATATTGTATTTTCGTATGGACCAAACTACCGTTGGTCTTCAGTCTTCACAGCTTAAAATCATCCCCAAATGTAGCTCCAAACCCTAGCCGAGCGAGCGAGCAGTGGCGATAGCAGAGCAAGCGGCGGTGGCGGCGGAGGCTCCGGCACCGGCACCGAGGGCTTTCGCTGTGGCGACGCAACAAGCTGCAGCGGTGAAGCAAGCAACGGCGACGACGGAGCCAGCAGGGCCTCGGCATCACGCACAAAGCAAGTGGCAGCGGCGCTGGCAGCGGAGCAAGCAGCGGCGGGGCACCGAGGGCTTCGGCAGTGGCGACGCACCACAAGCAGCGGCAGCGGTGAAGGAAACGGCGGCGGCGGAGACGGCGGCAGCGGCAACGCTGGCCGCGGAGAAAGCAGCAACGGTCGCATCGACGACGAAGCAAACAGAAGGTGGCGGAGGCGAGCTAGTCCTAGTCGCAGCGCGACAAGTTCTTGGAGACAACGGCGAGCTCCAGTGGCATTTTCCTTTCCTTTTTCCCTTTTTTTTCTCCTCTCTGTATTTTTTTCAGGATCAAATACTGCATATCGATTCTGAATTTTTTTTTAACATCAGCGATTTCAGTTTATTTATTTGAAATATTGTGGTTCAAATCTGTTTTTTTCATTGCACTGGCACGAGCGATTTCAATCTTGATTTGAAATGCTGTGGGTCGTATGGTGATTTATTTTTACGGTGCTTGAGTGGTAGGATAAGGGGTAGTTTGGTCTGTACGAAAATACAATAGACAAAAACCGATTCAAAACCCATCTCAAACGTATAGAATGGCATGTATCCGATTTTAGAAGTATTGCAATGGCATCCTTCCAATTAGATAAATTATAATGGTATATTTTAAAACAGATAAATTTATAATGGTATAAATCTAATTAACCCTTATAAAATATGTAACTAACAAATTAGACTAACACCGTTAGAAGGCTGGTTTTCAGAAAGAATAGGATAAGGATACCCCTGCACACAAAAATTCAAGATTGACATCATATTTGCCATAAAAAGCTTACATATTGATTTGCCCTCCAAAACTGATATGGTCAAATGAGATTCAACTCTAACAATAATTGTCAAGAAGCCGAACCATTCCTACAACATAAGCAAAATAAATAAATAAATAACGGTATTGCTAAAAATATGTCGCCACAAATTACGATAGATTTCAGTTGGTTGTTTCAACCGTCGGATGCAGAAATCGCACGTGTACACATATCCCTCCGATTTTGTTCTCTTCTGATCTCTTCTGTTGCTTTAATGTTAGTATTTGCTAAGTAGGATTACTAATTAATCTTAAAAACTAAATATTGGTGTCATCACAAATTTATAGTTTTGGGAATTACATCAACTTACACATGTAATTTTGAGAATTACATATGTAATTTTAGGACTTACATATGTAATTTTGGAATTTACATTGTAAATACACTAAAATTACATATGTAATTTAGTGACTTACAATGTAAATACATAGCGACTATTTTTTAATAAAAAATATGGCGCCATAAATATAGCTACTCCCATAAATAAATGTTCTAGCTAGTAGATCAAGAAGGATCGGTTCAGAACCCACATAAAAATGCATAATAAACTAGCTAGGGGGTCGCAAGCATTTTCGATGTGGAGTATGTAATGTTCCATGTTGCTCCTGCTGTTGCCTTGTTGCTCCTGACGCGTGCTGCTGCTGCCGCCGCCCGGCTGTTGCTCTTAACGCCGCCGGCAGCTGCTGCTCCCTTGCCGCCGCCACCTCCTGCCGCCTGCTGCTATACTGCCCTGCCGCCGCTGTTGAGGGGGTTTGGGGACCCATTTTTTGGGTTGATTTGCTCTTGATGTGGAGAAAGTGACGAGGGGATTTGGGGATTAGGGTTCCTAGAGAGAGGAGCTGATTCTTCACGGTGGAGTGAAGAGCACTGATCAGAACAGATGGGCAGTGAGGGGGATCATGTTTTTTCTTTGTTATGAATTATTTTCGTCCGTTTATTTGAACTAAATCAAACGGCAGTGGCAAATCGAAGGAGCACAAACCAAGTGTTTTAGATGCACTTTCTAAACACATATTGATGCATATAAAGTCAATATACTTTCAAGAGTTTCGCCGTTTTGTTTTTTTCTTGATCCTGACGGTCTAACTGGAGTACAACGGACGGTTGGACTGGCGGCGGTAGCAACAACATCATCAAGCAGACAAGGAGATCGACAGGCGGTCTGACCGACGACGTCATCACAACGATCTGACCGGTGCAACTTCGTAAAGTTTGAGGGTAATCTTTTAATTTTGCAAGAAGAATTGATTTTGGTGTTTCTACCATACAACCGCCTCCGGTTGGCTTGGTTCTTATATTCGAACCAACCAATATTTTGCTAACATTTTGTCCGGTTGTCCCAGTAAAGAGCAAATATCTATTCCTTACCATTGTATTATTTTGATTTGTTCAAAAAATTTTCATCCAGTTCGTCTCCAAGTTACAATGTACTACTGATTTATCAATTGCTTCTACTCCATGACATATTGACAATGGATTGGATAGTTTTTAAAAGGGTTAATTGGATCCATGTTACTGCAACTTTGCGAAATTAAAAAAATGCCACTACTATTCATCATATCGGCCACATGCCACTGGAAATTTCTATAATTAAAACTATGCCACTCCCGTCCCTTTTTCCGTCTCCTCTCTCACGCCGTCTCCGTTGCCGTCCTCATCCCCTCCCTCCTTCCTCATTTCCGTTCCTGACTTCATCCCCCTCTCCGGCGAGCGGTAGAGCTTGAGGAGGGAGTTGGTAACGACAGGGTCCCGTTCCTGCGCACGCCTTCCCTTTCCCTCTCCGTCGCCGACACGGTCTCCTCCTCCCCGCCACTACATATTCCTCTTGCTGGTGAACTTCCATTGCACGCGCACAAGCACAGTCATCACAGACTTCGGCGATCTCCATGGCTCCATCAGGTGGGGTGCGCGAGCGCATCGCACTTGAATGCATGCTCGTGGGCGAGGCGCGCAAAGCCTGTGGATGGGGAAGGGGCGGGAAAGACGACGACGCGAGGGCGGCGAGGAGGAGGGAGAAGGTGAACGGGGTGGGCGGCGAGGCCTCGCGGATGCGGTAGTAGAGGGCGAGGGAGGCGACCGCGGGCGCACAGCGCTGGGACAGCGCGGCGTGGAGCGGGCAGCCTCGGGAGGGGGCCGACGAGAAGGCACCGGCAGAGGAGGAGGAAGGTGGGCTCCGGAGCCAAAGGAGCAGGCAGCGGAGGCGGTGTGGGAGCTCGGGCATGGCGGGAGGGAGCCGCCACCGTCGTTGTCCTCTATCCGTGACAGGAGGTCTCGGGAGCTGCCGCCGTCGCCGTCCTCGACACCATCCACGGCGGGAGTGCTCGGGAGCCACTGCCACCACTGCCGTCATCACCGCTGTCCTCTTTGCAGTCGCAGGGATGGAGGAATAGATGGTGAAGAAAGAGGAGGGAGATGGAAACGATTAAACATGGGGGAACGAGATAGTGAAAAAGTGATGGGAGTGGCATGTTTTTAAAATAAAAGGAAAATAAAACCGCTCCCTTTGCCGTATGTGGGAGTTCAAAAAAACTTCCACTAATTAAAAACATGCCACTCCCAGTATCCTTTTATTTTGTTTTTGGCTCTAATTAATTCACCCTAAGGTAGCACTATCTTTCTTTTTCTAATATACGACACCATTGACTTTTTGTTTACATTTGATCATTTGTTTTATTAAAAGAATTTATAAATATAAAAATATTTAAGTCATGTTTAAAGAATATTTGATGGTAAATCAAGTTATAATGAAATAAATGATAATTATATATTTTTTAGGAGTAGTTTTTTTTAAAAAGACAAATGATCAAACGTATATCAATAAATCGATGGCGTTATATATTAAAAACGGAGGAAGTATAAAAAGAATCTATCCATCAGACGCACGATGCCCAAATAATCGGACGGTCAAATATTCCAGTTGACCAACGAGCGAAACATCAAGTTATAATGATGAAAAAACCATCAATTGGAACATTTAAAAGTTATATGAAACTTGGTAAAGATATACGTTGAAACATGTCGCTGTCACATATGAAACAACTAGTATTAACGGATTGAAGCATACGTTTTTCTTTCATTAAAATATAATCATGTGATATCTTATTGTAAAGATTTAATTACAACGAATACAACGGTGTAATCAGATCGTAGATTGGATAATTAGTTTAGGAGAAAAATCATTTTGAAGCTCAATAGAATGTGCATGTATGGATAAGATGGAGAGAGAGTAGTGGTAGGTAGTTTCGGGAATTTTGTAAAATACACTGAAGACACATACGGGTATATATCACTATCACGTATAAAACATTAGGTTCTGACAATTTTAAATATATATATTTTTTATTATAATATAATAATGCGATATCTTGTTATAAAGATTTAATTACAACAATACAATGATATAATCGGATAAGCGGTTAATGAGAAAAAAACATTTTAAATCTTGAGTAGTACACTGGTCAGTCTGAGCGTTCGATAAAATTTTGTGAAATCGGTAGACCGATCAGTAGATTTTCGGGAAGTATATGATCGACATTCTTCATGCAAGTTGCCGCGCGACTGCCTTTTTCATGGGGCCCGACCGCGCGAAGGTGCAAGCACTCCCGTGACCAATAATCCATTGCTCCTAAATTTTACTCCCTCCGTATTTCAATGACAATGTTGACTTTTTGACAAACGTTTAACCTTTCGTCTTATTCAAAAACTTTATATAATTATAATTTATTTTATTGTGACTTGATTTATCATCAAATGTTCTTTAAGCATGATATAAGTATTTTTATATTTGCATAAAATTTTTAAATAAGACGAGTTGTCAAACGTTGGTTAAAAAGTCAATGGCGTTATACATTAAAATATGGAGGGAGTATTAATTATATATTGAGTTCTACAAGTATCTTGTTTAATACTCCGTACATTTTAGGAGCTAATTAAACATGTCGAAACAGCGGCTACGGGGAGGTTTCCCTTGAGACTAGTCACGATCAGCTTTGTTTATTTCCATTCCCCTTTTCCTTTCAGCAACTGTTATCTATCATATCAACTGCGTCCATGCATGCACGTGGGTTTTGACAAGTAAGTAAGCGAAAGTAATTTCATTTTATGCATATCATATAAATAGTTAAAAAAAATTTAAAAACATTTGATAACATTGATTAATACGAAATATATCACTCCACAAACATACGAACTTAAATTCAATTAATTTCTATAAGTTCTAAAAAAATACAGTAACAAATATAGCTGCGAATGTACGATAATTATTTTCAGTTTAATTTTTTTTACAACTTGTAGAAGTTGAATTTGGTTTTACATATTTGTGGAGTGATATATTTTATATTAGTATATGTTGTCAATTTTTTTAGAAAAATTTAATAACTATTTACTTCAGATGACATATAAACAACTAGAGTAAGTAACGGGGTTCAGTGAATTCAGTCTGACCTGTGGTGGGGCCATCGCATGCCAAGTTGGCCACTTGCCCAGAGCTGTCACATCCAAAATGATACGCATTCCAGCTCAAAAACTCAAAACGAATGCTGTGCCATTGCTACATCGATCGAGCTTACTAGCTTTCCATCATCCCACCACTGCCTCTGCTAAGCTACTCTGACCGGCCGGCGCCATGCGGCGGCGCTCGTCGCTCGTCCACGCCGTCCTCCTCGCGGTCGCGGCGGTCGCGCTGCCGCTCGCCGCCGGCCAGCCGTGGCCGAGCTGCGGCACCGGCGGCACGTACGCGGCGAACAGCACCTACGAAACCAACCTCCTGGACCTCATCAGCGCCCTCCAGGGGAACGCCTCCTCCTCCCCCACCCTCTACGCCTCCGGCGCCGTCGGCTCCGGCGGCCGCGACGCCGTCTACGGCGTCATGCTCTGCCGCGGCGACCTGAGCACCTCCGACTGCAACGACTGCGGCACCAGGGCCGGCCAGGACGTGGGGCGAGTCTGCAACCGCACCAGGGACGCCGCCCTCGTCTACAACCAGTGCTACGTCCGCGTCTCCGACGCCGACTTCCTCGCCGCTGCCACCAACAACTCCGGCGAGGTCGCCCTCATGAGCTCCACCAACATCACCCGCGCCGCCGACGTCAGGGCGTACGACGCCGCGGTGGTCAGCCTCCTGAACGCCACCGTGCGGTACGCGGTGGAGAACTCGACGAGGATGTTCGCGACGGGGCAGCGGGTGGGGAGCGACCCGGGGTTCAGCGACATCTACTCCATGGCGCAGTGCTCGCCGGCGCTGTCGCGGCCGCTGTGCCGGAGCTGCCTCGACGGCCTCGTGGGGCAGTGGTGGGACACGTTCCCGGTGAACGTGGAGGGCGCGAGGATCGCCGGCACGCGGTGTAACCTGAGGTCGGAGCTGAACCAGGGCACGTTCTACACTGGCCAACCGATGGTGGTGCTGCGGGCCGACGGACTCGCGCCGGCGCAAGGGCCGGCGCCGGCGGCTACGACGGGAGGTGAGCATACAACATACTCCCTCCGTTTCGAAATGTTTGACGCCATTAACTTTTTAGTACATGTTTGACCGTTCGTCTTATTAAAAAATTTTAAGTAACTATTAATTCTTTTTCTATTATTTAATTCATTGTTAAATATATTTTCATGTAGGCATATAATTTTACATATTTCATAAAAGTTTTTGAATAAGACGAACGGTCAAACATATGCTAAAAAGTCAACGGTGTCAAACATTTCAAAACGGAGAGAGTATTTAGTTGGAGATGTATTTTCAATCCTCGCGGAGAACTGGAGATATCCGCTCATTTCTTACATATGCCATCCAAATAATCTATTTAAATTAATATGAAAAATATCAGTCCACAAAAATACATGGTTAAATTCAACTTCTACAAAATCCAATAAAAAAAACAAATTAAATTGAAAATAGTTAACGTGCATTCACAATTATATTTTGTTTGTTGAGAAGCAGCTAGCAGCCTAGCACTGTGTTGTTGTAATGAGGTGCTACATAGAAGAAAAGGTACAGTACTTTGGATACTTGAACTGATCATTTTCTATGCAAAAGTGCAGGTAAGAATAATTCAGCAAGCAAAGTTCTGGTAATCGTCGTGCCGATAGTGGCCGTTGCAATCGTAGCTGCAACTTCCTTTTGTATATGGAATGTGCGTAGGAAAAGAAGATCAAGAAAAGCAGAACATTTCTCTGAACGTGAGTCCTCTACAAAATTTAGCGTAGAATTCTTCAAAAATTCCATCTAACATTCGAATATCAATTAACTATATCAAATTCATGTAAATTTTCCAGTTGACGCATCTGAGGACCTTGAAAGTGTCAAGTCGACCTTGATAACTCTAGCGTCATTGCAAGTAGCAACAGATAACTTCCACGAAAGCAAGAAACTCGGTGAAGGGGGATTTGGTGCAGTTTATAAGGTAAACTAGCATGCTGGCCCGCGCAGATTGCGCGGCTAGCATCATTATATTTTCTCTCATATAATAGCATATTTGCTTTCTCATTATATTTTTCAAATATATTAAAATGAAACATAATTTTAAATTTTACAATAACTTTATGAAACTACTAATGTGTAATATTCATATTGTATTTTTATATACGTGTTAGTTATTAATTATTTTTAATATCAAATTTTAGTTATTTGTAAATTATATATATTCCTATATGTACTATAGACCTGTCTTTTAATATTTCTTTTTTTATTCCGAATTTTCTGTAAATTGTATTTCTATATAGACTCTAAGCTCTTCTTCCAATATTATTTATTTTTATTTCTGAATTTTTATTATTTCTAATTGTATTTCTATGTGGACTCTAAACTCATCTTTCAATATTCTTTAATTTTTAATTTCGAATTTTAGTTACTTCTAAATCGTATTCCTATATTGACTTTAAACTCTTCTTCCCGTGTTTTTCTTAATTTCGAATTTTAGTTACTTGTAAATTGTATTTTTATACGGACTCTAAACTCTACTTTTAATTTTATTATGTGTATTCTGAATTTTAGTTAGTTTTAAATTCCTATATGGACTCTGTACTCTACTTCTAATATTCCTTATTTTTTTATTTCCGAATTTCTATTCTTTTTCTTAATTGTATTTTTATATGGACTCTATACTCTACTTCTAATATTCCTTATTTTTAATTCCGAATTTCAGTTATTTTCTAATTATATTTCTATATGGACTCTATGCTCTACTTCTAATATTCCTTATTTTTAATTCCGAATTTCAGTTACTTCCTAATTGTATTTCTATATGGACTCTAGTCTCCTCTTCTAATATTCCTTATTTTTAATTCTGAATTTCAGTTATTTCTTAATTGTATTTCTTTATGGACTCTAGTCTCCTCTTCTAATATTCCTTATTTTTTAATTCCGAATTTCAGTTATTTCTAAATTGTATTTCTATATGGACTGTACTCTCCTATTCTAATATTCCTTATTTTTTAATTCTGAATTTCAGCTTTGCTTTTTCTTTTTCTTCGATTAATGTGAGAATTTCTATGCCATGAGAGCGGACTGTACTCTCCTATTCTAATATTTCTTATTTTTTAATTCCAAATTTCAGCTTTGCTTTTTCTTTTTTTCCGATTAATGTGAGAATTTCTAGGCCATGAGAGCGAACGTGGAGGCTACTTTTTCTATTCCTTTAATAATATAATAGATGGTACTCCCTCCATCCCAAAATATAAAAAATTTAAGTGAATATAATACATTCCAGTACTACGAATCTGAACAGGCTAAAATATATCACATCCACCCATAATTCTTTATATTTTGGGACGGGAGAGTAGTAGTTCACAGGTAACTTTTGAACAATTGCTGATTTCCTTTTAGAAAAGAATTATTGATTTGAAGGTATGAATCGAGAACGGTAAAAATATGAAATTCTAAATATGTCTTGATTCCTGAGCGCACTAGTACTCCATTGCTAATTTGTTATAGTTTATTTTTACAAAAGATCTTTGATCTGGCTTTATTGGAAAAACCAAATATTGTAAATTAGTAGCATATGCATGTTAGAGTCTTAAGTCATTACAAAATTCACCATTTCTGTCCATATCTCCATGTATAAAGCAAATTAGCTAATAAACTAAGAATTATTCAGGGACTTCTTTTTGGACAAGAGGTAGCCGTGAAGAGGCTGGCAAAGGGTTCAAACCAAGGGCTAGAAGAGCTTAAGAACGAGCTAGTTCTAGTGGCCAAACTGCATCACAAGAATCTTGTTCGTCTTGTGGGGTTTTGCCTAGAGGAGGGAGAGAGGTTGCTTGTCTACAAGTACATACCGAATAAAAGCCTTGACATATTTCTTTTCGGTACAATTATAATTACCTTTTAATCTACATATATATACCCCTTTCGTTTGCTGACATGCAATAATTACAATAATCTCTTCATCACGTGTCAATTAGACTCGGAGCAAAGCAGACAACTTGATTGGGCAACACGATTCAAGATCATCGAAGGCATTGCTAGAGGACTACAATATCTTCACCAGGACTCACAGAAGAAGATCATCCACCGTGACATGAAGGCGAGCAACGTCTTGCTAGATGCAGACATGAACCCAAAGATCGGCGACTTCGGCCTCGCTAGGCTCTTTGGGCAGGATCAGACTAGAGATGTCACCAATCGCATCGTTGGAACATTGTAACGAAGTCAAACACTTTATCTGTTTGTGCTTATATGTAGCTAACAAACTAACATGTACATTTTTTTCTTGTTGTTGCATGCAGTGGGTACATGTCTCCTGAATACGTGATCCGTGGGCAGTACTCTACAAAGTCAGACGTGTTTAGCTTTGGCATTCTCGTCATAGAGATCGTGACGGGACGGAGAAACAGCGGCCCCCATTTCTTAGAACAAAACGAAGATTTAATAAGCATAGTGAGTATCCTGCTAACTCATAGACAAATACGGAGTATATTGATACCGCTTACATTTTAATATTTGCATTTGAAGATAACCATGCAATATATGATCTGCAATATTAACATATAACTCACAATATGTAACTGATTCTAGGTACGGAGGCACTGGGAAGAGGGAAATATTGTAGAGATGACTGACCACTCCTTGGGAAGAAACTACCCTGAAGCTGAGCTGCTGAAATGTGTAAGCATCGGTCTCCTGTGCGTGCAGCAAAACCCTGTAGATCGGCCTACAATGGCAGATGTCATGGTTTTGCTTAACAGCGATGCTACCAGCACTCTGCCGGCTTTTGCAACTCATAGCCCAACAATTTCCATCGAGGGGAACTCTGGTTACTCTCAAACCGTTACACAATTGTCTCCTAGATAGCAGGGGGCTAAAACATAGTTGGTACTAGAAAATACCCCGCGAGTTGCTGCGGGATATAATGTATCTAAACAAAATGAAGTGAAATTCTAAGAGAACAATTGATCCATCACATTTAGACATAGTGCATACCAATAAAAGAAAGCGAAATTCTATGAGGACATTTGATCCATCACATTTAACATACTATATGGGTTGGATAGGTCCAAGTACTCCTTAGCAGAGCTTCATCCTGTTTCATCGATTATAGGAAAATGAATTTTCTTGACTACAAATTTTGGAAATAATACAAACTCATCTTATGAGGAGATTGTGAAACTTGCGTAATATATGTGTAAGGACAGGAAAGGTGTATAACAATCAAAGACCTGTTTATTGCGCTATGCTACAAATTAAATGAGGATTAGTTGTACTATTCTTTTTAGCAATATATGACAGACTGATAGAGATATATAAGAGATGGCGTTATATTATTTGATTGGAATAAATAATATTACAATAATAAATAAAATAATAGAGTGGGCTAAGCTGATGAAACAAAATGGAGAAGCAAAGACGGAGTTATTGAAATGGATGATCCTGGGAGCTGCAACTTCTTTCTGTGAACCAAAGAAATGGAGTCGACTGAAGGTGATAATCTTGAACTTTGTTTTGTCCTTTTCCCCCTACTCAAGAAGAGTTACATCTAAGTTCGCATGTTTTCTTTCTCGTCTGCTACCTACTATTTGTGTTGGGCCAAAGTATTGGCTGAAAACGCTCCTTTCTTGTTTGAGCTGGTCTCCCCAGCCTGTGGATGTAAAAACTCTCTTTATATAAAAGCTGGGCCATCTGGCCTTCTATCAAAAAAAAAAAGTTCCAGAAATCATTCTCGTTGAATCGTAGTATAGCTCAAATATGAATAGAGGTAGAAATTAATGACCAGAATTTACTTTCCCAATTAGCTAGTAAGAGCATCTATGATAAAATCCATCAGCATGATATAACATGAATGGAGGGGAAATGTGACATTAAATTTTATGAAGGATAAAAAAGTGATATCATGCAGATCTAGCCAATGGCTAGGCAGATGAAGACAAACAGGAGCATTGCCTTTTTCTATACAGGAGGAATGAGTACAACCAATAAACTCATCCCAAAGCCATCTGTTTCAACCTTGTGAGCCAATGAGCTGATCAGCTGAACATGGGAAAATGAGGGAAGAGAAGCACCTGATTCAGCAAGAAGACCCCATGGGAACAGAAAAAAGGTATAGGCCAGGAAGACACGAATGAATGGGCTGCTTGTGTGCAATGAAACAATCTCACTGAAGGAGAAACAATTGTGTCGGTTTGTGTCCAATAAATCAATATGAAGATTGGCGAATCCAGCTGTTGTGCTGCAACAATTTGTTTCATAGCAAAAGGGGAGGCTAAAATGCCTGCTAAAATGCTGCATCGAACCGAAGCCACCAGATGAGTTGGACATGATTACATGAGCCCTTTTACAGATGGAAACCGCGCTAACAGGGGAAATGGATTTGATGGATCTTTGTATCTGGACCAGGAAGAAACGTTTTCGTGGGTATGGATGAACAACTTGTTAGTGCCATTGCTACCAGGTATACATGTATCCTGTAGGATAGTAGTTGGACGTGGGTGTAGCTGCGTAGGCGAACAGATTGATTCGTTGTGTTGTTGCTTGTTTGTGGGAGCTCAGCATGCAAGAAGATCCTTTAATAGCTACCCTTCCAGTTCTTTTCCTCTTATATTCCTTGAGAAGTGGAAGAGGCTGTTGGTTTCGCAGAGGGAGAGACCGTGGGATGGTGGAACCATGGAAGATGAACCAAATGACAGTTTTTGATCGAGCCATCAAGGAGGAGGCGAATCGATGAGGGGAAGAGGACTCGACAACGCACGATGGAGAGGCCTGGTGATGCGCCGCCTACGACACTAGTCGGAAGGAGGAAGAGGAAAGGTTCACTGGCTGGCCCAGGTGGGAAAATTGGGCTGGCCTCAGCGAGCAAGAGAAAAGGCCTCGAGGAAGCAATTTGCACCGTTAAGAACGTGAATCCAACGGATGGAAATAAGTGGTGACGTGGCTCAACCTCAAAGCAGGAAATTGCTAATAACTACACTAAGTGGGGATGATTTGTATAGGTATATAGGATTTGCTCGTTGATGCTTGTTTTGTTTTCCGTTGAAATTGTATCTTTTATCAGTTTGTAATCAAGAATTGTAAAGTTAAATTATAAACATGGAGATACGAGGAAAACCAGTAGTATGTCACTTTCTTTTTCCCTTTTGACTTCAATTAATTAGTTTCTCATAAGATACTTTTAGCGTAGGAGTAATGGATATCCATCTGACCATCCATGCAAGTTGTTGCAGCTACCGCGGCTGGTTTTTTCCACGGGGGCGCCAGGTGCACGCACTCCACACCCAACCATTTGATTATTTCTAGTTAAGAATGGGTCAAGTGTTCCAATCGATTAAGTGCGTGCTAATTACTACTAGTACTCGCATGTTGAAACAGCTGCTGCGTGGTGGTTTCCGCTCACCTTTATTTTCGACAACGAATGATCGATGAAACGTCCCCCCTGAATGAACGTACTTTACGACGTAAGCATCTGTCTAAAAAAACACGAATAATAGAAAATGACCTAATATCAAATAATTAGAAGAGTGACTTCGAATTCAGGTCGTCTACCTCACCACCTTGTGAAGCTAGCTGGAAGACTCTGGGTGTTTCTCATGAACATCTGCCTAACGTTGTGTGGTGACCTCAGTCTCTGTGGGCTATCGCCATGGCAACTTGCCAACACCATCGTACGTACGTGCACGAGAAAAAAACATTTCAATGCCGCGCGAAAATTCTATCCTCTTTTGCTAGCTTCCATCCCACTGTGCATCCTGCTGACTGTGACAGCTGCGTCCACGGGCGCCATGCGGCGGCGCTCCACGTTCGCCGTTCTCCTCTTCGCGGCCGCCGCGCTCCCGCTCGCCGCCGGCCAGCCGTGGCAGCTCTGCGGCCGCCGCGGAGGCGGCGGCGGCGGCACGTACACGGCGAACAGCACCTACGACACCAACCTCCAGAGCCTCATCGCCGCCCTCCAGCAGAACGCCTCCACGTCGCCCACTCTCTTCGCCGCCGGCGCGCTCGGCGCCGCCCCGGACGCCGTCTACGGCCTCATCCTCTGCCGCGGCGACGTGAGCTCCTCCGACTGCTACGACTGCGGCACCAGGGCCGGCCAGGACGTCGCCCCGGCGTGCAACCGCACCAGGGACGCCATCCTCGTCTACAACCAGTGCTACACCCGCTTCTCGGCGGCCGGCGACTTCCTCGCCTCCGCCAACAACTCCGGCCAGGCGCCGCTCATGAACAGCGACAACGTCACCACCGCCGACGTCGCCGGCTACGACCGCGCCGTCACGGAACTCCTCAGCGCCACCCTGATGTACGCGGTAGTGAACACCACGAGGCTGTTCGCCACGGGGCAGCGGGTGGGCGCCGACCCGGGGTTCCCGAACATCTACTCGGCGGCGCAGTGCACGCCGGACCTGTCGCCGGCGCTGTGCCGGAGCTGCCTCGAGGACCTCGTCGCCAGGTGGTGGAAGACGTTCCCGCGGACCACGGTGGGGGCGAGGATCGTCGGCACGAGGTGCAGCTTGAGGTCGGAGGTATCCCAGGACAAGTTCTACACCGGAGCCCCGATGCTGAAGCTGTGGGCCGACGGCCTCTCGCCGGCGGCGGCGGCGGCGTCGCCGGATGCTGCGCCGGGCACTACGGGAGGTGACAATACCGCGTCATTTCGATAACATATACTCCCTCCATTTTTAAATATAAGATATCGTTAATTTTTAAACATGATATTTGAAAATTTGCTGGGTTCAAATTTACTGCAAATATGAGAAAATATAAGTCATTATACTTTTTTATGGTTCATGGATTTCTGCATTGTTTATGTTATACCGGATTACTTTTGAACTGATAAGTCTGACTTTTGTTACTCGTCACATTCTTGGTGTTATGTCAGATAATCACCGCGCAGACAGTCAAGACCCATAGTTTAGCATGGCAAATGCTGTATTACATCATGTCACGTATATATATTAGTAGTATGTCAATTAACGATGACTATCTTCATAGCTCATTGTTTTCATTGAGTCTTAGAAAAATCATAAATTGGCACACGAAGAGACAGAGACGGATCCAGAAAGAATTAATATGAGGGTCTGAACAAACTATACAAAAATTATAAACCCATCTTCTAATTAATGTATGATAAAAAATTTTAGTGGGGTCTTCGTGGGGGCTCCTATGGTTACGACACGGGTAATGGAGGGCTCGAGACCCCCATAGACCCATGAAGGATCCGCCACTGCGAAGAGAAAGTCAATTTTGTTCGTTGAGCAGCTGGTAGCTCAATAATCAGCTGCTCAGACAAGAAAACAGGTGCTCTGTTTTGAATACTTGAACTGATTATTTTCCCTCCAAAATGCAGTCAAGAATAATTCAGCAAACAAAATTCTGGAAATCGTCTTGCCGATAGTGGCAGTTGCAATCGTAGCTGCAGTTTCCATCCTCTTGTGGAATATACGCAAGAAGAGAAGACGAGGGAAAGCAGAGCATTTCACCGGACGTGAGTGATCCTTCTCATCATTGGCATAAAATTCTTATCAAATTCCACTATACATTGTTAATCATCCGTATTCATTAACAGTTTATCAAATTCATGAAAATTTGACAGCTGATGCAGCTGAGGACTTCGAAAGTGTCAAGTCAACCCTGCTATCTCTGGCATCACTGCAAGTAGCGACGGATAATTTCAATGAAAGCATGAAACTCGGCGAAGGGGGATTCGGTGCTGTTTATAAGGTATGGAAGTAACCTTTTATGTGTTCTTTTGAGGAAATAATTTTTTATTTCACGGGGCGAATTAAGCATGGTAAAAATATGAAATGATAACTTTTTACTATGAGTGTACTGATCCTTAATTGTTACTTTGATAATTTAATTAATTAATACTATTTGGCAAATATCATTCAAGATCGCCTAATATTGTAAATTAGTTACAGCACCAAGCTTTTAAGCCATTCAAAATTCAGTTTTTTCTATCCATATCTCCATGTAAGAAGGTATTAAACCAAATTTTTCAGGGGCTTCTTTTCAGACAAGACGTAGCAGTGAAGAGGCTAGCGAAGGGTTCAAACCAAGGGTTGGAAGAGGTGAAAAACGAGCTAGTTTTGGTGGCCAAACTTCATCACAAGAATCTTGTGCAGCTTGTGGGGTTTTGCCTAGAAGAGGGAGAGAGGATGCTCGTCTACGAGTACATGCCCAACAAAAGTCTCGACACCTTTCTTTTTGGTACTACTGATATCACCCCTGAATTTAGATATGTTACCATCTTTTCATGTTTCTGCAATGAACATGATTCATGCTAATTAGATGAAGAGAAAAGGAGACAGCTAGATTGGACTACACGATTTAGGATCATTGAAGGCATTGCTCGGGGCCTTCAATATCTCCATCAGGACTCCCAGAAAAAGATCGTACACCGAGACATGAAGGCGAGCAACATCTTGCTAGACGCAGACATGAACCCAAAGATTGGGGACTTTGGACTTGCTAGGCTCTTCGGACAAGACCAGACTCGAGAGATTACAAACCGCATCGTTGGGACATTGTAATTAGTTCATAAATATATATGTAATAAAATAATTAACTATGCAATTCTCATTCTAACCATGTGATTATTCTTGTTGGATGTTGATGCAGTGGGTACATGTCTCCTGAGTACGTGACGCATGGGCAGTACTCCACGAAATCAGATGTGTTCAGCTTCGGCATTCTCGTCATAGAGATCGTGACGGGCCGGAGAAGGAACAACGGGCCCTATTTCTTTGAGCCAAACGAAGATATAATAAGCATAGTAAGTATATACTACCTCCATTTTCTAAATAGATGACGTAACTTAGTGTAAATGTGCTGAAGTATAAGTCTTACGTAAAGCTTTTTTAATGATAAAACATGTCACAACAGAACAAATGATATTTATATAATTTTTAAATATGACGAATAATCAAACATTATGTCAAAAGTTAACAATATTATTTATTAATAAAAGAGGGAGTATATATTTTGCTAATTCACCAAGACTAATGCACCATTGATTGCCACTTGCACTTTTAGTACTTTCTAACATATAACCATGCATACTGATTACTGAAGATATTTATGTATCTAATACTAGGTATGGAGGCACTGGGCAGAGGGAAACATTAAGGAGATCATAGATCACTCCTTGGGAAGAAACTACCCTGAAGGCGAGGTGCTAAAATGTGTTAACATTGGTCTCCTGTGTGTCCAGCAGAACCCTATAGATCGTCCAACAATGGCCGATGTCATGGTTTTACTTAATAGCGATGCTACTAGCACTCTGCCGGCCCCTGTAGTTCATATTCCAGTAGCATCTTTCTCCGATGGAAGCTCTGGTTATTCTCAAACCGTGACACAATTGTCTCCCAGGTAGCAGGGCCTAAAGCAGAGCTTGCCATCGCTAGTGTAGTTGGCTTGTTGCTTGTTTTTGTTTCGAGTTGGAACTTGAAACTGTATATATTGTCATTTTGTGATAAGTGGTCAAGAGCTTGGCCACACGAGCCCAATGCTACAGAATCACCTACAGAAGCGTAGGACACATCACTGTATATTGGGATTCCAAAAATCTGCTTATCTGAGAAATTACTGCAGTACACACAGCTCGCTAGTGCTGTAGAATGCAGATTGCTCTGGACCGTTAACTTAAAAGAAAGTTTCCATTACAGAGTGTAATTTGTGACCAAGTCAGTAGCAGATTGAGCGAAAATGAGCGAAAATGGGCAAATGGCCGGCACAAAAGCTTGGGTAAAACGGAGGAAAAAGTTCACTCGAGGTCCCTCGTCGCATCGCCGAGTTACAAAATCGTTCCTGAACCCAAAAACCATATACAACGTATGCCCCAACTTCCAACTTCCAAAACCAGTTTAAAACGAGATCCCTTGACAGTATTGTCCCCCGATTTTGGCTGACATGGCACCCACGCAGGGGTAGATCTACCCATTAAGCAGGGTGAGTCGACCGACCCAGCTACAACCTGTAAAGCCCCACACCCACCAAGACCCCCTACCCCTTATAGTAATCATGGGCTAACAAGGTGTGAACGCCCAACAGATTAGTCCGTTTCTTCACAATGCACGCCCGCTACAAACAATGATTCAGACAGTTATGCGATTGAACTATAAATACGATATGTGTTGTTTTCGATTGTTTTTATCGAGTGAATATCTCTGTTCTCCGCCCCATCTATAATTTAAAGTCGTGTCTACCAAACATGGCTCCTTTGACAAGGTCTTCGTCCTAGGTGGCATCTTCCTCTCTTTGTTGCGTCAGGCAGGGAGGAAAGGTAGAGGAGGAGGCACGGCTCCGGCCGTTGTGGGTGATCTCAACGGCGGCAGGAGGTGGTCCCAGCTGCGACGGCATTGGGAATTGGAGGCAGCCAACAGTCTAGTTGCAGCGGGAAGAGTTTTAGGGGAGAGAGAAAGAGTGGAGGAAGCTCGGCAAAGAAAGCGGGTGGCACGTCGACTCCATGCCGGTCTCCAGTGTCGCCACTGGCTGCGCCCAGGACAACGAAGGGCTCTTCGTCGGTGTCATTGGGCTGCTCTCCTTTCCCTCCCAGATCTTCGCCCCCTCTACTCCGGCTCTACTAAGCTCTCATCGACACCGCCCCTGCCCGACCTCCTCCGTGAGCGGTGCTCGCGGGTCACTGCCAGGGCGCCCCCTCTGCTGGCGCCAGATTCCATAGACCCCATCGCCGCCAGGGGGATGGGTTGGGCACCTTGCCCCTGGGCTACTTCTACTGACCATTGTCAGCCTCATCTTTCACCACCACTCCCGGTGCTCCGCCTGCCTCGTCGCCAACTAGGGGGTTGGGCCCCTCCTCAAGCTACCCATGGCGCGGCCACCACCCTCGCTGACTCCGTCCGATGGGACGCCGGCCTTGACATCCTCCTCCGGGTCCTGCTCCTGCTTTCTCAACCGCTAGCCTCAGTGTTCTTCACCGCGAAGACCCCTTATCCCGTCGGCCTCCATGCGTGGACCGACGCACCTCCACCAGCTTGAGTGAGAACGGGGGGAGAGCAACAGAGGGAGAAGAATGAGAGTTTGTGTCATTGATATGTGGGTCCCACGTTGACTCAGTCATCATGTTGGACAAAATGGGGGTCAATAGCGTGTAAGAACCTAGAGTGGTCTGGTTTTGTAAAGTTGAGAGCTGACATATATCTGGTTTTTCAGTTCAGGGACGATTTTATAACTCGGTGACAAGGTGAGGGATCTCATGTGAACTTTTTCCTAAAACGTGAGAGGGCCAGGAGTCCAGCACGACAGAAATGAGGCCAGGCGACCCAGCGATTTCACTTCAGGTTGGGGGCTCGGCCTGCTGGCTCTGGTGAAACAGAAGCAGGCCCATTTCTTTCAGGATATGGGCTTATGCTAAACGATCGTCCTCGTGTAGCAGGCCAATTTTTCAGGACGTACAAAACCAACATCCGGCCTGCAAGGGGAGTATCCAGCTTGATGTAAGTTGGATTTATAGGAACACAAATCTTGATGTAAGATCCCATAGATAAAAAGTTGAAAGACAGGAGCATCCAAAAATCTATCGCAAGTAAAATAATGAATTCGAAGAAAAAATGATTGCCTGCAAAATTAAGGGGAAGGAACATGCGAAAATCGTTTCTCCAGTGGTGACCAATCTCGCACAGATTTTGACTTGGTTGCTATCCAGCTGGCAAGTGCATCAGGGGTCCAGTCACACAGTGAAATTAATCATGTTTAGACACAATGCAAGTTTTCTTGTACTGTCCTATCTGCATGCTAATTAAGTTGCCAAGTGTGAAGCCAAGAACAGTTGTCTCCAGTAACGATCGATTGGCAACAAAATCAAAGTCCAAGTCAATCAACGAGTCTTCCAATTTTAATCGGTACTAGTATCTATCCCTATCTCTTAAGAATTTCTTTAATTAGGAAGATCTGGTCGTTGATTTAGATGGTATCATTATGACCGTATAGAGAACTCATATTGAACGAAACATGCTATTGTATAGCTGAACTGTGCGTGAGTGATGCGAGAGAAAACTGATGGATGATCTACAAACAATAGGGACAAAAAAATAGTATGCATACTATAAAGTTAGCAAACTGCTTGGAAAAAATTATCTAAACCATGCTAATGGAGAAAGTTTTGGACAAATTGTACCTTTCGAAGCGTGACACAAATAATAGGTCGAAATTGTACCTTATTAGTCTTTTTAAATGTTATTCTAAAATTAGGAAACAATAATTATCAAGCGTTACCATTTTTTACTCTTAATTTACTGTTTTGTTATTATAATTGTAAAATCCAAATGTGATATTAGTTAGTTGTAAATGCGGTGGAATCAACTTCTAGTTTAAGCCTGTATTGCTAAGAAAATAACAGTGGTCAATATATGATTAAATTCAAATAGATGTGATATCAACAACAATAGAAATCTCCGTTCAAGTAAGGTTTGGTTACTAGTAATTTCAATCCAAATTTCAAATTAAAAATTAATTGTTCTTCAAATAATCCTCATGGTGAGATCAATCCACACATTGGAGAAGCACAAGAGGTGTTATGCAATCCACCGTTAGGGTTTAAATCCTGGTTCACAAAAAAATTATATATGTGTGGGTGTATTTTATTAAAGAATACATTACAATTATATAAAAATAACTTGGCAACAACTTAATAGGTCAGTGCCATCTAATATAAGAACTTGATAATTGAACATCCAAGTACAATACTGTGACATGTGGGTCCATTATAATATAAAGAACTTGACAATTTAGTATTTTGGCGTAAAAACTTAGCTAGGTATGTGCTGTTTTGATTTATGAGTGCTTGATAAGTTAATTATTTCACGATATCAGTATGCCATAACATAGCCATACTGCAGATATTATCTTATGTTGTTCATCCCAATTTAGCACGACTGGTATAGATTTTTTCTTCACCTTATTGATCTCAACTGAAATACAAAACATTCTACTAGTAAAATTTAACTGACTTTTAATTACTAAAATGAAAAAAATAAGTATGCTTATACAATATAGACAAGTATATATGTTGACAAAATAAGAACTTAAAAATTGAATGTGTATAAAAAAATGCTCGAAATAATTCAGTTGTTATATTAACTCTTAAGTTATTATACCAAAACATACCCATCATGCAAGTTGATGTAATTGTATACTTATTAAGTTCCTGTACTAGATTGTATACTTACTAAGTAAGTTCTTGTACTAAATTTCACTCACCCATTAAGTTATTGTATTAAAATGCTCATTTCTCAGGTTATTGCACTAAATTACACCCGTCTGCTAAGTTAATATACCATGATTGTTTATTAAAAGTTTAGTGAGATCATGTCTTGATGGCGCATTCGTATGTGATGCGTATATATGTTTCGCATGTAGTGAAACATGAAAAATGTTAAACCGCATGTTGGGTTAATAACTAAAAGGAGATCAACAAGGAGAATATTTTGGCGTCCAGATCTCTAAAAAACGTTTCAATCATTTAATCATGCGCGTGTACGTGAATTACGTCCAATTTTGTTATATATTGTGAACAATTTTTTAAAAAAATTTAACAGATGTAATTACATTGTAACTTGCATATAACTATAATATAACTTTTACATAATTTTGAACCGTTAGATTTGTTTCAAGATTTGTGCAATCAATGATGGGAAAAAAATCACAACACACACAAGTGAAAGGATTTAGTCCATGACCTCCGTTTCACGCAAATAGCATGCCACGAAAAGATTTTTAAATGTTACATACAATTAAGTCACATTATAGCTAATATAATTACACCACGATTACACTATAATTGTATTTGTCAAATTTTTAAAAGAAAAAGTTATTGAAAATGTATAGGTGATCCCATTACGTCGGCTGGTGGAAGGCGGACTCAGCACGTACTGCAGCAGGCGCTCCCGATTCTTCATGCGGTTGGATACGCTGGATGCCATGTCAGATGGGGAGAACAGTGGATTTTCTTCAACTTGAAAGATTAATCGACGTTAAATAAACATTTAATCTTAATGCATTGGGTGAAAGATCTTGAGCTGGTTGCTATATATCCAGGCGACATGCATGCATCACGGTCCAGTCGCTATACCTACTATACCATAGACTGAAAAATAAATATGAACAGATACAAAGTAACAAACATAAAGTAAGTTTTCCTTTCTGAATCTGTTGATTCTAGTTTTCCTTTTTGGGTCTGTTTATTCTACCCTGTTAGTTTCTGACAGAGAAACGACTGGTTATTTCACTGAGAAACGACTGGTTATTTAACTTATAAGAATATGGAGAAGTTGAAAAACCCAGTTTACTAATTTATATAAGAAAATACAAACTAGTTGTAAATCAGTGATGTTTGGAAAAGTTACAGCTTTTTCTACACAAAAACAGAATATATATCTTGTTGCTAGAAGTTTTCCAAATAAACATAGCCCACATGCCTTTAGCTGAGTCGTGACTTATAAGACAATGAATAGTTGAATAGTTCCTCAATTGATAGGTCAAGTGATCAAGCCCACTTATGAGGCCATGAATAGTTGCCTCAATTGATTGGTCACAGGCTCAACCACAAGTCAATCGACCAGAGTTTCTACTAGTTTCTTTCTTCATTATTATATAACACTGTTAACTTCCGTACCATTCGTTCTATCTAGGGGTTTTATAAATATAAAAAAAATATAAATCAGGTTTAAAAGTCATTTAATGAGAAAACAAATCCAACAAAATAAATAATAAGTACATAATTTATTTAGTAAAACAAACTGTACAACATCGTATATTAAAAGAAATAAAAGTAGTTATCTTGGCAGGATAGGTGAAGAAACGCCAACGGAGGAAAGAGGGCAAACATGGGGATGTGGATTTTCATCGAATTTGTAGTTACATGTTTGTGTAATAACTTATATTATCACAACACATCGTACCAAATGTTTTCACATTTTTATTTAACTATTTATATCATATGCATGTTATAGAAAATACTTTCCCGCTAAATAGGTTACTGGTTACAAATACACAACAACATACCGTTGTTGAGAGAGAGTATGCTAAACTCTCAAGGGGGTGTCACATCGTCTCTTGCATGACTGTGAATATACACATATACTAATTAGAGTTTAATTTATCTTTTTTTTACAACTTGTAGAAGTCATATTTAAGCATAATTATTTGTGAAGTCACATATTAATCCATCTTACTATTTTTTTTAGTTTTTCCGATAACTGTTTAGATGACATGTGATAGACGATGAAATATTCCTTGAAGAATTTAGAATCCTAGATGATGCAACAGTCTGAATGCCACAATAATTAAGAGGGCCGACAGAGCATGGGAAAAACTGAAAAAGAAAAAGACCTACTAAGGCCCGGTCTAGTTCCAAAAAATTTTCTCAGAAATATCACGTCGAATCTTTGGACACATACATGATGCATTAAATATAGATTAAAAACTAATTGCACAGTTAGGGGGGAAATCGCGAGACGAATCTTTTGAGCCTAATTAGTCCATAATTAGCCATAAGTGCTACAGTAACCTACATGTGTGCTCAAAAGATTTGTCTCGCGGTTTCCAGGCAAGTTATGAAATTAGTTTTTTCATTCGTGTCCGAAAACCCTTCCGACATCAAGTTAAATATCCGATGTGACACACGAAAAATTTTCTTTTCACGAACGCCGTATGTACAAACACAACAATATGGCGCTAGCTCTCCCTACTAGACCTGCCAACTTCGTCCAAGCTCGCCCACCCTTCGTCAAGCTAGCTACATGCACCACCTACATGGCGTACTTCTACCTCGCCGCCGCAGCATGCCTCGTCGGCGTGTTCCTCAACGCGCCTCACGCCACCGACGCGCAGCCCATGCCATGGCATCGCTGCAACACGAGCAGCGGCAACTACACGGCGAACAGCACGTACCAATCCAACATACAGTACCTGGCCACCTCCCTCCCGGCGTACGCCTCTTCCTCCCCCTCCCTCTTCGCCTCCGGCTCCTCGGGCGCACCCCCCGACGCCATCTACGCCCTCGCGCTCTGCCGCGGCGACACCACCAACGCCTCCTCCTGCGCCACCTGCGTCGCCGCGGCCATCCAGGCCGCCCAGAAGCACTGCGCGCTCGTCAAGACCGTCGCCATCTACGACGACCCCTGCATCGTCCGCTTCTCCAACCTGGTGTTCCCGGTCAGCCCTCCCTATAACAAAGGAATGTTCGTCGCGTGGGACGACAACAATGTCAGCGCGGCGGCGGCGGCCGCGTTCGACGCCGCCTTCGCCCGGCTGGCGAACGCCACCGCCGAGCACGCGGCGGCGGACTCGGTCAGGCGATTCGCCACGGGGGAGGAGGCGGCGCTCGCCGTCGCCGGCGAGGTCTATCCCAAGATCTACTCGCTGGCGCAGTGCACGCCGGACATGTCGGCGGATGCCTGCCGGAGCTGCCTCGAGGATATACTCGTGAGGATGGTGCCCACGTATTTAGCCGGGAGGAAGGGCGGGCGCGTGTTGGGCGTGCGGTGCAACTTCCGGTTCGAGACGTATCCTTTCTTCTTCGGCCAGCCGCTGTTGCAACTCCCGGGCTCGCCGGCGTCGTCTTCTGCTCCGGTGAACGGAGGTATGTTGGATGAACACGAGTGAAGCTTGCAGTGTTAATTTCTTTTCCACTCTTTCTATTTATTATTAGTTGTATGATATTTGCTCTTGGGGTTATGGGTAAAATCGTTTTTACCCAACTATTTATTCTTTCCCATCACCTAAATTTGCATAACACACTATCACTACCTCTGTTATTTTTTACTTCACGTTTTGGACATCGCCATATATAGTCTCTAGGGCACGTGTTTCATTCATATTTTTTTTCTAACTATATTTTATATAAATTATTAAAAAATATTGTTATATGAAAGTATTTTTCATAACAAATCTACTAATATTGCATATTAGATCATAATATTTTTTATCAATGAATTATTTAAAAAGGTTTGAGTATACATCCAGCAAAAAAGAAAGATTTGACTATGTGTATTTCTAGGAAATAATCTATTTGCAGTAAGAGGTAAACACTACTATTCGCATGTGTTTTGGAATCATTCCCACGATATATTTATTTCCAAGCAGCGCCTGGCCCTCCCTTTCACTGACTACCAAGTCTACCACTACCAATGAGTTGGGGACACAACCCCTGTGTACAAGGTCCTGTTTGGTTTCATGGGCTAATTATTAGCCCCCACCTTTTAGCCCTGAATTAGCTCTCAAGGATCCAAACATGTGGGCTAATTTGAGGTTAAAGTGCATTAGCCCCCCTCAAAACATTAGCCCCTTTAAGTGGTGCTAATGGAGCTAATTTTGGGTGGGGACAATCAAAAAGCAGCTCTCTCTCTCTCTCCTCTCTTTCTACTCTCTCTCCACCATTTAGCCTTCAATTAGCCCATGGATCCAAACATACCACCTTAGGCTAATGTTTAGCCTACCAATTCATGACTAAATATTAGCTCTCAAGATTAGTCTTGGGCTAATCTTCCAAACAGGGCCCAAGTTAACCTTTTCTCAAAGCTCCATGATATTATTTTGAGTAAAATATGTTATTGTTAATCCGTCCGTTTCAATTACTTTTCGTTTTACCTTTGTCGTAAATCAAACATTCTTAACTTTAATCATTGATTTTGGAAAATTGTATAGTTGAATATCATAAGATTTATGTTTTTAGAGCAATTTTCACAAAACCGCAAGTTTTGGGCCATCCGTAACGCATAACCCTAGGTTTTGGGGCAAAGTGTTTCATAAAACCCCAGCTACAAGCTTATATCTTCTATTTGACTAATATATTGTAAAAATTGTATGTGATATTTTTAGTACATATACACATTAGCTGCTTTTCAATAATCGTTGTTCATCGCGGTCTGATCATTTATGTGTATATTTAACCAATTATTATGACATTATCACTTAGGATTATGTCCATTTTTTTATATAGTGACAAATTGAGAAAAAAATATAAACTAGACAAGAGGAATGTGTACTTTGAGTCAACAAATGTAAATTTATGCAAAAAAAAAACATAATCATATGTAATATGAGTATTTTACATAAATATACTACATGAAAGATTTTCATGGACGCCGGATCCTTTTGTTTCCAGGCGGACCGTATGTGGAACAGCACAGGAAAATGGAGGGACCGGCGCTAAGCCATCGTCCGTATAAGAAAATCATTTTTTGTGTGCGGGTCAGTTAGCAAGCCCGCACGTGAAAAAAAGTCTATTTTCGTGTGCGGGCCTGTAACTGACCCGCACACGAAAAATGCCCACCCTTCACGCCCCTCGCCCCTCCGCCCACTACCCTACTACCTCCCTCTCTCCCACCTCACTCTCTCCCTCTCTCCCACTCCACTCCTCTCCTCTCTTTTCCTGGCCGGCCAGTGGCTACAGCAGGCGGCGGCAGGCGATACGGCGGTAGCGCTCGCCCTTCCCTCCCTCTCCCTCGGTTGTGGGCGGGAAGAAGGGCGGTGACAGCAAGCTAGGGCGGCAGCGGGCGACCACGGCGGCACGCGACCCCTCCCCTCCCTCGCCTTGCAGATCCGGCCGAGGGGAGGCATGGGGGCGGCGATGCTCGGCCCCTCCCTCCCTCTCCCTCGACAGCGGGCGGGAAGAAGGGCGGCAACAACAGCAGCGGCGGGCGACCACGGCGGCGCGCGGTCCCTCCCCTCTCTCCCCTTGCAGATCCGGCGGAGGGGAGGCATGGGGGCGGCGGTGGGAGGCGGTGGGAGGTGGTGGGACGGAGATGGCCCGCGCCGGATCTGGATCGATGTGAGTTGATGCCCCTCCCCTCCCCTGCCCTCCCCCTGCAGATCCAGTGAAGGGGAGGGGCGTCTTCGGCCGGCGACGGGAGCGGGCAGCGGATCCGTAGGCGGCGACCGTGGGGGTGACAGCGACGGGCCACGGCTAGGGCAGCGGCGGAGGCGGTGGATTGGGGTTAGGGTTTTGTTTTTCTTTTTTTTTGTTTCGATTTTTTATTTTCTCGTGCGGGTGAGGCACCCGCATGCGAAAATCGCGATTTTCCCAGACCCTTGGGTGCGTGCGGGCCGACCATCCGCACGGAAAAATTGAAATCGACTGCACACAAAAATCTTTCCTGTATTGAAATGGGGTTTCTTTAAACATTTTATCCCAAAACATGGGGTTCCTTGAAACAAATCACAATAACTGGGGTTTTGTGTTATCGATGCCCCAATACCCGGGGTTTTATGAAATTTACTCTAAATAATTACATTCCCCACGAGAAATATGTAATTCGCATGTTGTTAAACAATATGAAATTTTAGAAATTAATAATCAAATTAGCAATGTTTAGCTTAGAACAAAGCTAAAACATGTAATTTGAAACAGAGAGAGTATTTGGAAATAAATGTAATTGTGACAATGAGTGTTTAGTACTAAAGAAACAACAAAACCTAAGCCATGTTGTTTTCAATTGTTTCTACATACATATAGTAAATTTAGTTGGGACTTCATATATGTATTCTGTAACTTACAATGTTGGTTTGCAGAAAGATCGAAACACAAGAGAAGTACAATGATCGGCATTCTGGTGCCTGCAATTGCTTTATCTTCCATCGTAGCATGGTTTTGTTCTTGGAGGTGGAGGAGAAGACTAGCAGCAAGAACCTTAGAGCTAAGTAAATATTCTTAGCCATTTTATTAAAAACGCAGCACGGGAACTAATGAACTATCCTGATGGCAGTTGGCTAAATTCATTATAAACTAGGGGATAGCCCCATTCAGTTTTGCACGGAGCTAGATAATTCACCTATAATATATAACTCTGAAATTTTATTTCTATATAGATACCATTATATGTAAAAGTACATTTGGATTTTATATACAGCGCTTAGCTTCTATTTTTATAAGGTCCCATATACAACTCCTCGATTATGTTTCTATAGGCTTAATTTCATATGCAACTCTTTACTTCTATTTCTATGAATATATTGTATTTTGTTTACAACTATATCAATCAATCTATATCGTTATAATCCGGACCGACCATGATCTAACTGTTTAGATATTTTTCTTTTTCTTTGATTAATGTGAGAATTTCTAGCCTCTAGAGCGAACATTGGGTCTCCTTTTAAGGATGTCTTAATAATACAATAGATTTTGTTTAGTCAAATTCTATCATCTTTTTTTTTCTAAAAATAAGTCACTTGTCTTAACATTAAAGGCAGTTACTTCTCTTAACATAATGCTTCATTGTTTACTTTTCTCTTCCTAGTTCCAACGGAGTCTAGTACAGATGACATGCAAAGTATCGGCTCGCTCATTCTTGATCTGTCAACACTAAGAGTTGCTACAGATGACTTTTCTGAGCACAAAAGGCTTGGTGAAGGTGGCTTCGGTGTAGTGTACAAGGTACCACTTGGATGTAATTGTCTGGGTTTTCTCTCAATTTATAAAGAGAAATTTTACTCTTGTTAAATAGCTAAGTACCGACAGGTACCGTACTTTTTTCTATAAAATTGATGTTTTTTTATACGGTATCTTCTGGTAACTATCAAGGGCTATAAAATCATGAGGCCATAACTTCTCTTCACCTGCTTGCAGGGAGACCTACCTAAAGGTCAAGAAATAGCAGTGAAGAGGCTCGCGAAGACTTCCAAACAAGGAATAGAAGAGCTGAAAACTGAACTACTTTTGGTTGCTAAGCTGAACCACAACAATCTTGTCAAGCTTATTGGCGTCTGCTTGGAAGAAAATGAGAAGATACTTGTATATGAATATATGCCTAATAGAAGCCTTGATACCATTCTTTTTGGTACTATTTCTCACAGCTCCCTGTTTTCCAAAAAAAAGATCTCTCATCATGGTAATGCAAAACATGATCAAGTCACACTTATATATATCGAATTGGTGTTTTCTTGTGTGAGTGGTAGATGCGCAGAAAATCAAAGAGCTCAATTGGGGACAGAGGTTCAAGATCATAAATGGAATAGCTAGAGGGTTGCAATATCTTCATGAAGATTCTCAACTGAAGATAGTTCATCGTGACCTCAAAGCAAGCAATGTTCTGTTGGATTCTGCTTATAATCCTAAGATTTCTGATTTTGGGTTAGCTAAGATATTCGAAAGGGATCAATCAAAAGTTATCACCCATCGTATAGCTGGTACTTAGTAAGTATATGTCCAGTCCTTTAAAATGACAATTTTATTAGTTATCTGGTAATGCAGTAAAAATAATGTTATTCTTACAGTGGATACATGTCACCAGAGTATGCAATGCGTGGACAATATTCAATCAAGTCAGACGTGTTTAGCTTTGGTGTCCTGGTTTTAGAGATCATCACAGGGAGAAGAAACTTTGGCTCCTATGGTTCTGATCAACAAGATTATGATCTCATAAATGCTGTGAGTACACGAACACTATATTAATTAATTTATTTATTCTGGGAAAAATATGTAGTACAAACTTCATAAATCTGAAACTACCGTAGGATGTACAAATGGACGTCTGAAAATTACTCATGGTGACGTGGATAAATCTTAGAGATGTCCATTTGTGCATTCTATAGTAGCTCCTTGGTTTGCACTACATATGAAGTTTGCAGTACATATTTTCCTTCTATACTAGGCTATACTTCTCCTAGTTAGAGTTAATTTTATCGTACATTAACCCATTGATTTGATGTAGACATGGGAGCACTGGACTAGCGATAAAGCCCTCGAGTTGATCGATCCATCATTGGGAAATCACTATCCAGTTGACAAGGTGCTCAAGTGCATCCAAATTGGGCTGCTCTGTGTTCAGCCGAAACCTGCTGATAGGCCATTGATGTCTGCTGTTAATGTCATGCTTACTGGTACAATCCGTCTCCCTTCCTTGTCCAGACCTGCCTTTTGGTTTCAGGAGATTGGTGCTAGCTCAGATGTAAATTCAGAGCAGAACCTGCTTGACCCACACAACTCAACGAAAATGTATCAAAGTGAAGCACCGATCACAGAGCTTGAGCCTAGATAAATCTTGTAAGATGAGTTGAAAGAATATCCGCTTCTTCTTTCATACAGTTACCGATATTTGTACAACGGACTCTTATTAATCTGGCTATCTAGGTGTTGTGTTTTCGGCTCAACAAAGTCAAGTGGAAATTATTAGATGTTAATAATGTATCCTGCTGTCATCCTGTTTAAATCAACAGGAGCATGTTTGCATTGTTGCACAAAGATACTGTAGCAAATACGACACATGCTTGATACACTGGTTTTTCTTTTGAAAGAATTGATGCACTGATTCTTTATGTTATTCTTGGTTCCCAGTTGGCACTTCAATATGCAAATCATCATTACTTAAAAAAAAACTATTTTCGTAGGTAAGGGTTCATTTTTTTACAGCCAAACAGAAAAATATCCCGCCTGTAATAATAGTCGAGGAGCTCATGCAGGATAAACCCACATGTGAAAATCAACTTTTATAGGCTGCCATTAAAGAGGACCGCTTGTGAAAATATGTTTATTTTTGCTGGTGGTCCTCCTAATTCACTGCATGTGAAAATCGATTTTCACAAATAATAAGTAAAGAGAACCACCTACGAAAATCTTCGGCCACATTAAAAGGCCGATCGACCCAGCACTGAGGAGAGTTCATCTCTCCCTCGCATTCTTACTCCCTCTCCTAGCTAGGCGAGCTTCTCCCTCCATCCATCCAAGCCTCCTACCTCTACTCCCTCTCCCAGGCAGCGATAGGCATGCATCAGCAGTGGCAGTTCTTGGGATGGCAAGATCTAGCGGTAGCGGGCAAGGGGACGGTGTCCGGCGGTGGCAACATCATCCACGGTGTCCTCAGCCCCTCCACGGTGAGCTCGTTCGCGACAGCGGTAAGCATGCATCGGCGGCGGCAAATGGGACGTACGGCATCCGGCAGAAGCAGTGTCGTCCACGATCCACGGTGTAATTCGTCCCTCCCAGGCAAGTTTGTCTCTGTGGCAACTGTAGGCATGAATCAGCGGCGGTGACAAGAACATCCACATATAAGTGGTGAGGTGTCACGAATTATGACAATCTATTGGTGTTGCGCCAAATTTGGTACATGTTGCGGTAGAAATCGATCTAGAGATTTGGAGGTTTGGGGAAGATTGCGCAGAGATCAGCAACTTGAAGTAGGAGTTGGTCATTTGACTTTATGTATTTTCATCAACGATGAGGTCTCCGATGGTTTTTCTATTTCGCGAACGCGCTAAAGGATTATACGCCAATATATTAGAAGAAGAAAACAGAGTTTAGTTACACAATGCAAACCGGCAGAAGGTCGTTGGCAGGGAACAAGGAAAAAAGAAACGAAAACCAGAAAAAACACAATTAAAAAGATTTGCTGGGAGGGTGGGGTGGGGATTAGTCCCTAAACTCAAAAAAGGCCCCCAAAAGCGTGGCACCACTAAAACCGAAGGATGGACTCTAGCACTACTAAAATCAAAGAGAGAGAGTAGTCGAAAACCCTAGAGTTCCGCTCCTTCTACGATTGCCAGGAGACCAGAAAGACAAAGGAGTCTAATAGGTCTCCAGTGGTAAGGCAGCTGCTTATGTACCGCAGTGTCTCCAACGGCGTCTGTGGCACAAGTGCACAACACGCCGGCTCATCAGCGACCAAACACACGCGCTACAGGCTACAGCTGTGACCGGAACATACTGGCCCAGCGGGGAAGTATCGTGTGCAATCGCACTTCCCAGTGGGAGAATGCAATCAGCAAGGTGGATCACCAGATGCGAAATGTGCGGCTTGGATTGAAGCAGGTCATGAGCTAGGATCACTTTAAAATATATGCAGATGCCCCCCCAAGTGTCAGTGCGCATTTTGCACGCAACACCCCATAATTCACTCTCTTCTACTCCATAGTCCCCACGAAATTCCCCTTTCATCTCATCGAATCAAACACAATAGAGATGGAGGCGAAATGTACGCGATGCCGAACGACTCCCTCGTCGGCGCCGCCACGGAGTGGGACAGGCGGCGGGCGAGATCCAACGGGTGGCTCCGCCGCGCGGTCTACAGCTCCGCCCGTGACCTCGACGACGCGCGGGCCAGCCCCATGGCCGCGCACGCGCCGCTCCGCTTCTCTGTTGCGCCAACGGCAGCCGCCAAGCCCAAGGTCGTCGGTACATTTTTTAAACTTTCAAGTTTCAATGTTCCATAGATCTAGAACAACTACCTTTCCTTTTGTAAAAAAATTTTTCAGGGATTTTTTCGTTATGTCTACCGTTGGTGTTGATATGATTTTTATTACTTGGCCGAGGAGGATTCGAACATTTTTATCCATTCTTCACACGAGGTAGAAGCAGATCTCGGTTTACTGCTCCAGATTCTTGTGAACCAACGGTTAAGCGAGTGTAGGTTACAGAATGAGTTATGTTTGTAAATGCACTTTTTTTTGTTCTTATATATGATTTAGTTTCTTTCGACCTTGTCCTGAAACTTTCTGTAATGTTCCACTCTCAGGAAAGCTTCCACTGAAAGGAGAGAAGTTTTCTTTGAGGCTATGTCTGAGAAAGTAGCAGATAGTTCTTCTGAGAGAACGACTAGTCCTTTAGAATCAGACAGCGACGCATTTTATAAAAATCTTGATCCCCTCTTTTCTGTATTACATTTTTGTAAGCTGTTAAGTTCAAAAAAAATTAAGAAGAAGAGTTAAAAGATTAAATTGAATTCTGCAGGGTAAACCAGATTAAACCAGAAGATGTGGTTGCCCAGCGAGGATGAGGCTGCTGAAATGTGCTACTGGTGGTTATTATGTCAAAACATTAGTTGATTATGCTGTAAATAACATTAGATGTGCTACTGGTGGATAGATATTAACGTTTACATAACATTCTTCTTCTTTTTGATCAAATTGATAGGGAAAAATGGTGCAAAACGACGTACAGTGTGATTCTTCATAACACATGTCAGAGTTAAACGTGCGAGTGTGGTTTGAGTGAGTACTTTGGCATTCTCTGATGTCATGCGATAAGTGTCAGTTATTTACCATAATTTTTAGTAAAACATCTTGCCTCACTTGCAAGTAGAATTAACTTGACTTTCATCGGAATGGCAAAATGTATTTTTGCAGGTTATGCTACATCTGGGCGTGCGTACTATTCCTCAATGCCATATTAATGATGCGATGGACCAAGAAAGCTCGTGACTCTATCCCAGCACACCTTGGGACCTTTCCAGATGATGTTGGGATGGCCCAGGCAAGAGTATTCAGGCATAATGTTTTGCAAAGCACTGCGAATGAGATAGTTAGGCTCGGTGATCAGGATAACCAATCTTTTGAGATTCTTCTTCGTTATCTTGGGGAAGCAAAGGAGGAGATTGCCAAAGCCGCTTCCAAGATGTCTGGTGCTGCGGCCAGTTTTCATTTCATTTCATTTCAGATGTTTTCATTTCAGATGTTTCAGTCTCTTAATGGAATCCATGCAACTGTACCTTTCGAGCTTTTCTAATCTAATTAATGTGAAATTTGCAAATTCATTAATTTCTGTAGCTTTCGAGCTTTTCATAATATTATGTTGAACTCTTTTTCGTCCATCTAATCTTTAGTTTAACCACTTACATCCAGGATGCAATTGAGGTTGCAGGGGTTGCTCTTGTTTTAATCGGACCAGGTACTGTTGAAAAAACAGTGGCAGTGGCGGCGACGACGACGACGGCGAGGAAGAGAAAGGGTTATCACTACGCTTGCAAAAATGGCGTCTCCTATGCCACCACTGACTCTGATGTGTTGTTGAACCCCTTTTTTTTTCTAGCTGATCTACAAAGTGTGCAGTACAGATGCATCTCTTATTCATTGCCATGGTAGTAGCCGTGTCTGGTGCTGTTGTTCTTCATCTCTCTAGCAAAGTATATCTTGTTAATGAATTTGGGCTCATCATGACAATACGATGAAAGTAACATTTATGATCCACAAAATTTATAGAATGCTATTTTAATATCACTGCTGCACACAAAGATTTTTCTGGTGAAGGGCACATTCAGATCAGTATTGTGCACAAGGACTTCTCTGATAATGAGCACATTCAGATTTAAGGAGAAGAATGCAACAGACAGGCAGATGAGGCAGCTTACGTCTTTGTAGTGAACGATATTTATCTTCTGAAATGTTTGAGCAGAACTTATGACACAGATGTATTGGATAGTTTTCCACATGGTCATGGATGACACATTTGCACAATCTGCTTAAACTTATAAAACATTTTTGCAATCTTGGGAATCGAACATACAAGAAACCATATGTATCTGTGTGTGGCGAACAAACTATGCATTCATTTAAGTTTAGATGCCAAGGCTCCAAATATTTTCAGCTTGCATGACAAGGAGAGAACAACATAATAGTTTTGAGTAGCAGGAGCCAGGAAGCCAAATGCAAGTTAAAAAGAAAAAACCATGCTGACATGCTACCAACATTTTGCTATGTAACACAACTAGTTCAGTAGGTCACAGAATGAATCTTAGTACATGACATAGGACTAATCGACATATCAAATTGTTGATACATCACACATTTGATTAGAGAACAAAGACCACCCTATATAAACTAGGTAGCAAAATAATGAAATTGGAAGTATGGTCCCCGATGTTTGATCCTAACAAACTTGTAAATGACAGATCTTGAAATTGCAGATCACCATCGCCATGCTCCATAACAGCAAATTGTAAACCAAGATAGGCTCCAAGGAAACCTGCCACCAAACGCAAGTAGTTAAATGTTTAGAAGCAAACCATGATAGGTTTAGATAAATCCACCCACACACACCAGCACCTCCATAATACATAGCAGCAAATTGTAAACCAGGGTTGTATGGGGAACCACCATCAAATGTAAATAGTGAAATGTTTAGAAAAAAATAACATGACAGATTCAGATAGAGTTGTTCAATTATAAACATATTCACCTGTAGTGTTTGCTTGGTTGCCAAAATTAAATTGCCATAAATTGCCAAAATAATGCTTCTATCAATATGGCAAATACACCAAGATAATCCCAGACAACCAAAAGAAGAGGTTACCCAAAATGAATCATCATAAACTTGCTCCAAAATGACAAACTTACTCCAAGCTAACACCTGCCATCAATTTGAATAGATTAACTACACCGTTTAATCAAAGGCAACAAAAACAGAAAAACAAAAAAAAGATGGAGCAAGGGCACTAACTTGATTCATGGATCTAGTGGCTTTTTAGAGCCATTTGCCTTCCTTTTCTTCTTGTTGTTTTGCTGCACTTCCCCTTCCTTATCATCATTACTAGCCTTTTTTCTTGCCTTGCCCTTATCCAAATGTCCCAACAATCTATTGCACTTCCCCTTGGCACGCACATCGTTAGGTGGGTGAATGTCAATTTGCGTAGGAATGCTACAACCAAGAAATTCCTCGATCTCGCTAACTCTAGTCCTTTGAGTGGCTGGCACCATCTGTCTTACTTGTTTTGCAATGTCAAGTACACCATTTTTCAAGAGTTGCATGCTATCAATGGACTGCTTAGCTAGATGGATTGTTTCTTCCATTGTGTTGAATACATCAAACACTAATTTTTTCATCATAGGGTCAGTTGAGGTGCTCTCACTTTCTTCCAACAAGGTACCCTCACTATCAAACACAGGTTCCTTTTTGCACATCTTTGTCCACCTTCTGAGGACTAAATGTTCTGGAAGTTGATTTAGCCTAGCACTTCTAAGGACAAGAATCACATGGCGGCAAGGAATTCCAAGAGATTCAAATAACATACAAGTGCATGAAATATCCTTGGTTGATGTGTTGTATAAGACTTTTCTTTCCCTTAGTGAACTATCACTTACCGTAGTGATTTTCACATCCCCCTCGATTTCGATGTTCTCAACTATGCATTTCTCCATAACAGCTACAACCTCTTTCTGAAAAGTGTCAAATATCTCATGGGTGAACACCTCCCTTCCATGCTTCTCAAACCCCCATTCTGTTTTTAGTTTTTGGTTAGAATGAACTGTAACATTGTCATTTTCTAGCTCTTTGTGACGTTGTTCTTCTAGAGCTGTATCAAACCTGAGCCAAAACTCCACCAAAGCAAGTTTGAAGCCTATAAAATGACAGAAAAAGGAGTTGGTACTCTCAGATCTTGAAGTCGTTCGAAGAATGCCCCAAGAGAAATGTCCTTGAAGTAAACTGGTATCCATGATTCCCGGATACGATACCTCGTTGTCAACCACTCATGGTCTTCTAGACCATAGTCAGAAATAATGGAAGTCCATTGTGCCTCAAATTCCTCATCAGTTTCAGTACACCATACACATTTGTTAAACCGATCAAGGAACTCTTTGTCCTCTCTTAGGGGATAGCCTACCTTATCCTTTAATTTCCTCATAATATGCCACATGCATAACCTGTGGGTGCTCGTAGGGAAATCAACACTAATTGCTGCCTTCATACTAGCACATTCGTCAGTTATTATTAGCCTAGGTTCAACACCTCCCATTGCTCGCAAGAATGTCTGCAGCAACCATCTATACGACTCTATCTTTTCATTACTTAGCAGTGCGGCACCAAATAATACACAAGACCGAATCGATCCACTTACCTTTCCTTCTATCTCTGTCCCAGACCTCGCCGCCAACAAGCTAGCGGCCCCTCACCCCGCCGCATACCGGCCAGAAACACGACGGCGACGAGGTGCACTAGCGCCCAACCTGAGACTGCGCCGCCGCTCAGTGCGACGAGCTGAATCCACAGTGTACTAGAAACCCTAGCCCTCAATGGGGAAAGCTGAAATGTTTTGGAGAGAGAGGAGAGTCAAATGTTCAGCCTTGGCTTCTGCTATAATAGAGGGACTGGAAGCATTTTGGCACATAACATAGAGACATTTTTGCATAAACAACCAACAATGTGGGAAGTGCTTCGATCTGAGCAGTACACTTTTCATCCGACGGTCCACATTGAAGATTGAATTTCTCCCACCGAATAGTAGTATTGCACTGGATACTTCCCCCTGGCCCAGCAACATATACGCACACTTGCAAGTTTAGAAGTTGTCCTGCCGTCTCAGACATGGCACACATGACAATTAGGCTAGGAAAATTTGCCTCGTTTGATTGGTCACATGCATGGAAAGAGACTCACATCCAAGACCTGGAAGTCCACTGTCCACGCATACATGGGCCACGGCTCTACGGCACTCCAGCCGGCGTCTCCGTACGTATCCGGCCCCTTCTGATCTCTTCCTCAGTCACAAACCATCATGTCCATGGCCTGCTACTACCTCGCCGCCGCAGCCGCCGGCCTCGCCTTGCTGCTGCTCCACGCGCCCCTCACCGATGCGCAGACGCTGGTGCCTTTGTGTGGTGACAGCGGCAACTACACGGAGCACGGCACGTATCACGCAAACATACAGTACTTAGCCACCTCCCTGCCATCGTACGCCTCCTCCTCCCCCTCCCTCTTCGCCTCCGGCTCCTCGGGCACAGTTCCCGATGCCATCTACGCCCTCGCGCTCTGTCGTGGCGATACCAACTCTTCCTCCTGCGCTACCTGCGTTGCCGCGGCCATTCAGAGCGCCCAGGAACTCTGCCCGCTCGTCAAGACCGTAATCGTCTACGACGACACCTGCATCCTCCGCTTCGCCAACGACGCCTTCCCGATCAGCCCTACCTCCAATAGCCAAGGGATGGTCGTTGCTTGGAAAGCCCAAAATGTCAGCGCGGCAGTGGCTCCGGCTTTTGAGGCCGCCGTCGTCCGACTCATCAACACCACCGCCGACTACGCAGCAACGGACTCCGTCAGGCGGTTCGGCACGGGGGAGGAGGCGTTCGACGAGACAACTTTTCCCAAGATCTACTCGCTGGCGCAGTGCACGCCAGACATGGCGGCGACTGCTTGCCGGAGCTGCCTCGAGGATATAGTTGGGAGGATGGTATCTGGGAATTTGATTGGGAGGATGGGAGGGCGAGTTTTGGGCGTGCGATGCAACTTATGGTTTGAGGTATACCCTTTCTTCTCTGGCCGCTCTCTGTTGCAACTCCCGGGGCCGTCGCCTTCACCGGCGCCACCGGTGACCGCAGCCGGAGGTATGTTGGACATACTTTTTTTCTCCTTTTCTTTTATTTATCACTTGCCTGATATTTTCCTGTGTGCAAAGTGTGTTTTCTTCGATAACTTATAAGGCTGGTTAAATTATATTTGCAGAAAGATCGAAAAACAAGAGAAGTGCAATACTAGCCATTTCAATGCCTACAATTGCTCTAGTATTAGCTACTATTGCAGCATGGTTCTGTTCGACGAGTTGGAGGAGGCGGAGACTAGCAAGAAAAACATTACGACCAAGTAAATTCATCTTATCCATTTTGTTAGAATGGAATATCACGGAAACTAATTAATGAACCTGTCTTGTTATTTTTATGAAAAGTTGGCTCAATTCAAGTGATTCATTAGAAATTTCGTTTAATCAAATTCCATTCTCTCTTTCTCACACAAAAAAAAAATCAGTATCTAATATTGAAGGCAGTTATTTCTAGTTGCCGTGTTGGACCACTTTTCAAAGATGCTTATATTTAGTCTATAGATCTTCTCTATATATGGTACTTCTCAATTGTCCGCACAATAAAATTATAACTTGGAGCTACCAAATATTTGGACAAGGCATCAATCAACATCCCAAGTTATAGTTCGGCGAAATCTCCTGGTAGCTCCAAAGTTAGTAGAAAGACTTTTAGTCATATTAGTGTCATTAATTAAGATAGTACTTCCATCCTTACGTTCTAATTTTTTTTCTAGTCAAACCTATTTAAGCTTAACCAAATTTATATCAAACAAATTAGCAAAATATAGTCAACGTTTGATTTAATTAGACTAATTTGATATCGTGGATATTGTTAAATTATTCTATAAACCACTATAAATTTTTGTTAGAAAAGATCAAAGCATCTTAATCTTATAACATAAAATGGAGGGGGTACAAGGACTCTTTCCATCTGTTAGTCATATACTGCGTAATTAATTATTTACTTCTCTCTTCCAATAGAGTCTAGCGAAGATGAGATGCAGAGTTTTGCTTCACTCGTTCTTGATCTACAAACACTACGAACTGCTACAGATAACTTTTCTGAACACAAAAGGCTTGGTGAAGGTGGCTTCGGTGTAGTTTACAAGGTACCACTCACACCATGTGTAACAGTGTGGGTTTTCTCTCTCAATATATGATGAGGCCGCAACTTCTTTTTTCACCTGCCGCAGGGAGATCTACCAGAAGGTCAGGAAATAGCGGTGAAAAGGCTCGCACAGACTTCCAGACAAGGAATTGAAGAGCTGAAAACTGAACTACTTTTGGTTGCTAAGCTGAACCACAACAATCTTGTCAGGCTTATTGGCGTTTGCTTAGAAGAAAATGAGAAAATACTTGCATATGAATATATGCCCAATAGAAGCCTCGATACCATTCTTTTTGGTACTATTTCTCTCATCTCCCTGTTTCCCAAAAAGAAATTAAATTTCATGATGATAGTGCAAATACGCCTAACTCATACCTACATGTCATAATTGGTGTTTTCTTGCTTGAGTGGCAGATGCAGAGAGAATCAAAGAGCTTGATTGGGGCCAGAGGTTCAAGATCATAAATGGCATAGCTAGAGGATTGCAATATCTTCACGAAGATTCTCAACTGAAGATAGTTCATCGTGACCTCAAAGCAAGCAATGTTCTCTTGGATTCTGCTTATAATCCTAAGATTTCTGACTTTGGTCTAGCTAAGATATTCGAAAGGGATCAATCACAAGTTATCACTCACCGTATCGCTGGGACTTAGTAAGTATGGCCAATCCTTTAAAATAATGAAGTCAATAGATCATGCAGTAAAAGTTATGTTCTTGCTACAGTGGATACATGTCTCCAGAGTATGCGATGCGCGGACAATATTCAATGAAGTTAGACGTGTATAGTTTCGGTGTCCTGGTTTTAGAGATCATCACAGGAAGAAGAAACTTTGGCTCCTACGGTTCTGACCATGTGGTTGATCTCATATATGTTGTGAGTACATGGACCCAATTATTCTATACCGAGCTAACTTCTTCTCCCAATTATAACTTAAATCGAACACTAACCCATTGATTTGATGCAGACATGGGAGCACTGGACTAGCGATAAAGCCATCGAGTTGATCGATCCATCATTGGGAAACCACTATCCAGTTGATAAGGTGCTGAAGTGCATCCACATTGGGCTACTCTGTGTTCAACCGAAACCTGCTGATAGGCCATTGATGTCAGCTGTTAATGCCATGCTTAGTAGTACTGGTACAGTCCGTCTCCCATGCTTGTCCAGGCCTTCATTTTGGGTCCAGGAGATTGGTGCTACTGCTAGCTAAGGTGCAAATTCAGAGCAGAACCCACACAACTCAAGAAAAATGTCGCAAAATGAAGCGCCGATCACAGAACTTGAGCCCAGATGAGTATTGTAGGATGAGAATTGAAAGAACCTCGGCCTCCTCTTCCTTGCATTTACCGGGAATTGTACAACAAACTCTTATTAAGCTGCGCTAGCTAGGTACCGAGTTTTTGGCTCAATAAAATCAATTTGAAATTGTTAGAGCTTAATAATATCTCCTGTTATCAGCCTGTTTAAATCAACGGAAGTCATGTTTGTACTGTTGCACACTGATACTGTAGCAAATAAGACACATGCTTGATACAATGGTTTTTCTTTTGAAAGAATTGACATATTGATTCTTTCTGTTACTCTTGATTCGCACTTCAATATTCAAATCATATCCTAATCTGTTGCAACTCCACAGCCATAAATGTGACAATATCTTGAGTCTTGTGCTGCAGTAATTCATCTGTTATTTTCATAGTACAGAATACGGATCATTTTGAACGGACGTAAAGACACATTTCCCTACAAGCAAGATCCTGACCTTGTTTGAGCGCATTCGTTCAACCACGTCACGTGATGCCAAGCTTACTAGGATTCGTTCAATGTTGGTTCAAGCACTTAATGCTAAACATTGGAGCCATTTACTGAGTTTGTTTGGCTGCTTGCTGTAATGGTTTCAGTTTCCACCCACAATGTTTGGATCGGGGGACGTAATTTGAATGTAGGCAGGGGATTAAAAATTGGGTCTAATTCGACAAACCAAAACAAGATTGCATCAAGCAAAAAAAAAAAAAAAAGAAGCAGGAAATTGTGAGAGCAACAGGAACGTAAATCAGCAAGAGGTTGAACATAAATCGGATCAAAATCACCCGACCAACATGGTACAACGAAAGAAGCTTCCCCTCGAGATCTTCCTCACCGGAACGTAGCCTGTAATCCGGGAGTTGGAGGTGGTCGACGGTGTCGTTCCGCGGATGCCGGTTACTCGTGAAGATAACAGCGGTCGCCGCCTCGTCGGCGGCGGTCGGTGGCGGCGGTTTGAGGTGGCGGTAGGCGGCGTTGGGTCTCGTGGAATCGAGCGGCCGTGCGGCGCCATCGCGAGGATCGAAGCGGCGGCGTTCGTTGGAGGAGGCGGCGCCGCCTTGCCGGGAACGCGATTCCTCTCCGTATCAGTGTTGTGTTGCTTAGCAATTGGGCCGGTATTGGATCCCACAGTACCAGATAACGGCCCATCGTAAGCAAACAATTGTAACGGTTCCTATCAGCGCTGGGACCAGATACGGGCCGAATTTGGCCCAACCAAACACGTCCCAGAGACACTGCCTTGTCTAGAAATGAAAAGCCTATACGTACTAAAGTTTCTATTACTAAACTCTTATTACTAACACTAGGAAGGTAGCCCGCGCAGATGCGCTGGCAATTTATTTATTGTTTACAAATTTAATTGGTAAATTTTGAGATAGATCTAATGGTTTAGAAAATTTGAAGATTTTTTTCCCAAGAGAGAGGAAAGGAAAGAGGAGATGAGGAGAGTACGTCCGTACCATGGAAGGGTGTGGAGAAGGTGGGAGCACATACTTTTTTTATTCGATCTAATGGTTAAAAATATTGGACCCACCAATTTAAAACAAAATCAATGGATAGATTTTAGAGTGTCACTTGGCTTAATCCAAACAAATTAAAATTAAATCAGATCTACTTGAAAAAACACAACTAAATTGTTTTATTTTTTTCGCAATTACGTAGTACATTTATCAAGTGATATTTGACATCCTAAAATATGATACGAAATTATTTAAAATTACCGTAACATTAATTATTATATATTTGCCCAAGATGTGGTGATGTATTTAGAACCGCAATATAAATTTTATAAGACACAAATATTTTATTTAATTAAAGAAATACAACGGGATCACAAATTGGTTATATAATTTAAAAGATGAACGTTTAGAAATAATTGATTTGACATTTTTTATTTATATTATAGATCTAGTTTATATTTGCACATATTTGTGGAGTAATATATTTTTATATGGTAAAAAGTTATATTTTAAAGACCATTGATTTTGTTCTGATGGTAATATGTATTATCGATTTTAATTTATTTTGAATCTTAAATTGTTGGTTTAATTATGTATAGAGCAACAGTTAGATTAGATATGATATGTGTAGCTTAAAATAACTGTGGTTGTTTGTCTTTATCAAAGCTACTCAAAAAATATAGAGAGAAGTGGAGGGGGCAGAAAGTGTTTTGCGTATCTAATGGTGAGGGTGAGGTAGAGGGGACTTTGTTTTTCTATTTTTTCTAAATCATTTAGGTCAAAAACCAATTATCATGTATTTTGTTTTTTAAAATCTTTTTTAATTTTAAAGTCATCATAATGACTTAAAAAGGTAATATTAGATACACCTATTTAAGCTGGACGATTTAACTGGAGATGGCTTGGTTCGAATTAGCTACGTAATATCACGGTAAAGCCATGCAAACTGATTTAATTAGCTGTATATGTTATATTACCGTTAACCTCCTTCCACAAATCATGTATAATACACTAACTAATTTAATTTGCTATGTATAATCTTCTTGTTAATCTCCTAGCTTCCTTATATATATATATTGCCGTGCATATAATAAATATAGCTATGATTAGTAGTAACACAATATGACAGCTAATTAATCTCAACTTCTAACAACCATAGTTACTAATCCTTCCGGCAAACCATACATATGTACGGGAGAAAGGTAGATTTAATTCATTGGTATAAAATAGCGGGTCCACCAATTTAAGTGAAAATCAACGGCAGGTAAAGATCTAATCTAACGGTATAAAATAATGGGTCCACCAATTTAAGTGAAAATCGACGGTGAGATTATATTGTGCCACATGGCGGCCTAAGAGTATTTGTAGGAGCTCCACGTGGCGGCTTGAGAGCGTTTGTAGGAAGTTTAATGGACTTTTAGTATATAATAGATAGAAGATAGATAGATAGATTACGATGTCATGCTGTAAGCCCATCTAGATTGTCTATAATTTATATCTATTAAGATCAAACTATTGATATCATTAAGAGTTCTGTAAAAAAAAAGTTAGTACATGTAGCTGTGCTCGTCTAGAAAACACTACCGTCCCAACCAACTAGTCTTGAGGTATGTGTGCATGATGTCCCAACGAGCGCAACGCGTCCCTTTTTAATTATAAATAGGCCTAGCCCGTTAATATATGAGCTTCCAGTCTATCCTTAATTATATAGGATCTGACTTGTTCAACGTACGAGTATGTAACTTTCTCTACTATCTTAAAAGCGGAATTGTCTTACTCCTGTCTCCTCCTTCCACCGCATGGACCGTGCTCGCATACCTAGAGTAAGTAGGTAACCACTAGATTAAATATTTTATTTCAAATCAATCTTATAGACTATCGATATTTATATGGATATGACCTGTTACAACTTAGGGATATGTTACTAAGTCATTTTAAAAGCACAATACCAATGTGTGAGTGTGACTTCCCTCTCACAGTGATCATCGACGGTTGTGCGTCGGTGGGTTTTTTTTTTTCAAAGGTTTGTGCGTTAAAAAGTTCAAAGTCGTATCTCCGGTTATTAAACATCTATCATTTGCCTATCATTTTCTAACATAATCTATTAGCCCAAGTGCGGAAGTGCCCCGTTGCTGCGGGCAGTTCTCGCAAGACCTATCGACAGAAAACTCCGGTCCAAAATGTCATTCTCATAGTTTATCAGTGGTTGAATGTATTAGAAGCAAACAAGTTTTTCAATGTATTTAATAGTTCAACGGAAAAAATCAGAGCTTTCCACATCACTCCGTAGGTCTAATAACAGCATAATTGACAACAGTGACAATTCATCATGCCATACATCGTGATCACTCCTGACTTTTATTATCCACTCCGGTCAGTTTCAATTTCTAAGAAATACCATCTTATTAATTCTAATTACAGCCACAATGGTGGATTCAATAAATAATAATATACTGACGTGATGCAGTAGGGCATCCCCACGCATCAACCTCATATGTAATATCTAGAAGCATTGTACACGACTGAACTAAAAATTCAGGATTCATCTCGGCACAAGCTCTGTGATTGACAAATCATTCGAAGACACCACTGTTGAATTATCAGAATACCCGGAATGTCTTGGTCTTGGATAGCGTTCTGAATACGGATTAGAGCTGTCACTGGCACTAACCTCCTGGATGCAGAACGCCGGCCTGGATAGAGAAGGGAGACGAACAGTGTTGCTGCTAAGCATGATGTTTACTGACGAAATCGTCGGCCTGCTTGCAGGTTTTTTCTGAACACACAACAACCCGATGTGGATGCACTTCAACATCTGCTCGATTGGAGGATGGTCGCCCATGGATGGATCAATCAGCTCTACAACGTTTCCCCTTGTCCAGTGCTCCCACACCTGCACCAAATTGGTTGATCTATTCAAGTAATATATATGTTGAGAAGTTTGGTTAATTATTCATGAACAAACTTGAAGTACTCACTAGGTTTAAGAGATCAACATCTTGCCCACTATCATATGAGCCAGTGTTTCTTCTTCCGGTGATAATCTCTAATACCAAAACGCCGAAGCTGAACACGTCCGATTTGATTGAATAATTACCACGCATAGCGTATTCTGGTGCCATGTATCCACTGCGACAAAGAACATTACATTACAACCTAGTATTATATTTGTTACCTTAATTTTGATAAATGTTGACCATGATCATGCTTACTATGTTCCGGCGATTCGATTAGTGACATCTTCTGATTGATCCCCTCCAAATATCTTTGCTAAGCCAAAATCAGAAATCTTAGGGCTGTAATCAAAGTCCAATAGGATGTTGCTTGCTTTGAGGTCCCGGTGCACTATCTTCAATTGAGAATCTTCATGAAGGTATTGCAAGCCTCGAGCAATCCCATTTATAATCTTGAATCTTTTCCCCCAATCTAGCTCCCTGTTCTTGTCGGTATCTGAGGCTCAAACAAGAAAAACCATAGCATTGTAATGTAACTAATAACTCTGGCGGCATTTGGCACTAGTATAATTGTTCTTTTTTTTCTTTTGGAAAAACTACTAGTGAGAAAACCGTACCGAAAAGAACGATATCAAGGCTTCCATTTGGCATATATTCATAGACAAGTATTTTCTCTTGCTGCTCCAAGCAAACACCAATAAGCCTTACTAGATTCTTGTGGTAAAGCTTAGCAACCAAAATCAGCTCACTTTTCAGCTCTCCTATTCCTTGTCTGGAACTCTGGCAAAGCCTCTTCACGGCTATTTCTTGGCCATCAGGTAGGACTCCCTATCCAAGTAAAGATACTTACTATATAACCAACAAAAATATAACTGATAAAGGTACATGTGGTATGATTTTCTACCTTGTAAACCATACCAAATCCTCCTTGGCCGATCATTTTAGTATCAGCAAAATCATCTGTAGCAACTCGTATTGTTGGTAGATCAAGTATAAGCGAATCAATGCTCTGAATATCGTCTGAACTAACTGAATCTGTTGGGACAAAGATGATAAACAAGATTAAGCTTATCAAGAAGTCTGGTTTCATTCATTCAGGAAAAAAAAAAAAGGGAAATATGATTTCACTAGAAGCCGGGGACACAGCTTGGCATTAAGATTCAAGATAATGAAAATAAATAAAAGCAAACTATTTTCAATTCAACCACCAATTCCCTGCCGGTCAACAAAACTTATCCATTTCTTGCTGTGCTAACATACCATAATTTTTAGCAGACTTACAGGACAGAAACGTCTGTTCTTCTGGTCGTCTCTTCTTGATCCTCTTCCAGCAACAAAAGCATGCTACAACCATGAGCAGTATTGCAGCTATTGCAGGCATAACTATCGCTAGAACTGTACCAATCCTATTTTTCGTTTTCTCTGCAAATAAATACAATCCGATTCAGAATTTCAGAAAGTGTGAACTGCACTTAGAGACTGTATATTTTGCCGTGGAATTTCCACGAATTTCCACGAAAGAGTCATAGTTGGTCTTTTTGCAAGATTATCTGCAATTAATTAATCTGTGTGCCTTTCACACCCAAAAGAGAAAAGTGGTTTGTGTTGCTCACCTCCACTGGTCGCCGATGGCGAAGGCGGCGGCGGCGGCGTCTCCACGAACGCCGGAAGCTGCAGCAGCGGGCGGCCGGAGAAGAAAGGGAACACCTCGTACCGGAAGTTGCACCACACCCCGAACATGCCCCCTCCCGTCCTCCCGCTGAATTCTTTGGGCAGTTGCCCGATCACCGTCGAGAGGCAGGTCCGGCAGACTTCGGGCGTCTTGTCCGGCGTGCACTGCGCCAGCGCGTAGATCTTGGGGCGGTCGCTGTCGCCGTCGACGCCCTCCTCCTCCCCCGTGCCGTACCGCCTCGACGAGTCCGCCGCCGCGTAGTCCGCGGTGGCGTTGACGAGCACTGCGACGGCCGCGTCGAACGCTGCCGCCGCCGCGGCGCCCACGCGGCGGGAGCGCTGGAGGGTGTAGGTGGTGACGAAGTAGTCATCGTCGAGGAAGAAGTCGCGGTTGGAGTAGCGGAGCTGGCAGAGGTCGTAGAAGACGAGCACGTCCTTGACGAGCGGGCACCTCCGCGGCGCGTCGCGGAGGGCGGCCGCGACGCAGCGCTCGCAGGCGGAGGCGTTGGCGTCGCCGCGGCACAGCGCGAGGCCGTACACCTTGTCGGGGACGTCGCCGACGGTGCCCGTGGCGTACATGGCCGGAGACGAGGAGGTGTTCTTGGGGAGGGTGGTGGAGAGGAGGTCGAGGTTGACCTGGTACGTGCCGTTCTTCGAGTAGTTGCCGCTGGGAGGGTACGGCCCGCACAGGACCCATGGCGGAGGCTCGTCCTCTCCGGCGGCGAGCGGCGCGTGGAGGAGGACGGCGAGGAGGAAGGTTGCGGCGGCGGCGGCGACGCCGTCGAGGTAGGGACGGTGGCGGCGCATTGTGCTGGCGATGGTAATGGTAAGTTGTCACGAGGCGGCTAGTGTAGAGGAGGTTCGGGAATTCGACTAGTCGAGTGATAGGTGGGGACGGAGTGTTTGACCGGAGAAAGTGGTTTAGGCACATCATTTGTTTTATATAAAATCAACCTCTATTAATATTTAAATTTTATAACTTAATTTTAAATTTGACTTTAATTAGTTTCTTCGATGTTTATTTTTAGTATTAGCTTTTAAATTACCCCACGCATATATAGAACTACAACATGACATCCTACATGGAGAAATTTGCATATAGACCATCCATAAGAATTGGTTTCGTTATAATATCATCGTCAAAATGGGATTAGATCAAATGCCACTCTCAAGCAAGGGGTATTCGCTAAAATATCATTTTCATCGTTTCTTGCATTTCCAAATTATTTTTCCTCAAATTTATTTTCTCTCGGACATTTATGCCCCTAGATGAATAGGTTGAACCAGACCACATTTCATCCCTCCATTGTGTGTTCTAGAACCGAGTAAGCGCGAGAGGAGACCAATGTAACGTGTCGTGATAGAAGCACCCATCGGAGTAGGCCGAGACCATGATCGCCCAGGTGATTCCGCTCTTGTCTGACATTTCGTTGAACACCTGGCACGCTGCCTCCGTGTCCCCAAACACCGCATAGGCGAGCACCAGCCGGTTGGTGAGAGGCAAAGGGAGGCCAGAGACGGCGAAGTTGCCGGTGCAATCCTTGAGGAAAGAGACATAGGAGTCCTCATCGGGCAGGAGCCGAGCGCTTACTCGGTGAAGCCGTTGTGCTAGTAGTTAGTTTCCTTCTTTCGTCTTCGCCACGCGCGGTAGAGGAAATGACAAGGCCGTTGTTGTTGGAGGTGGTGGGACGGGGAAACTCAGACGCAGGTGTAGGGGCGGTGGCGGTGGCGGTGGCGGTGGTGGTTTGGTCGGTTTTCGCAGAGTCGGCAACCGCAACGCTCCCCTAGCGGTGGCATTAGTGGAGAGATGGCGGCAACGAGGAGAGAGGTGCAGAGCCACAGCGGTGGTAACGCCGAATGGCTTGGCGATGGACCAATGTGCCATGGATGTGTGGGTTGAGGCGGTGAGGCTACCAGCGAGCAGGTGGTGGGCGACACCGGTGAGGTTGTGCGGTTGCAATTGCAAACTCTCCTCTCGAGCTTGCTTGGTTCTAGAACTGAGAATAGGGAGATGAAATGTGATCTAATTCGACCTATTCATCCAGGGGCATACACATTCGAGAAAAAAATCGAGGAAATATAATTTGGAAATGTAAGAAACAGAGCAATGGCATTATAACGAATGCCCTTCGTTTGAGAGTGGCATTTGATCAAATTCTATTTTAATGATGGTATTCTAGCGAATCTAATTTTTTTAGATGGCAGATATACAAATTTCTCAAGGTGCGGAGAGTGAAAGGGAGAGAAAAAAGATGAGGAGGAGACATTCAATGTTTTCTGATGCGACAAATTTATGGAGCCTTTTAACTTTACAGAGCATAAGCCCCTCAACTCCGTGACAAACAAGCAAGTTTTGTGGAAAAGAAAATGATCAACACATGATGACAAAAAAAAAAGATCCAAGTGTAATCTCTAACGAAAATGGGCCTTAAAAAGACTAGGTAAGTGGCTTGGAGAAAATCTCATTTCGGAATTTGCCAAAATATCGCTCAGCTCATCTCTCAACCAGTGTGTCATCTGCTGCTCTCTTCGTTCTAAAATAAGTACACCTTATTAGTTCAAATTTAAATTGGAGTGTGTATTTATTTTAGAACAGATGGAGTATTATTTTTTTTCGAATTGATCTTAAATCTTAAATCTTGCGTAGCCGCCAGTCCCGCCAAACAAAAACTACTCTATCTACTCCTGAGCATCTTCAAATAATACAATTACAATAGTACTGCAGGGAAGCCTCGTAGTCTCTGTTTTTTCCTCCTTGATCTTGACATCTCTGCAGCCCTTTCAGATGCTACATCGAAGACAACGATTGGTCATCGAGTCTGGTTGGCGTATATTTTTCATTTTTATCACCGTGCGCCAGGGTTCACCACCCTCGGTAACGAGCGATATTTTGTGATTCTGCAGAAGCCGTTGGTAAACCAATAAAAACCGACAAAATCTAAAAATTTCTTATCAAACAATTAAATTTTAGTTTGATTTTTTCTCCCCTATAAAAACTGAGCTATTTGTATTTTGACCCGGTCCAGAAATCCGGATTTCCTAGTTATCCTTTGCTTTTGTAAATCGTGAGGACGCCTACTCCCTCCGTCCCATAAAAAACCAAGCTAGTATTGGGTGTGACACATTTTAGTACTACGAATCTGGACATATCTATGTCAAGATTCATTGAACTAGAATATGTCACATCCAGTCCTAATTCTTTTTTTCGGGACGAAGGGAGTAATGGCCTAGGTATGTTAAAGCTCAGCCGTTGGTGCGATTTTGAAGAGGTTTTTTTTTTTCATGCGCAACTTACGACCTAGTTGACACACCTTCAACTCTAGCTCCGTCTCTTTTGGAGCATGAGTTTAACCAAACGGTTTCAACTTTCAACTCTAAAAAAAGAAGTGAATCAAGTTGAAGTGGTCTCACAAAATGAATAAGTAGAGTTAAGTTTAGACAGCTTCACAACTACAGTCTACACTTAAAATCTAGAGTTATATTAGCCATACCAAACGGGCCATTAGTCCATCAAATTTCATCTGAGATTCAATTTAATATCCAATGTTTCAATATATAAATTTATCCTTTTCGAATACATCTAAATTCACTTGTGCCACCTCGCGAATCATGGTTAGTTATTATTGCCCCTTATTCGCATCAATTATGAAAGGAGAAATGAAGAATAATATGTGTGACCTGGGCAACGGGGATCAGGTTTATTCAGTTTTTCAAAATATTGTTTCCTTTTGCTACGTTAATGAACAAGGGATACAATACAAGAGACCTATATTCATTAATGGAGTGTTGACTAGAATTGGTCAGGTGACATCTCAGTTTCGTCCCAGGATGATCTTAAACCAGAATTAATACTTTCTCTTTTAAAAAAAGAATTAATATTTGTGAGACTCAAAATAAACAAATCAAAATGTCGACTAAATTACTCTCTTAAGAGAGTCTCATGAGGAACTCCTAAATTTAATAGTGGTGCTCGTATTTACGGCTAATTTTTATTTCAGTGGTAGACGATCGTGATAAATCTTAAGATATATTATCTCGGTCTTCTGAAGATGCTCCTACAAATAAGTTGTGCGTTTGTTCATATGGACGAGTGCACGTGCATTGTGGGTCACTGTGTTTGTTCTGTGTTAAAAAAAAATTTACTACTCTCTCAAGAGAGTCTCGCTGGCTGACGGGCACGTGTCTCTCTCTAGTCAACACACAATTCTAGTTAGTCAACTCCCTAGCCCCACCGCTCTTCTATTTCCTCTGCAACTGCGACCTTTCCTCGAGCAGCTAGACCACCATGGCGACGGCGGTGGCGGCGACGGCCATGCGACGCGGGCAACACCTTCCTCTCTCTCTTTCTCTCTGCTACAACCTCGCCGCAGTCGCCCTGCTCGTGGCGGTGTTCCTCCACGCGCCTCCGCGCGCGGGAGCGCAGCCGCTGCCGTGGCAACTGTGCAACGCCACCGCCGGCAACTACACGGAGGGGAGCACCTACCAGGCCAACGTGCGCGCGCTCGCCAGCGCCCTCCCCGGGAACGCGTCGTCTTCCCCGGCCCTCTTCGCCGAGGGCGCCGCCGGCACGGCGCCGGACGTGGTGTACGCCATCGCGCTCTGCCGCGGCGACACCAACGCCTCCTCCTGCGCCGCCTGCGTCGCCACCGCCTTCGACACCGCGCAGCAGCTCTGCGCGTTCAACAAGCGCGCCACCCTGTTCAACGACCCCTGCATCCTCCGCTACTCCGACCTGGACATCCTCGCCAACGTCACCGACAACAGCGGGAGGTTCGTGGCCTGGAACTACAACAACGTCAGCGCGGCGAAGGCGGCGGCGTACGACGCCGCCTCCGGCCGGCTCGTCAACGCCACGGCGGACTACGCGGCGGCGGACCCGGTGAGGCGGTTCGGCACGGGGGAGGTCGGGTCCGACGACGCGACGTACCCGAGGATCTTCTCGCTGGCGCAGTGCACGCCGGACATGTCGGAGGCCGACTGCCGGAGCTGCCTCGGGGACATAATCAGGAAGGCGACGCCCAAGTACTTCGTCGGGAAGCCCGGCGGCAGGGTGTTCGGCGTACGGTGCAACTTCCGGTTCGAGGCGTACGAGTTCTTCTCCGGCCGGCCGCTGCTGCAGCTGTCGGGGCCGCCGCCGCCGCCGGCTAACATGACACCACCGGTGACCAGTGAAGGTGAGTTGCCGAAACAGAAACCACACATGATCGCTCGTCGGATACTCGGATGTCGCTTTCTGCTTTTCTCTTTTTTTTCCTAGTTTCGCTTTAAGGACTGGTTTAGTTCCTAACTTTTTATTCAAACTTTTAACTCTTTTATCACATCAAAACTTTTCTACACACACAAACTTCCAACTTTTCCGTCACATCATTTCAATTTCAATCAAACTTCTAATTTTAGCGTGAACTAAACACACCCTAAATTTTACTACCTCCGTCCCAGAATAAGTGCAACCATGAGTTTCCGCGTCCAACTTTGATCGTTCGTTTTATTTGAAATTTTTTTATAATTAGAAGTTTTGTTGTTATAAGATGATAAAACATGAATGGTACTTTACTCGTGACTTATGTTTTTTTTTTCAAAATTTTTTTAAATATGACGAATGGTTAAAGTTGGGCGCAAAAAACCATGGTTGTACTTATTTTGGGACGGAGGGAGTATAATGGAATCGCTGAGCACGAGGCGCATCAATTTTGGGTAGACATTAAGTGGAATCGCCTCCAACTTAGGACTTAATAATTTGGAGTTGAAATTTAGTCCTTGTTTAGATCCCAACTTTTTTTCTCAAACTTTCAATTTTTCCATCACATTAAAACTTAACTTTCCTACACAGATAAACTTTCAATTTTTTTTTTAAACTTTCAATTTTAGCGTGAAACTAAACACACAGTAAGTAGTAACGAATTGACCATCAAATCGCCGGCAAAATTCCTGCTTATTATCGTTTATCTCCGGTGAGGCGGGGAAGAACTACTACTGGAAAATCTCGTGTAATCGCTGGGGTCCTGCTTCTGATATTTGTCACCTAGTTATATATCATGACCAAGATGAAAGCAGCCTTTCTTGAACGTACAGTACTCAACTGCTAATAAAGCGGAAGGTTGGGGAAGAAGCCAAGAAGGTGAGATTGGTCAAGATCGAGGACTAATTTTCAAGGTTGGCTACGAAGCAGGGGTAGGTGGCTCAGGCGGCCATCTGTGCTACGGGGGCGGTAGAGACAGCTGATGTCACAAACGCGATGATCCACAGGAGGGGTATTGATGGCCAAAAGGCCCAGGCCCGTCAGCCTGGCTCAGGGCACGGAGTTTTGGCTCGGCCCAGGCATGGCCCGACCTGACTGATGTCGAGCCTATATGGCCGGCCCAACCGTTGGGTCGTACTTTGGCCTCTGTCCCGGCACAGTACAGTCCAATAATGGGGAGGAAAAATAGACTTATTTAGTCATATAAGATATAGCCCAAAGAAATAAGGGATGCAAAATAGACTTATTTCAGCTATAAAGGACACGGCCCAAAGAAATAAGGACAAATAGACTTATTCAGAGGAATACAGTGGGCTTCCGTGCCTCCGGGCTAGCCCAAGCCTTATTGAGCCGTTAGTGCAACCCGTGGGCAGGCCCGGCCTAGCCCGTCATGTAGGTCGGGTCGTGTTGGCCTGACTGCTCTCGGGCCCAGGCCTAGTTGTGCCCGGGCCCATTTGGCCATCTATAGGTGGGGTAAGGTTGTTGGGCAATTGAAGATGAAACTTAGACTTCGATTAGAAGTTCTGCATTATAGTATGCATTTGTTTGACCAGGCTTCAGGTACTTGATCATTGTTTGATGGAGTTAGAGCCAAACCAAACACTACTAATCCTCAATGTTTTTAAGAGTATAGTAGGTGATTAGCTTCACAAAATAGATAGCAAGGGTAGGGCTCAGCTTCACAACTCCAGCTCAATATTAGATTTAGAACCCTACCGAACATGCCTTATGTATCTAACACAATTACTACTTTAAGATTCGTTTTATTAAGCCCCGATGGTGCAATGGTTGAGTTGCAGGGGTTTATATCTTTGTGCCCCACAAATATCATGTACATGCGAGTGCGTTTTTAATAGGAATTCTATCGGGTTAGAGATGTCTCGCTGATTCCCGTTTCTTAAAACATGTGTTAGGAGTACACTGATGGGTGTGTGAGTCAGTGTGACGTGCGTGACGGTGTGTTTGTATCTTCCGTAAAACCGAGAAAAATGTTTACTACATTCTTTTAAAAAGAAAGAGAAACATTAAGCATAACCAATCTTAGTCGTACTAACTGGTTTCAAACTAATTCAACGATCTCTATTGTAGGAAAAAAAACTTTTTTTGAATTACTGTACTTCCTCCATTTACGTTTTAGGATGTTTTGGTCTCTTTATATATCTCTCGTCTATATTCAACACCTATATAGTAATGTGGAAGAGAGAAGATAAGGAAAAACTTTTACGGTGTAGACGAAACAGTTATTTGCACTTTGCTGTGGTCCATGACTATAACACCATCCATGGATACATTTACATTTTATTGAAGTTCTCATTTTGAAACTAGCCAATAACCCGTGTGTTCAGAGTACTTTGTTTATATATGCTTATTTCACTTATAAATAATTTAGTTTTATTAATACTTTCAAATTTAAAACTGGTACTTACAAAACTGTACATGCGGAGGCCATATGGATTAGTAAATTAAAGTTGTACATGTCTTGTATTCTAAATTTAATTAGTATCTCATTAATTCGATTATGAAAATCAAAATAAATAATTAAGGAACAAAACTGACATGGAGTCATGGACTACTTTTTATAATCTAAGTTATTATAATTCATTTCCACCTAGATGATAGCCAGATTTTACTAAGACTATCTAATAATTATAAGATTTACTTCGGTCTAACAAAAAATACCTTGAGATATCGGTACCTCATAATACCAAATCGTTTCCGATCGTTAGATTTAAGAATGCCTATCATGGCTAGCTAGATCCAACGATCGGAAACAATTTAGTACCGTGAGGTACTAGTACCTCGAGGTACTTTTTCTTGGACCGAAGCGAATCCTAATAATTATACGCATGATTTGTTTGCACTTTGCAGGAAGAACAAGCCATAGAACAGGACGGATCTTGGCCATTACTCTGCCTATTGCTGGAGCAGCATTAGCCTTCATTGCCTTGACATGCTTTTGTTTCCGGAGAAAGAGAACACCAGCAAATAAGGCCTCATCACTGCCATGTAAGTCCTCTTGCTTCAGGATATTGTACTTGTAACCTGCAATAATACAGTTCCTAGAATGTGTTCTTTTTCCAAATCCTGTGAGAACTTTAAGTGTTCTTTTCAGTTAAATCCCTATGCTCATCTAAGGCCTTACTTGGTCTGGTTACCCTTGGAGGTAGGGAAATGGCCCTTTACTTGATAAAACATTTTTTTAGAGAAAATCTCATTAGGCAAAGTTGATTATTTCATTTAGCGAAGTTCGTAGTGTACTAAAGTTAAACAATCGATGGCATTTAGTTTAACTAAATTCGTTGCAAAGCAAGCTAGCTTTTTTTTTTTTTTTTTTTTTTTGGCGGGGGCAAAGCAAGCTAGCTTTGCAATATGAGTCATCGTTCACCTGTTATCTTGCTACAGTCTCAACTAATCCGGATGATATTCAAAGCATCGACTCGCTCCTTCTGGACCTATCAACGCTACGGGCTGCAACAGACAACTTCGCTGACAGAAATAAGCTTGGCGAAGGAGGGTTTGGTGCCGTTTACAAGGTACAAATCAAACCATATGTAACCCTTGTTCATCTTTTTATTAGAAAGTGAATACATTCGTGTTCATTATTAACAAGTTTATCTATATATTCATGGGAGTGGATTATAATCCCTCAAGGGGATATCCCCTCGTATACCTTTTTCTTTCAAATTCGATGCAAATAGTTGTGAAAAATTCTGAAAAAAATTGACAATGTAGAGTATAATGATACCTACTAGTCCACCAAAATTCATGTTCAAATTCAATCTACACATCGAGAAACAAAAAGACAAATTTAGATATAAACAGTGCACTACTATTCATACGCTGAATTTGTCTTTTTTATATCTCGACGTGTGAGTTGAGTTTGGATAAGATTTTGTGAAGTTGTATATATATGTTGTATGAATGTTATCAAATTTTTCCAGAATTTTTCATAACCGTTTAGATGGTTTTTGAGCAAACGAGGAAAATCCCCTCGAGGGATTAGAATAGTTTCCCATATATTCATCTGTACACAGGGAGTTCTTTCTGAAGGTCAAGAAATAGCAGTGAAAAGGCTCTCACAAAGTTCAAGACAAGGGATAGAAGAACTGAAAACTGAGCTAGTTTTAGTCGCAAAACTTCGGCACAAGAACCTTGTGAGCCTTGTTGGTGTTTGCTTGGAAGGAGATGAGAAACTACTTGTGTACGAATACATGCCGAATAAGAGCCTCGACACCATTCTTTTCGGTACAATCCCCTCACTGCCTTTGCGAAATCGAAGCGTTCCTCTTTTTCATACATGAAAGAGATACATGCATACATACCATTACACTATAGGACTTGATGCTGATTTCCTTTGTGTTTGAATGGAAGATTATGAGAAAAGCAAAGATCTTGATTGGGGGAAGAGGCTCAAGATTGTAAGCGGAGTCGCTCGAGGCTTGCAATATCTCCACGAAGATTCTCAACTGAGGGTAGTTCATCGGGACCTCAAAGCAAGCAACGTGCTGCTGGACTTCGATCACAACCCAAAGATCTCGGACTTTGGGTTAGCGAAACTGTTTGAGTGGGATCAAACGCAAGACGTCACCAGTCACATTGCTGGAACATAGTAAGTATATATATATCCCCTGCAATTCCATGGCACGGTATTATGAAAGTAGGTACAGGTTCATTACAAGATCATCTCCTATTATTTTCAGCGGATACATGGCGCCGGAGTACGCCATGCGTGGGCAGTATTCAGTCAAGTCGGACGCGTTCAGTTTCGGAGTTATGATCCTAGAGATTGTCACGGGAAGGAGAAACAGCAGCTTCTCCAACTCGGAGCAATCCATTGACCTCTTGAGTCTTGTGAGCATCATTAATCTCTGCTCCTCCTCATTACCATGAGACCTGATCAATCAAACATGATACGAAAACCATCTTCTTAATTGAAAATCATCCTGACAAATTTATCCTGATTATGCATGCAGGTCTGGGAGCACTGGACAACGGGGACGATCGAGGAGCTGCTGGATCCGGCGATGCGCGGCCGTTCAGCTGACGATCTGCTGAAGCTGATCAACATCGGGCTGCTCTGCGTCCAGGACAACCCGGCGGACAGGCCGACGATGTCGGCGGTGAGCGTGATGCTCAGCAGCGAGACGTTCTCCATCCAGGCCCCGTCGAGGCCAACGTTCTGCATCCAGGAGACGGACAGCGCCGCCGACACGGATCTCTACTCGAGCGCGCTTCGGTCCACCGGCGACAGCAAGACGAGAGCAGTGGCGTCGCCGAATGAGGTGTCGCTCACCGAGCTGGAGCCAAGATGAGTGTTTGTTGGAGCGATTTGTGCAGATGAGTAGATGACTGCATGATCTTCTTCTCAATAACTAAAGAATCAACTCATGGGTCATGGCCTCTGCACTCGTTTGTCTATAATAAAGAATAGATAAAAGGAAGTGTCATAGTGGTTATGCAGAATGTAACTCAGTTTGATACTGGTTGTAACTCTGCAAAGATTGTTCCCACCTGTATATTATTATAGTTACACCGTCCATGTCGATTACAGCAATCAGAATAATTACACCTGTATATGGAATGCCGCATGTTAGAGATTGTACCGAATACGTGTATATGACCCGTCCCTCGAGACGTGCAAGATAAACGACCGTTTGGACCCTAGATATTAGGGCCTTCAAAAAACCCGTATGTTTCACTCTATGCTAATGTGTTATGGCATATTTAAAATCTCTTCACTCTACTTTTAAAATAGAGATTTTTTATCGTCCAGCAGAATGTACCGAGTGGTACTGGTATCGGTCGGTACGGAAATTCATCCAACCATTGAATCTGGGAAGGGTAGGATCGGGAGAGAAAATAAGCTAGGGTGCGCTCGGTCGATGACTATCCTTCCACACGCGCCACAGTCTTTGTTCCCCACGCGCGTGTGCACCGCCGCCTCCTTCATCGCGCCTCACCCGTGGCCTACTCCGGCACCAGCTAGTCCTCCTCTACTCTGCCGCCACCGGAGCGGCTTCTCGGTCGCCGCAACCACATACTCCGTCGCCGGCTCATCCGCCTCTGCCTCCACTGTCGCTGATGGTGCGGAGGCCGATCTTGCAACACTGAAGGAGAAACACGACAGCGGCAGGGCGGAAGAGGAACACGGTGGCGGCGTGGAAAAGGGACATGGTGGCAGCTGATCGGAAGAGAAAGGCGGCGACGCGGAAGAGGAATTCTAGGGTTCCCGTCCATTCCTCCCATTCATTGCACGCGAAATTACATTTTTTTCCCTTCCACCTCTGTTCTCCACGAGGTACTGCACCAAGGACAGAATTGGTACCTCGCGGTACCAAACTCTACCAGCTTTTGGATCGGGCCAGATCCAACGGCCAGGATTTTGGTATCGACCGCTGAACCGTAAAGATGCTCTTTAAAGTAACAACATTGTGAATGTGTGTTCCAAGCAGTAAGGATTCCTAATAAGTGCATAAAATTTTTCTTATATTTGGCCAGGTCGTCACCTCAAGTAGTTAGGTGAGTATTTTTAGCATAGCTCTAGCACATCGTCGACATTATATATAAGGTCTCACTTTATATTTAGCCCAGGCCCCAGATTCTTAAAGACAACACTGTGTAGCAATTGTATGGGGTAGTTATGCCTTCACTAAAAGATCGAGCCACGTGAGATAGTGTCGTAGGATCAAGATAGGTTTAGTAATATGTCAAGTGCACTATTGTTAATGCCATATTACGAGATGGATGGAGTAATTTATCTATAGATGAGAATGGCCTTCCGGCAATTCTCAATTCCTGGTGCTTGAAGGTTGCGTGTAGAGTAGATTTTTTTTTCGGGCAGTGTAGAGTAGATGTTGTCAAGTTAGGAATTGGCTTTAGCTCAGATTAGGAGTTTGGTTTTGTGATCTTGTTAGTGAAAAACATCATGCACCCCCTCTCTCTCTTAGTCCTGTTAGGGTGGCTCAAGTGCCCTCGGGGGTGGTTGTGTTCCTGTCGTGTTTCTCTTCCTTGTCTTTCCTATGTTTTTTTCTCTTATTCTCCAGGGTTTCTGCGCTTGCGTAGTTTGAAGCTTTGTCTTGTGTAAAATCGTTTGACGTAATATATTCAGAAGGACATTTTACCCCCCGTGACCCGCCTAAAAAAAACAATCTTGCAACTATATGCAGAGCTCCAACCAACCATCAACGAGGGCATTTATTTATTATTATCGACAAACAAGTGCAGAGGCCACACGTGTTGATTCTTTCGTTATTGAAGAAAAACCCTGCGGTCATCCGCACAAATCGCTCCAAATTCGAAACGCTCATCTTGGTTCCAGCTCCGAGAGCGACAACTCATTCGGCGACGCCGCCGCCGCTGCTCTCGTGTTGCCGTCGCCGGTGGGCTGGAACGCGCTCCGGGGGTACGCTCCCGACTCGTAGAGATCCGTGTCGGCGGCGCCGTCCATCTCCTGAATGGAGAACGTTGGCCTCGACGGGGCCTGGAGGGAGACCGTGTCGCTGCTGAGCATCACGTTCACCGCCGACATCGCCGGCCTGTCCGCCGGGTTGTCCTGGACGCAGAGCAGCCCGATGTTGATCAGCTTCAGCAGAACGTTCACTGCACGGCTGCCTATCGCCGGATCCAGCAGCTCCTCGATCGTCCCCGTTGTCCAGTGCTCCCATACCTACATGCGTAATCAGGATAAATTCTTCAGGATGATGTCTCGATTAAGAAGATGGTTTTCGTGATTGATCAGGTCATGGTGATGATGATGAGGAGCAGAGATTAATGATGCTCACAAGACTCAAGAGGTCAATGGATTGCTCCGAGTTGGAGAAGCTGCTGTTTCTCCTTCCCGTGACAATCTCTATGATCAGAACACCAAAACTGAACGCGTCCGACTTGACTGAATACTGCCCACGCATGGCGTATTCCGGTGCCATGTATCCACTGAAAAATAAGGAGATGATCGTTAATTATACTTTCATACTACCGTGCGATGGAATTGCAGGTCCACTTAGTACTTACTATGTTCCAGCGATGTGACTGGTGACGTCTTGCGTCTGATCCCACTCAAACAGTTTCGCTAACCCAAAGTCTGAAATCTTTGGGTTGTGATCGAAGTCCAGCAGCACGTTGCTTGCTTTGAGGTCTCGATGAACTACCCTCAGTTGAGAGTCTTCGTGGAGATATTGCAAGCCTCGAGCGACTCCGCTTACAATATTGAGCCTCTTCCCCCAGTCAAGATCTTTGCTTTTCTCATAATCTTCCATTCAAACAAAGAAATCAGCATTCGAATCTATAGTGTAGTTGTGCGTGCAGATTTTTCATGTAATGGAAAAAAAAATGTTCCATTTTCGCAAACTGTTAGGGCAGTGAGAGAACTGAACTGTACCGAAAAGAATGGTGTCGAGGCTCTTATTTGGCAGGTACTCGTACACCAGTAGTTTCTCGCCTTCTTCCAAGCAAACACCAACAAGGCTCACAAGGTTCTTGTGCCGAAGTTTAGCAACTAAAACTAGCTCAGTTTTCAGCTCTTCTATCCCCTGTCTGGAGCTTTGTGAGAGCCTTTTTACAGCTATTTCTCGACCTTCGGGAAGAACTCCCTGTGCAAGTGGATGTATATGTAGTATTAATAATGGAATTATGGATATGTATTCATCATGAAATCTCTATTAGTGAAAAGCGAACCTCAGAATGCAACTAGTATGAGCCACATTCATCTGATTAATATTAGCCGTCAGATTCACAAAGTGACAAAATAGATAAAATAAATGATAGCCTTAGATGAAAGAGGGTATTTTAGAATTTTCCGACGCTCCTTCAATGTAGCAAAGAGATAGGAATAGTAGACACTAGAGAGCAAAGAAATAAAGAAAAAGAGAAAAAAAAGTTGAACCACATGCTACAGCACCGAGCTTGGGCCTATGCCCAGTTAATTGAGTTAGCTGACTGACTGACGGGTGTAAAATTTATATGAGATTTGTTTTTTATGGTCCATAAATGTATATGAGATTTATTTCTTATATGGTTTTCTTTTGAAAGATAAAATAGCACTAATTGATCCCTTGTGAAAAGGGGATATTAAACATCCCAACATCTATCTATTATATTGTTAAAATAGCTTTGAAAGGAGGCACCACGTTCGCTGTGGGAGCTAGAAATTCCCACATTAATCAGAGAAAAAGAAAAAAAGAAAAGGAGAGTCCAAGTAGAAGTACAATTTAAAAATAGCTGAAATTCGGAATTAAAAATAAGCAATATTGAAAAAAGTTTCCATATAAGAACCCAATATGAGATTAATCAAAATTCGAAATAAAAATAAAATAAAATCCAAAATAAGAAAAGGAAAGGAAAGTCCAAGTAAAAATACAATTTAAAAATAGCTAAAATTCGGAATTAAAAATAAGCAATATTGAAAGAAGCCAATACGAGATTAATCAAAATTCGAAATAAAAATAAAATAAAATAAAATCCAAATTTAGAAAAGGAAATAAGAGTCCAAGTAGGAGTACAATTTAAAAATAGCTGAAATTCGAAATTAAAAATAAGGAATATTAAAAAGAAGAGTCCATATAAGAACCCAATACGAGATTAATTAAAATTCGGAATAAATATAAATAAATCCGAAATTAGCAAAAGAAAATAAAAGAAGAGTTCAAGAAGAAATATAATTTAAAATTAGCTGAAATTCGGAATTAAAAATAAGCAATATTGAAAGAAGAATCCATATAAAAACCCAATACGAGATTAATTAAAATTTAGAATAAAAAAATAAAATAATATCCAAAACTAGAAAACTAAAAGAGAGTTCAAGTAGAAATATAATTTTCAAACAACTGAAATTGAAAATAAAAAATAAAAACATCGAAAGAACACAATACGGTATTAACTAAATTTTTTTTAAAAAATTCTGAAATTAGAAAAAAAAAGATTTTAATTAGGAATGCAATTTATAAATAACTAAAATTTGTGATAAAAATAAAGATTATTGAAATAAAAGACTATCTAAAACACGTGACGAGATAAATTAAGTAACATGCCTATAAAGAAGTAGAGTGGAGGCGGTTGATACGACATATAAAAATTGTTAATAAAACACCAAATAGAATCCTAATGACGATTAAAAGGAGGAACATCAGGTAGGCCGTGAATCAAACGAGTAAGGCGGTTGTCGAGACTTCTATAAAGTAAAAAAAAAACACATTGATCATCATATTCGATTTTTAAAATCTCAGTGACAATAAAAAGGAGAAGCAGCGGGCAGGGTGTATAAGAGTATAGTTGCAGAGCCGCCGACGGTTGACAGGACTTCTAGAAAATAAAAAAATGAATTCCAATAATAGTTATGTTTGATTTTTAGAATCATAATGACAATAAAGAGTAGGCAGCATACGGGCTGTAGAGGGGCATAGTGGCATCGTTTGATGGGACTTCTAAAAATTATAAAAAATAAAATTACAACTCCAATTTTTAAAGGTTCGGAACTTCTAAAAAGTAAAAAAAACCAATGATAATCATGTTCGATTTTAAAATCTCAAATCTCAATGACAATAAAGAAGGGAGGCAGCGGGCGAGCCGTAGAGGAGTACAGTGGCAAAGCCGCTGATGGTTTAGCAGGACTTCTAGAAAGTAAAAATGAACCCAAACGATAATTATGTTCGATTTTTAAAATCTCAATGACAATAAAGAGAAGAGACAGTGGACGGGCCGTAGAGGAGTATAATGGCAACGTTTGACGGGACATCTAGAAATTATAAAAATGAAACCCAACGTGACAATAAACTCTAAAAACTATAAAATCCAATTTTTAAAGGTTCCAAGAAGAATGAATAGAAATAGTGGTATATCAAGCAAGAAAATAAAGAAGGAGAAGACATGAGGGGTAGTAACTGGTGTGACTTTTAAAAACTATATAATTATAAACATGAGGATGATAAGGTTTGGTCTTTCAAAGTCTTAAAACAATGAGATAGCTATTTAATAAATTTTAAGTAAAATCATACTAAAAAAATATATGATTTTGTTTAGGTGCTAGCCGCGCAATTGCGCGGGCCACCCAGCTAGTTAATAAAAAAAATCCTAGATCTCTGCATCAAGTACGAATAACAAGAAACTTATACTTTATCAATGGAAAGTAATTGGACACCACTAAATTTTACGTACACATCTCTATTCATGGATGTCATTTGGAAAATTGTACTTCTCATCTACGCAGTCAGTCTACAAAAATATGGAATTTCCAAACGATAGGTGTGATTTTGGAACACCAAATAATTCCACCTCAATGTTAAAGTGGATAGATGAAGTACATAGGATCAATTATATTTGTGGACAGATAAAGTACATAGTTTATAATCGGACACGTGAACCGGCCACATTACAAATCAGAATATACATGTTATTGTTATAACTACGTTTCTTGCAAAGTATGTTCTACAAACACTTATTTTAGTTGGTTACTATAAATAATATTAATATGCTTCACTAAGGGATATTATGGTCGCGTAAATGCATGACTTAATAAGCTAGTAAAAAGATGAGCACACGTGCAGGTACGGTTGGATAGTACAATTTGATTGGTATACCTTGTAAACGATACCGAACCCTCCTTCGCCAAGCTTATTTCTTTCAGCGAAGTTGTCTGTTGCAGCCCGTAGCGTTGATAGGTCCAGAAGGAGCGAGTCGATGCTCTGAATGTCATCTGGGTTTGTTGAGTCTGTTGCAAGATAACAGGTGCACAACGACTCATATATATTGAAACTAATTAGCCCGCTTTGCGATAAATTTAGTTTTTTATTCAAAGATTTGCAATGAATTTAGGCCGAGTTTAGTTCCAAATTTTTTCTTCAAACTTTCACTTTTCCATCACATCAAAACTTTCCTACACACATAAACTTTCAACTTTTCCGTCACATCGTTTCAATTTAAATCAAACTTTCAATTTTGGCGTGAACTAAATACACCCTTAGTTAAACTGAATGCCGTGGGATGTTTAATTAGTAGATAATGAACTTCAAGAAATGAAATAATTAGTTTGATCTATTAAGATTTCCTTAAAAAAAGGTTTTACCTAGTAGAGGACATTCCAGGCTAACCGGACTAAGTAATAAAACCTAAGAATTTTAACTGAAAAAAACACTTCAATTCTCATTGGATTCGAAAAAAAAAACGTTCTAGGACGAACCTTACTTGTGATGCTTTAATTAGATTATAGATAAAATATCCTGAAGAAGGACAACTTACATGGCACTGGTGAGGCCTTCCTTGCAGGTGTTCTCCTTCTCCAAAAACAAAAGCATGTCAGGACAATGAGTGCTAATATTGCTCCAGCAATAGGCAGAGTAATGGCCAAGACACGTCCTGTTCTATGTCTTGTTCTTCCTGCAGACAAATCATGCATGTGAGTATTAAGTAATTTCTCACGTTGATTAGAGGAAATGTAAAAACAATCTGGATATCATCTAGGTGGAAACGAATTATAATGACTTGGATTAAAAGAGTAGTTACAACTTGCTTTTATTTTTCTGCAACATACTACTAAATTTAGAATACAAGACAAGTACAACTTCATATTTACTCATCCATATAGCAGCATATAATTTTGTAAGTACAAATTTTAAAATTGGAGGTATTAATAAAATTAAGTCAAATGCATGTGAATACATGGGTTATAGTATTGACTAGTATCTGAAATGAGAACTTCAACATGGAAGGAGTTATGGTCATGGACTACTGCAAAGTGCAAATAACTATTTTGTCACACCATTCAAATTTCCGTGTTAAAATATTTCAAAGAAAATGTTTAGGTCTTATAATAGGGATCATTGAATAGTTTGAAACAAGTTACCACTGATTGATTTTTTAAGGGCATGTTTGGGGAGGTTATGAGAGTCAGAGATTCTTCTAGAAGCTGCTATTACTAGAAGCTGCACCAAACCGTCTAGATTTTCACTCAGACGGTAAGAAGTTACTTTTTCTCTTCTTGAAAGAAAAATATGAGAATTGTAAGCGATATCACTGAATCTCTACGCACCCAAAACTGATGCCAAAAGAAAATGGAAGCAAAACTGCAAACCCAGAAAGGGACGCTGAACTCACCTCCCATGGTCCCCGGTGGTGATGGTGGCGCCATGTTGGCCGGCGACGGCGCCGGCGCCGGCGGCGGCCCCGGCAACTGCAGCAGCGGCCGGCCGGAGAAGAACGAGTACGACTCGAACCGGAAGTTGCACCGCACGCCGAAGACCCTGCCGCCGGGCTTCCCGGCGAAATACTGGGGCACCCACCTGATTATGCGGCCGAGGCAGCTCCGGCAGTCGGCCTCCGACAAGTCCGGCGTGCACTGCGCCAGCGAGAAGATCCTCGGGTACGTCGCGTCGTCGAACCCGACCTCCCCCGTGCCGAACCGCCTGACCGGGTCCGCCGCCGCGTAGCCGGCCGTGGCGTTGACGAGCCGGCCGGAGGCGGCGTCGAACGCCGCCGCCCTCGCCGCGCTGACGTTGTTGTAGTTCCAGGCGATGAAATTCCCCTGGCCGTCGGTGGCGTTGGCGAGGATGTCCTGGTCGGAGTAGCGGAGGATACAGGGGTCGTCGAACATGGTGGCGCGCCTGTTGAACGCGCACAGCTGCTGCGCGTCCTGGAAGGCGGTGGCGACGCAGGCGGCGCAGGAGGAGGCGTTGGTGTCGCCGCGGCAGAGCGCGATGGCGTACACCACGTCCGGCGCCGCGCCGGCGGCGCCCTTGGCGAAGAGGGCGCGCGATGAGGAGGCGTTCACCGGGAGAGCGCTGGCGAGGGCGCGCACGTTGGCCTGGTAGGTGCTCCCCTCCGTGTAGTTTCCGCCGGCGGTGTCGCACATCTGCCACGGCAGCGGCTGCGCTTCCGCGAGCGGCGGCGCGTGGAGGAGGAGGAGGAACGCCACGAGCAGGGGGACTGCGGTGGCGAGGCGGCTGTCGCAGGGAGTGAGATTTCGTCGGCGTCGCATGGCCGTCGCCACCGTCGTCGCCATGGTGGTCTAGCTCGAGGAGAGAGAGGTTTCGGTGGCCGAGGGGGAAAATACGCCACCGTATTGCCACTTTGCAAGTACGCCATAAATACTCGGAAGAAGAGGAAAATATGTGGTGGAAACGATAAATACAGTGGATTAAAAAATGGTGAATAGCTAAAGTGGTCCTTCAAGTTTCATACAATGATCAGTTTAGTTCTTAATGTTTCAATCTGTCCATATTAGTCCTTCAAGTTTTTATTTTAATTCAAACTTATCCTTAAACCCACATAACCAATAACTCTCATGATAAATGACACTTATACCTCCTCATTCACATATATAAGAGAAAAATTGCATGCAATAAATTCTTTTTATAGATAATGCATAGCAATATATGTAAAAAAAAATAAATTATGTACTTGCAAGTGTATACGGTAGCTATTAAGCTCAAGTTTTATATGCACATGTTGAAATAATGGGACGTATTTATTCATTTTGGTTTTTTTTCCGGTGTATAGATGTATACAAATTAAGGGCAAAAGTGACATTTTCTAAAAGAATTATCGACTAAAAATAGCCATATGGTATATTAAGTGGGTACAAGGATGATTTTAAGCCAAAACAAGTACTTAGAGGATCTACGTGGACAAAATAAAACCTGAAAGACTAAATTGAGCTTTCGGTGAAACTTGAAGGACTAAATGGACGTTTAAGATTCATCCACGTTATTATGTGCAGTAAAATTTTTACTCATTAGTAAATCTGTGAGTAAAATATTTAGTCGGGATGACGTGGACGAATATCGGACGCCCATTTTTCGATCCAACAATAGTTTCTAAGTTTCTACTGTCTACAAGGTTTCCACCACGTATTTTCCCCCAAAGAAGAGTGGTGGTGGGCCAGGGAGTTACTGACCGAAATTGTGCGTTGACCAGACACAATTACGTTACTGCGAAGGGAGACTTAAAAGGAGGGTAATTTCGTCGATTACATTTCAATAGGGTCTATTTGAGTCTACCAAATATTCATTCTTGTTTAAATCATCCTCGGATGCAAGTGTGACTGAGATGCCGGCTGGCCAATTCTAGTAGTCAGCAACGTCACTAATAAAGTATAGGAAAATTATAGTCAAAGTTATGCACCCCTTGTTCACATATGTAAACACGAGGAAACATAAATTTGAAAACATATTGAATAAACTCCCAAGCTCACTATCCGATTCTCTATTGCCTAGGACCAGAGGCGAAGCCAAAATTTTCTCAACCCTAAAGCTTAATTAAAGTAATCATCATAGGTTATTTTTTCTTTTAATTTTCAAAATTTGGAGTGTTATTTTAATGAGTATTTAGGGTTAGGAGTAAAGCTTTATCTCTAACTGCCCTACTCCTGTTCCGCCCTGTCCATGGCATTTATCAAGCGAAGTACGGTGCATAGGCATGGGTTCAAAGTCAAACTCAATCATTTTACAGTTTTTTCTTTTAATAAATTGATTTATATATAAACTTTATGGTCCATTTATTTCTCTTATTCTTGTTATCCCTAATGATATGGTTTCACTAACTAAAGATGACATATTGTATTATATAGTCACGATAGTTTATAATCCTGTTTCAAATAAGAAATGTCCATCATGGACTCTTTCTTATAATATTATTTATTTCTCTTATTTTTCGTTGGAGTGAGTTGGGAACTAATTCCACGGAGTGACCCAATAGCATAGAATTAATTAAGTATTAGTATTTTTTTTAAAAAAATGGATTAATATGAAAATATGCGCTAGTGTGTAAATTAAATTACTCCTTTCGTCCTTTCTAGAGGATCATTTGGTACTTTGGCACCTATTAAAAACCGAATTTTGCTCCTTTCTATATCAGCTTCAATGGATTTTATCCTATCAAAATATTGTAGCAATAGACAATCGTTTGGCATGTGTGGAGATTTGCTCAAACGTTGTAAACAAGAACTTGTGTCATCTTCCATCCATGGCGTTTAAAGGCTGTGGTACTCTGCTAGTCTGCTGCATAAGATGGTCGGGCAATCTCTAGCCAAAAAACAAAACAAAAAAAGAAGAAGAAGAAAGAAAAGAAAAGACAGAGAGCATGTCAACCATATCTGATGACCATTGACAAATTATTGCCTTTGATGTAGCAGCTGAAAGGACTTCAGAGATGTCAAAATCAAGGAGATAAAAACAGAGACTAATCGCTGATTACTAGAAATATTTGATGACCAGGAACTAATCGTTGGAGTATATGGCTGGCGGGACCGGCGGCTATGCAAAATTCAAGATCAGAAAATAAGTAATACTAGATGCCCTAGGTGGACGGTCGATTTTAGTTGAGAGCTATTTTGGCAATCATTCGATTCGGAGATGAGTTTTTCCAAGGCAATTTAAATGTTTTTTCTGTCCTTTTTTTTTCTTTTTCAAGGATTGTTTCCGTTAGAGATTAATTAGTATGATTCACAGACCACATGCGCTGGTTGTTTTGACGACGTTAACTTTTAATATATCTTTAACCATTCATTCTATTCAATCTTTCACAAATATGTAAGAGTGTAAATGGTGCTTAAAATACGTTTAACAAAAACCAAGTTACAAAAAATTAAATAATAATTACATGATTTTTAATAAGATGAATGGTTAAACATATTTTTAGAAGTCAATGGTTTTACATGTTAAATATCAGGATCAGTACAGTACTATAAATCGCTAAAATACATAGAATGATTCTTAGAGTGGATTTAAGTTGATTTTTCATATTGTAGGTTGACATCTAAGCTAGCTATGATGTGTACTCCGACAATATGCTACCGGCAACGACATTTTCTTCGTCTTCGATCAATCATTGAATTAGGGTTTACGGTTAGATTAATTCAAAGCAAGGGAGCTCATCGCTGACTCTAGATATATTTCTGTCACTGTTTGATTGCTCGCATGATTCGAAATTCAATATTTCTGTCATCACTGTTTGATTGCTCGCATGATTAGAGAAATTAAATGAACCAGCGGTTTCAAGTCAAACTCTCAGGTAGGCCAACCTCCGATCCTCTCGTGACAGCTTTACCATTGCCAGCACAATGCCCGCGGCCGCGGCGGCGCACCACCTCGCCGGCGTCGCCGCAGCCTTCCTCCTCGCCGTCCTCCTCCACGTCCACCTCGCCGCCGGTGAAGACGAACCTCCACCGTGGTACCTGTGCGACCCCTACAGCGCGAGCGGCCGCTACTCGGAGAACAGCACGTTCCAGGCCAACGTCAACCGCCTCTCCGCCACCCTCCCCAGGAACACCTCCTCGTCTCCGGCCATGTACGCCACGGGCGCCGCCGGCGACGTCCCGGACAAGGTGTACGGCTACGCGCTCTGCCGCGGCGACGTCGCCGACGCCCACGCCTGCGAGCGCTGCGTCGCGGCCGCCCTCCGCGACGCGCCGCGGGTGTGCCCGCTCGTCAAGGACGCGCTCGTCTTCCACGACCTCTGCCAGCTCCGCTACTCCAACCGCAACTTCCTCCTCGACGACGACTACTACGTCGCCACGTACTCGCTCCAGCGCTCCTCCCGCCTCGTGAGCGCGCCGGCGCCGGCGGCGGTGGCGGCGTTCGACGCGGCCGTGGCCATGCTCGCCAACGCCACCGCGGAGTACGCCGCGGCGGCGAACACGTCGAGGCGGTACGGCACGGCGGAGGAGGAGGGCGTCGACGGCGACGGCGACAGCGGCCGCCCCAGGATGTACGCGCTGGCGCAGTGCACGCCGGACAAGGCGGCGGACGTCTGCCGGGCCTGCCTCACGACGCTGACCACCGTGCAGCTGCCCAAGCTCTACAGCGGCGGGAGGACGGGAGGTGGGGTGTTCGGGGTGTGGTGCAACCTCCGGTACGAGGTGTTCCCTTTCTTCTCCGGCCGCCCGCTGCTGCATCTTCCGGCGTTCGTGGAGGCGCCGCCGCCAGCGACGTCGGCGGCGGCGACCAGAAGAGGAGGTGAGCGACAGATGGAAACCATTTTTACTTGTTTGCATGTGTGAAATCGCCTTAGCGCATTTGAATAAATTAATGCAAATAATTGAACAAAAAGGTTTTGTGTGACTCCGTTGACTGCTTGTAGAGTTAGAGATGGGAGATGCATTTTCATCATTTGGGAGCACATTGCCTGTTTTCTGTACGTCAACAAAATAGTTACTCCTCCACTTTAGAGTATAAGTCGGTCTTGATTTTGATTAAAGTCAAACTATGTTAAGTTTGATCAAGTTTCTAGAAAAAAAACTAGTAATATTTTATAACCCAAGACAAATATATTATCAAAATATTCAATATTAATTTAATGAAACTAATTTGGTGTTCTAAATATTACTATATTTATCTATAAACTTAGTTAAACGTAAAGTGATTTCAGTCAAAACAACTTATAAGTTATAATCCGAAATGGATGGAGTATTATTTTTTCTAAAAAAAAAGATATAGTGCCAATTAGCAATCTGGCTCTTTGTGCGTTTCTGTCAAGTTTTATTGTCAGAATCTGTGGAAAATTCCCTGAAAAAATACACATGCTACTTGTAGGCAAATGGTTTTCTTTCATTCAGGTTCTGGTCATAGTTCTAACTACAGAGATACTATCTGAATCGAACAGTATTTATTTGCAGAGAAAAAGAGGAATAAGACAGGTATAGTTCTAGCCATTGTTATGCCTACAATTGCTGCAATGCTGCTCATCGTCGTAGCATACTTTTGTTGTTGGAGGAGGAGACGACCAGAAGAACAGACGTTTCTGCCCTGTAAGTCAGCTAAATTTATGATATGTTAGCATGCCAAGTAATTGATAAGTTTATAGACGGCAGGGAAATGGTGATTTGTTTAAATGTTATTTTTATTTAATTTCATCACCTTGATTCTTAATGTGTCCCAGCTTGTAGTGAAATCACATTTCCCTTCTTTCTCTCTCTTTTTTTTCTTGAATAAGTGAAATCATATTTCTTGTTAAGCTTAGTCTTTCTTTTCATCTTTGTCCAAACAACATCAATTGGTTCAGACGATATTCAAAGTATTGATTCGCTTCTACTCGATCTATCAACACTACGAGCTGCTACAGATGATTTTGCTGAAACTAAAATGATCGGCAGAGGAGGGTTCGGTATGGTTTACAAGGTACAAATCATACAGCGACATGCAACTTTATCAGTCGGTTATATTTTTGTTGATCAGTAAGTATGTTTACATGGATAGGGAGTCCTGCCTGAAGGTCAAGAAGTAGCTGTGAAAAGACTTTGTCAGAGTTCCGGACAAGGAATAGAAGAGCTTAAAAGTGAGCTAGTTTTAGTTGCTAAGCTTTACCACAAGAATCTTGTAAGGCTTATTGGTGTTTGCTTGGAACAGCAAGAGAAAATACTTGTCTATGAATATATGTCAAATAAAAGCCTTGATACCATTCTTTTCGGTACGATTTTCTCTCCAGTACTCCATGTGTTTCTTACACTTTAACTTTTTTACTAATCATTTTTTAGTTTGATAAAATTTGTAGATAATATAACGATATTTTTGACCCAAAACAAACATATTAACAAAATGTATTCAATGCTACAAGTAATGAAACTAATTTGGTGTTGTCGATGTTACTAAATTTTATACACTTGATCAAAGCTAAAGAAATTTGAGTAGAGAAAAAGTTAAAACGACTTGTAATATAAAACTATAAAACTAATGAGTAGTTTCTTTTAAAAGGCTTAATTGACAACATCAATTATTAATAGTATGTTTTTTTCTTGTTTGAATGACAGATATAGACAAAAACATAGAGCTAGATTGGGGCAAAAGGTTCAAGATTATAAATGGAATTGCTCAAGGCTTGCAATACCTTCACGAAGATTCTCGATTGAAGATAGTGCACCGAGACCTCAAAGCAAGCAACATTCTATTAGACTTTGATTACAACCCTAAGATTTCTGATTTTGGCTTGGCGAAGATATTTGATGGGGATCAATCAAAAGATATCACTCATCGAATTGCCGGAACATAGTAAGTAGTAAGTATGATATGTTAGGTTTGAATTTTAACATGATCATGGCCAACATTTATCAAATATGGTATACCAAATATAATAGGTTACAATGTAATGTTTTTTTACAGTGGATACATGGCGCCTGAATACGCCATGCATGGTCATTATTCAGTCAAGTTGGACGTATTTAGTTTCGGCGTTTTGGTACTAGAGATCGTCACTGGAAGAAGAAATAGTGGCTCATATGATAGCGGGCAAGATCTTGATCTCTTAAACCATGTGAGTACTTTAAGTCTGTTCATGAATAATTAATCAAACTTCTCAACATACTACTTGAATAAATGAACCAATTTGGTGCAGGTGTGGGGGCACTGGACCAGGGGAAATGTTGTAGAGTTGATTGATCCATCCTTGGGCAACCATCCTCCGATCGAGCAGATGTTGAAGTGCATCCACATCGGGCTGTTGTGTGTTCAGAAAAGACCTGCAAGCAGGCCGACGATTTCGTCAGTAAACATCATGCTTAGCAGCAACACTGTTCGTCTCCCTTCTCTATCCAGGCCGGCTTTCTGCATCCAGGATGTTAGTGCCAGTGACAGCTCTAATCCGCATTCAACAGCGGTGTCTTCGAATGATATGTCAATCACAGATCTTGTGCCGAGATGAATCCTGAATTCTTAGTTCAGTCGCCAAACCAGTTAAGTGTACAGTGCTTCTAGATATTGGATTGATGCATGGGGAGGCCCTGACCCCTGAATCCTGCATTATGGCTGTAAGCCTGTAAATAGAATTGTTAAAACGGTAGGAACTATCTATATATTAGTCGGTAGATTTTTTTTTCTAGAAAATCACTCGGATTTTATAAGCAACAGGTTGGAAACGTATTGCTCAGATCAAATTAAGCATGTCATAGGCTGTCAAACACTAAAAACAACATAATGCTAAGAAAATGTCAAATCTCTAGCAACATGCCAGCACCGGAGAAAACATCATACCTAAATTATTTAACGTCAATTATAACAAAATTACACTGAAAAAGAAAAAAAATACATTCTACTACAACTAGTAATATGCCCGTGCTAATGCAACTGTACATTTTTCATAATTAATGTAAATCAAACCATCAATACATGATTATATATTTTGACAATATAAATATAAAATATTTCAAAAACCGAATATCCAAACAAAGATATACCTGTATTTGTGCGCACAATAAAGGATTTGTGTATATTTGGTTTAATAATAATTTTATATACTCATAAACTTATTGAATTGTATAGACTTTTGGATTCAATCACCCCATAGACATTATTCGTAATTCATTCAACTTAATTTTTAATTTGTATAAACTTTTAGAGTCAATCACCATAACTCATTCAACTTAATTCAGGCATAGATTTGTCAGGAGTATTTATATATTTGGCATTACACCCAATGTATTGACCTTCATCGCAAAAACTCCAGTTCTTCACTTAGAGTATATTCAATTACAACTTTAAAACAACAACATTGTGGCAGATATTTTTCAGAATCTAATGTTGTGAACATTTAGTGTATTATGTAAAGGGAATAGTATAAAGGGAAGACTTTAATATAATTGAGAGCTGTCACCACCTCTACACCCACCTCAAACCAATTATGGGATACGAAGCAATCGCTGAAAATTAATTATGTAGACAACGCGTCTACGTAATTAACAACTACTCTAATGCCGGCCAAACACTAAAGCAATCACTATATTTTACTGAACTATAGTGAAAAATGATCCCGCACGCTAATTAGAAACTAATCAAGAGTTAATTCTCAACGAGCAAATCTTAAGAGTAAATTACACTAGCGGTCCTTAAACTTGCATGTAACGAGGTTTCACTTAAGTTCACGAACTTGCAAAACGCATATCGAGATCCCTAAACTTGGTTTAATGTATCATCCTGGTCCAAAGCATCGTTTGACCGTGGTGTTGCCTACGTGGCATGCTACGTGAACGATGACATGGAATTTTTTTATTTTTTCTCCCTTCTTCTCCCTTTTTTTCTCCACTTTGCCTCCTTCCTCTCCCTTCTGCCCCGGCAAGGCTGGCGAGGGGGCGCGGAGGCCGACGGTGGCAGCGACGTCATCGATAGGAAGGAGAAGGAGGAGAGGAAGGGGAAGGGCCCCGCTCCGGCCGGCCGCAGGCGCGTGCGGCAAACGGCTGCGGCAGCTGCTCAAGTTCGACGAGCTCGCCTCCTCTTTTGCGGAGCTCATTGTCGGGCCTTGCCGCCCCATTGTTGCCATCAAGCTCGCTGCCGCCAATGAGCTCGCACTCTCCCCGCTCGCGTTGAGCTCACCGACGCCTCCCCCTACACGCGCGGCGGCGGTCAGCGACCCCTCCCCTAGGCGCGGCCGGCGATATCTCCCCCCGCGCGTGCCTCGGCCGCTTCCGCATGAATGACACGCCGCCGCCCAACGAAGTGCGCTGCCCCCCTCTTCGCCCCCTCCGGTGCCGGTTGCAAGGCCGCGCCACCCGCTCCTCACCATCGTCGTCATCTTGGGCGGCAGAGGGAGAGGAAGTAGAGGGAGAAGTTGCATGTCGCCGCAGCAGGAGGAGAGGAGCCGCAGGCGGCGGCCGCCTCTCCCTCTCCTCCCCTCTCGGCCTCCGCCCACGACTCCTCTCCTCCCGCCAGCCAGCGCCCGCACTCGCGCGCCGCTCCTCTCCTCGCCGGCCGCCGCCCGCGCACGCGCACTGCTCTTCTCCTCCCACCGGCCGGCGCCCGAGCATGCGTGCCGCCCCTCTCCTCGCCGTCTGCTGCCCGCGAACACGCGCCACTCCTCTCCTCTAGCCGGCGCCTGAGCACGCACGCTGATCATTGCCGGAAACCTCGTCCACCACGCGAGGTAAGGAAGGAGAGAAAAGATGGGGAGAAAAAAAGGAAAAAAAGAAAATTTAGCCATGTCATCGTCCACGTGGCATGCCACATAGGTAAGACCACGGTCAAACCAGGCTTTGGACCGGGATGATACATTAAACTAAGTTTAAGGATCTCGATGCATGTTTTGCAAGTTTGTGAACCTAAGTGAAACTTCGTTACAAGTTTAAGGACCGCTAGTGTAATTTACTCAAATCTTAGTTACTCAGAATGATAATTCTACTAAAGCAGAGTAATTAACAAAGTATAGGAAATGAGAGAGGATTACCAACAACTCTGGAATTCCTCCGACTTCTTCTACTCTACTCTCTCCCTACTTCTAGTATACAATAAAGTACAATAGAACCTCTTATAATTCAGCTCATACTTTGGTGTGTGTGAGAATGAGGGAGGAGAAGTGTATGTATATGGTGGAAGTGCCTTGGGAGGATAGAGTTTCTTCCAAGCATCCAATGAGTATCTTCATCCTCCTAGTGCCAAGTTTCCCTTCTACTGATGGTTAGAGTGACGGAAACAGTCACAACCGTCATTGAGAGATCATTATCTGCCGAACTGAACTTGGGCCTAGGCCAATGGCCTCTGTCAGGGTTCGGCCGAGCCCTAGCCAGCTTCATTGGCCCCGGTTTTCGGCCTAGACATTCATTTTAGGACCCTCAATCCATATTGCCATGGTAGATGGGACCATTTGAAGGTGTTTAATTGGTTTTTTGGGTGCAAGACTCCATAAGTTTGGATATGAGTTTGATTCTCCTCCTTCTTCACGTATATTTTCTCTCAACTTTGGTAGTTTGTCACCTATGTCCAAATATACATCAACACTCGTGGAAATTGTTAGAAATATACCCTATCACTATGTTGGATGTTTTATGCTTTCCATTTTATACATATATTGACGGCGTGAATTTGGTACTTAACAGCCGTCGACAGTGTGGAGGGGGAGGGATGGATGGGCGGTTGTGAGACGCACTAAACAACGGTCTATAGTAGTTCTCACTAATAAAATCGTTTATACACCATTAAGTCTACTAGTGTAAATGGATATGATATATGAGATGAGATAATACAAAATGTCTACCCTTGAGATCAGCTATTGACTCGTTACGTGGTGACTTATGAGCCTGGTCTCCATTGTTCTTCGTAGGTGGCGTACCGTATGGAAAATGCTTTGGAGAGAAAAATCGGGCCCTCTCTTCTTACTGTCACATATATACAGATAAGTGCTAAGATAGTTTCCCTTCTTTCTTTTCCTCACTTTAAATGTTTTTTTCTTCTGAACTATTTATTTGATTTCAATTCGATCACAGGTACCGTTATTTTTGTTATAATTCAATTTTTACGACAAGATATCTCATGATTATATTCAATAAAAGAAAAAATATATATATTTCAAACCATTAAAACTTAATGTTTCATACGTGATAACGACATGTTTCATCATCTGTTTTCACTGTGTTTCACAAAATTTATTTAACTACTTACACATACTCTTTCTCCACTCCTTGCATGCATGCATGCATATATGTATTTAGTGAGCTCCAAAATGATTTTTTCCCTAAACTACTTATCCGATCTACGATCCAATCACACCATTATATTTGTTGTAATTAAATTTTTAAAATAAGATATCACATGATTATGTTTTAATGAAAGAAAAATATATGTTTCAATCTACTAACACATGATGTTTCATACACGACAACGATATGTTTCAACGTGTGTTTTCAATCTGTTTCACACACTTTTTAAATGTTTCGATGATTTATTTTGTTTGTTTTACCATGTATAACTTAATGTTTCACCGGTGGTTAACTGAAACATTTGACTGTCTAATTTTTTGAGATAAGATCGGGCGTCCGATTGGAAGTTTATAATTAGAAGAAAAAATTGTTTGAAGAAGGAAACTATGGATCGGTCATCCGATTCCTAAAAAAATGGGGCAGTCAAATGTTGCAGTTGACCAACAAGTAAAACATTAATTTATATGGTGAAATAAAAAAAATCAACAACTGAAACATTTAAAAATTTTGTAAAACATGGTAAAGATACACGTTGAATCATATCAGTACTATGTATGAAACAACAAGTGTTAACAGATTGAAACATATATTTTTCTTTCGCCAAAATATAGTCATGCGATTTCATGCTTTAAAGATTTAATTACAACGAATACAATGAATACAATGGTATGATTGGATTGTAGATTGAATAAATAATTTAGGAGAAATAGGTATTTAAAGAGAGAAAAAGGAGGAAAAAAAACTAACTTGTGATATACTTGCATGCATGCAGAACCGGACACGTCCGATTTTTATTCATCCAATCGGGCCCCTATCCTGAGCATTACGGGCAGCTGACTACGTCAACCCTGCTGAAAATATGAACTGACCGACGACCTATGGGAGGAGAAAAACTGGTCCATAGCGAAGAACCAATGGTTAATATTGATTGAAATTAATCCACGCACTGGATTTTTAGATACTCGAAGGCAAAAGAACACGGAAAGAGATCTAAACACTCAAGCTAAGCTATATAGGCTCTGGCCGTGTTTAGTTCCCCTCAAAATTTTTTTTATGTATATGGACGCACATTTAAAGTATTAAACATAGAATAATAACAAAATAAATTACGTATTTCACCTGTAAACTGCGAGATGAATTTATTAAGTCTAATTAATCCATCATTAGCAAATATTTACTGTAGCACCACATTGTTAAATTGGCGTAATTAGGCTCAAAAGTTTCGTCTCGCAATTTATATACAAACTGTGCATTTGGTTTTTTTCGTTCACATTTAATGCTTCATATATGTGTCTAAATATTTGATGTGACAGAATTTTTTGAAGTTCGAAGGTAACTAAATACGGCCTCTGTTCGGAAGCTAGATACTGCGGCTCAACAGTGTTTCTATTGTTGATTCAGTTATTACGATGTAGTGCTGCCGAACACAGCCACTCCCTCTGCCGTGAATATAAGGGATTTTCACCATTAAATTTATCCTAAAATATAAAGGAGTTTCACGATCTAAGACAGTACTATGGACCTGTTTAGAGAAGTTTAAGATTCTGAGAAGCAGCTGGTTGGTAGCCAACTTCTGAGAATCTGCAAAAGCTGGGTTTCTCAGCTTCTGGCTTCTAGTTCCTTCTAATTTATTTTATGTATTCTACAACTACAGCTTCTCAGAATCTGGACTAAAAGCTGGACTGTTTGAGGGAGCTTCTTATTCTGGGAGAAGCTGCGGCACTTGAAACTCCCCAAACATGGCCTGTATTCCCCATCTGGCATCTACCAACTTTTATACTAGTTTATTTCTCTACCATCTACTTTTATACTAATTTATTCTCCCACCTACACTTTTATAATACTGTATTCTTTCACACATCACCTTTTATCTCATCACATGTCTTTGTACTATTTCCTTATTAATTCTTAAAAGAAAAGGTATAATCTCTTGTAGTCATGGATGGAGATTATGGTCGTGTCTAGTTCCTCCTCCAAAATTTTTTTAACGTATACGGATGCACATTTGAAGTATTAAACATAGACTAATAACAAAACAAATTACATATTTTGTCTGTAAATTGCGAGATGAATTTATTAAGCCTAATTAATCTGTCATTAGCAAATGTTTACTGTAGCACCACATTATCAAATCATGGCGTAATTAGCCTCAAAAGATTCGTCTCGTAATTTACATACAAACTGTACAATTGATTTTTTTTCATCTACATTTAATGCTTCATACAACACAGCCTATGTCACAGTCTTGAGCCAACCTAAAATTCTAGCCAGTCAACTCCTTAGCCCGCTGCACTCTTTTAGACTAGGAGTAGTATGAGTATTGTGCGTCCATATCCGCTCCGTTTTCGTCCTATACCATCCGGTCGGCGAGCGCAACCTCTCACCTCTGCTCGAGGCTCGGGGAGTACCACCATGGCCGGTCATCGACTACATCTTACTTTTTGGTACAACCTCGCCGCAGTTGCCCTGCTCCTCGCGCTCCTCCACGGGCCGCTCGCGGAAGCGCAGCCGCTGCCGTGGCAGCTGTGCAACGCCACCGCCGGCAACTACACGGAGGGGAGCGCCTACCAGGCGAACGTGCGTGCGCTCGCCAGCGCCCTCCCCGCGAACGCGTCGTCTTCCCGGGCCCTCTTCGCCGAGGGCGCAGCCGGCACGGCGCCGGACAAGGTGTACGCCATCGCGCTCTGCCGCGGCGACACCAACGCCTCCTCCTGCGCCGCCTGCCTCGCCGCCGCCTTCGACACCGCGCAGCAGCTCTGCGCGTTCAACAGGCGCGCCACCCTGTTCAACGACCCCTGCATCCTCCGATACTCCGACCAGGACATCCTCGCCAACGTCACCGATAACCGGGGCATGTTCGTCGCCTGGAACTACAACAACGTCAGCACGGGGAGGATGGCAGTGTTCGACGCCACCTCCGGTCAGCTCGTCAACACCTCCGGCGACTATGCGTCGGCCGTGTACGACGCCTTTTCCGGCATGCTCGTCAACGCCACCGCCGACTATGCGGCGAAGGACTCAGTAAGGCGGTTCGGCACGGGGGAGATGGGGTTCAACGTCTTCGACTCGCCTTACCACAATATTTTCTCGCTGGCTCAGTGCACGCCGGACATGTCGGAGGCCGACTGCCGGAGCTGCCTCGGGGACATAATCAGGAGGATGATGCCCAAGTACTTCGTCGGGAAGCCCGGCGGCAGGGTCTTCGGCGTTCGGTGCAACTTCCGGTTTGAGGCGTACGAGTTCTTCTCCGGCCGGCCGCTGTTGCAGTTGTCGGGGCTGCCGCCCTCACCACCACCACCAGGGCTGTCCGCACCATCGGGGCTGCCGCCCTCACCGCCGGGGCTGCGGCCGGCAGCATCAGGTAATATTAATAATAGAGAAGGTGAGTTGCTGCTCGATCGCTGTGTCTTACTGTGGCTTGCACTCACCATCAAACGAACGTCAAAAATCGCACCTCCACTCCTTGTTCTTCGCCCGGCGAGCCCCGGAAACTACAGGGACGCTAGGTTTGATGTTGGCCTGTGGGGCAGCCATTAGAGCCGTGTGATCGCGAATTGAGAAAATTATTTGCGTGGACCTAACCAACCTCCATCCCCAAGTGGCCTTAATTCGTTCTGTACACACATTTTTTGTGCTTTGCTTAATCCCCGTACACACCTGAATTTTGGTTTTGACTAGAAAATGTGCTGTGCGTGCACAAGTTGGCACGTCTGTCATTTAGCCCGCACAACATCGAAGATTAACAATATACAGTTTCAGGTTGTGTTTGGATACAAAGACTAAATTGTACTCCACACTAATTAGAAGTATTAAACGAAGACTAATCATAAAGACAATTGCATAAATGATAGCTATTTTGCAAGACAAATTTTTTAAGCTTAATTAATCCATAATTAGTACATGTTTACTATAGTACTCCCTCTATCTACTTTTGATAGTCATATTTCATCTTGGCATACAGATCAACGATAAGTAATTCTACTTATCACCCATTTAAACATGCTACTAGTTATTCCTCGTAAACAAGCGATACATTAATATTTACATTTCTCGATGCCCATGTAGCCAATCTTGTGTGGAAGAATGGAGAGTCCTGCATTAAATCCGAGAAAGTTATTAAGAGGATAGGTTGTTGGATTGAAATATGCCTATCAAAAATAAATTTTTTATATTTAGAAATATGCCTATCAAAAATAGATGGAGGGAGTATCACATAGGCTAATCATGGATTAATTATGCTTAATAAATTTGTCTCGCAAACTAGTCTAGAATTATGGAATGGATTTTGTCATTAGTAAAAGTTTAATACTTCTAATTAGCGTCAAACATCAGATGTGACAGGAACTAAAATTTAGTCCTTGATCCAATGAGGGCCTCAATTAGATGAAAGTTTAGAAAAAAAAATCTAATAAAACTAAAATCTAGCAAATATCTAAAACATAATCCATGTATGCTAAAAATAATTCATGAGAATTGGGTTCCCTTTTCCCATTGATCCTCTCTTGCATGAGCGTGGTCGTTTGAAAACACATGTTTCTTTATAGGGTTAATTCGATCTATGCCATTGCAAATATGGCTATTAAAAAAATGCTATTACAATTCGTCTATTCGTGAGTGTGTCATTCAAATTTTACGAAATTAAAATCATGCCATCACCGTCACATTTTTCATCTTCCTCCCCATCTACACGTGGGGCCCATCCGTCAGATTCATCTTCTTCCTCCATCCGCCCCTCTTCTTGTTTTTCCTTTTTTTTTCTTACCTTTGTCCTTCCTTATTCGGAACTCCTTTTATATACGAGATATGATTCCGTATAAGACTTGGTATATGATGGGACCTACCGAGTTTAGTCAACTACTATTAGCTATGTGGTATCCATATCCATGATAGCTTTTAAGAAAAATCGTCTAGTGTCGAAATTTTTAAAATATATTAAATTTATTCTTATAATTAAGTAGATAATCCGCAACAATAATCTAATCCAAATTAAATAGGACCTAAGATGTTTTATTTGGAGGGTAAGTTTACCCTATTCATACATAGAAAAATAGTTTTTTAAGGGTCATATATAGAAATATTGTGTGAGTTTATAATACTATAAATTGTAATAAAATTCACAATATTAAATTTAAGGGATTTGCTAAATTCAATCAGCTAGATCGGGAAAAAAACATCATGTAAAAAAGTCTAACACAGTACGATAAGGTAACTCTCCAAGTTAATATGGACACATTTTTTTTAAGCTGTAGATTAGGACTGCATTAATTTTCAGAAAAAAAAAATCTCTGTTTCATAATGTAAGGCTTTGTGTCTAAATTTATTAACATCATCTATATGAATGTGGAGCAATGCTAGAAAGTTTTACATTATCAAACCAAAGTAGAAACACGCCAAGCAAAACAGAAACTTGGTTACTTCACCCGCTTAATGGGGAGAAAAAGAAAAGAAAAGAAAAAAAAAAGGAAACGGCCTCAAGGCCTCTCGTCTCCGTCGTTAGACAGAGGATGCCGCTCTGCACTTCTTCTCTTCGTTCTCCGCCGTTCGTCGACCTCCCCGGAGTTCATGACCGTCAGATCCGGTGACCACAAGTTAAAAAGGTTGTAAGATATGGCCCCTTGGAACTGAAGAAATTTACATATCTTTCACCCATAAAAACTGGCTTCGCTAGAATGCCAATGTCAAAATGTGATTCAATCAAACGCCACTCTCAATCCGCGGGCATTTGCTGCAATGCCATTTTCGTGGTTTTTTTATTTCGAAATTAATTTGCCTCAATTATAATTTTTGTCGGACGTTTATGCCCCTGGGTCAACTGGTTAAATCGGACCTGGTTTCTTCTCGATCTCTCTCGTCTAATCGAGCAGGCAAGCGTGAGTGCAAGAGGAGAAGAGGCGGCGACACCGGCGTGGCCCACCACCACTATTCCACCACGCCGCCTCTCCCCATTCCCCCACCGTGCCTCCTCTCCCACCAACTGTGCCGCCTCTCCCCGCCGAGATCTCCTCCCCGCCAAACGTGCCGCCTACCCCGGCCAAACCCTAGCTGTCAAGCCAAGCAAGAGGAGAGAAAGACGAAGGGAGGGGAGACCACACCTGCACCGCTGCCTTCCCCCAACCTCAGGTGCACTTGTGCCGCCTCCCCCGCCATCCGTGCGACCGCCTTCCCCAATCGCGCTGGTGCAACCCACCTCGTTCTCTGCCGCCTTCCCTGACCGTGCCGGCTCTACCACCACGAGCTCGATGACACGTGCCTTGATGGCGCCCTCGGAGAAATCCCAAAGTGGCGCACCCTCCTGGCCCGCTGACGTGTTCATCTCCCGGTGGCCGGGGGCGAGGACGACGTACACTGCCGGCCTCGCGATGGCAGCGCTAGGGAAGAGAAAGGCGGGTAGCACAGCCGGCAGCAAGAGGCAATGTGGCACAGCCAGAAGAGGCGGTTCGGCGGTGCGGCCTAGTTGGGGAAGGCAGCAGCGCCCGGAATAGTCACCCCTCCTGCTCTGCTGGCGAGGTCACGCGTCACCACCTGAGCTCTCTCCTCTCTGGTTCAACCTATTGAGCCAGGGGCATAAACTTTTGAGAAAAAAAAATTGAGGAAAAACAATTTGGAAATATCACAAATATTTGGACCGAAGGGGTTAGCAAATATTATATTGCATTTGGCGGTATTTTCTTTTCCCATCTTAATATTTTTAATTAGCAGACGAATAAGCACTCCCTTTAATTTGTTTACTGCTCCCCGAAAAGAAAGGTACTCCCTTTTGTTCACTGAGAAATAGCTAGCACTGCAATCATGCATGAACTCATACAGGTCACCCATGATATTATCACTTTTTTTTTCCAGTAAAATTGCAGGTAGAAATAAGCCAGGGACCCAAATTCTGGTAATTATTTTGCCACTAGTGGCCATTTCCTCCGTTGCCGCAATTTCCATCTGTATGTGGAATATACGTAAGAAACGAAGATGGCGAAGAGCAGAGAATTTATCCGCACGTATGTCATCCGAACAATTTGGCATAAACTCTTAACAAATTCCAATTAGAATTCTTCATCATCAATATTTATAACACATTAACATTTCTATGCAAAATTGCCAGCTGATACGGCTGAGGACTTCGAAAGTATCAAGTCAACCTTGCTGTCTCTGTCATCACTACAAGTGGCAACGGATAACTTTGACGAAAACAAAAAACTTGGTGAGGGGGGATTTGGTGCAGTTTATAAGGTATTGTAGTCTTTAATGTCTACATAAGAGCTACTTATATTAGAAACTTTTTTGAATGGTTGATACTTTATTTTGAGAAATAATAAGTTCATGATTTTATGGTGTGATGAGTAAGCCTTAGGCTTAGAAATACGAGTGACATGCATATTAGTGCGAAATTGCTAATTTACAATATAGTATCTTAGGCTTTAAGAAATTCAGCTAATTACTCGGCAACCCATGCATTAGCGATTTTAGATGCATCTTTTACTTTTCGTCACTAATATTTTTGTAAAATTTTATTGAACAATACATGTTAATAAATATAAACTTATATTTATGTACATACTCATACAAAAATAAACTTTCTATTATGTAATTATTGGCTCTATTTTTTGTCTTAAACAACTATTAACTTATTGACTTATTAAAGGACTAGAAAAAGAAGCCTCCACGTTCGCTCTCATGTTATAAAATTAATCGGAAAAAAATAAATAAATAGTCCATATAGAATTATAATTTAAAAATATCTAAAATTCGAAATTAAAAATAAGGAATATAGGAAGAGAAGACTATAGTGCATACCGGTATACAATAGAACTAATGAAAATTCAGAATTAAAAAATAAAAAAATTAAAAGTAGAGGTTAGAGTCGATATAGAAATATAATTTAGAAATAATGAAAATTAGAAATTAAAAAATAAGGAATATTAGAAGAAGAATATAGAGTCCATATAGAAATACAATTTAAAAATAACTGAAATTCAGGATTTTTTTTAAAAAAGAAATATTGAAAGATAAGTCTAGAGTGCATATAGAAATATAATTTATAAATAATATAAATTAGGAGTTAAAATATGAAATATTATAAGAAGAGTACAGAGTACATGTAGGAATTTATAATTAATTATAGTATAGAAATATGAGTTTAGAGTCCTAAATAATACAATTAGAAATAATGAAAATTCAAAATTGGAAAAAAAGGAATATTTAAAAAAGAGCCTAGAGTCTATATATAAATAATTTACAAATAATGGAAATTCGGAATTAAAAATAAAAAATATTGGAAGAGGAGTCTAGAGTACATATAGGAGTATAATTTAGAAATAAATGAAATTTTGAATTTAAAAATAAGAAATATAATAGAAATTTAGAATTAGAAAATAAAGAATATTGGAAGGTGAGTATAGAGTCAATATAGGAATACCATTTAGAAATAACTAATGTTCGATATTAAAAATAATTAATAACTATCACGTATATACAATATAATATGAATATTACACATTAGATATTTTTTAAAAAGTAAATCATTTCAATTTTTTATTAGTTACAAAAATAGTAATTAAAAAGATAAATTAATCATTTTCCACATAGTTGAAGTATTTCCTCTATTTTCCCACAAAGTTGAGTGGCTTTTGCTAAAATGCCACATGGCTCAAAAACGTTTAGCATAGACTATCAACTTTGAGGCAAAAGAGAGGAGGCACTTTAACTATGTGGCAGATATGCAATTTTCCCATTAAAACTAAATATGTGCCTGAATTCTATATCTTGATTTCCACATTATATACGAACCTTTTTTTTTGTTGATTCAACACAATTCAAGATTTCCTTGTTATATTAAGTATGAGCCCTAATGTTACTTTTTTATGAATAAATGAATTTGAATTCAAAATTAATGAATACATAGTTGTCCTTGAGTTGGAGTCTTTTTTATATATTGTTTGTTGTTGACTTAGATCCCATTCATTTAGAAGTTTCCCGAAATCGGTAAGAGGTTCTTCTCTCCATCGGGGCAACAGGTGTTCAATAGATCAAAAATCATAAATGTGCCACTAATGATTACAATGACCTGAGCAGTACCCCAAGGTCCTAAGTTCAAATCTTCATAAGAGCGAATTTCAGATTGGGTTGTTTGCGGAGCTAAGTTCCCTATTTCAATGGCCGTATATATTCGATTGGATGTAGAGGCAGGTAAAAAAAATACCCTTCTCTAAAATAAATAAATGTACCACTAATAATTAACACGTTGTGCCACATATGGATTATTCTTTTAATCTAAACCAACATGAGTTGTTCCCACTAATTGGATGGCTAGATCTTTTTTTTTCATTATTGAGTTGTACGAATTTGGAAAGTTCCCACTAATTGTACGAATTTAATTTTTAGTTGTACCATGTCACGCCCAGAAATTCCCGAATAGAATTCCAAGCAGAATGTGCATTAAAATCCCCGTCCAGGACCAGCCGGGGTACACAAACGACAATGTTGACATTCAGATCCACGTCTTACAAACATCATAAAAGTCTTACATAAATGCAGCGGAAGAAAAAAAAAGACAACAAGAGCTAAGCCTTGACTAAACTGCAGCAGGAACACCACTCCACAGGCATCCTCGACGGCACGGACAAAGCCTACTCCTCGGAGAAACCTTCATCTGACCCGAACTCGAACTCTGGGGGTTGGGAAAAGTAGAGCAAGACTGAGTACTACCCACTGTACTCAGCAAGTCATACCGGAATAGGGGTATGATGCACGGAAAATATCAAAGAAGAGCTAAAGTGGTTCATTTGCATAAAGCGAGCATTTATAAACAGAAATTGAAAGATTTAAACAGTTGTAATTATTAATTAAACATCCACTGTCCAACGCTAACCCACGTTGCGACAGGCCCAACCATCCACCTAAATTATCCAAATTCAAAAGGTTACACTAAGGTGAGACTAATCACGGTGAATCTGGTTGACCGCCCGTAACCGCGGGCACGGCTATTCGAATAGTTTTGCTCTGATCAGAGGTGTACAATTGTACCCACAAGACACAGCCCCACGACACGTTTTCGTGCGCCGACATGCCACCACGACATATCGGAAAGAGGCCGTGACAGGACCCTTCGCATAACCCCTCTCTAGCCAAGCACACCACACCTCAGGTTTCACCCCCGTCCCCAGCGGGCCACGGGCAGTCCCCTCTCGTGCCTAGGTGAATCCGGAAGCGACAGAGGCCGTCGCAGGGCCCGCCCCGCTCCATCACGCCCACCCTTGCCTGGATGCGTCGACTAGAGGAAAGCTACACTACAAGCCCAGCCGTTGCCCACGCTGGCTTGTGGTAAGTACGATAAGTTCTTCCAGGGCATCCCGCGAACCGGTCCTTAACTGCCATGGGTGCGACCAGCAAAACCATGCACCCACAGCCCACCATGTAGTTTATTTTAATTAACCCACGCCAAAGCGGTGGCACTAATCCAACAGAACCATTGGAACCAACAGTCTAAACATTATTATGCTTTTCCCCATTGTGAACTAGTTGAACTAAGCATGTCTAAGCAATTCCTAGTCCAAACTCTAATCATGTTATACCCCAAGCTAACAAGGGAGCATGGTATTCAAAAAAAAAAAACATGGCCGTAACGATAGGTAACCATCCCATATTTAATATTATAAAACAATGCAATATTTGAAAGAAAACAATAGAACATTTGCAATATAGGATCAACATGTTCAAGTGACAAGCATGACTTGCCTTGCTCTGCTGCTGGAGGAACCTCGGCGACTATCTCGAAGTACACCGGAGCGTCGGAGGAATTGGAATCTAGCGACATACAAAGTAAACATTGCAAACAAGCTATAAGACTACTGAAACAGGGAACAAAACCAATTTTAATGGATTCTACACATTTTTCTTGATTTACTGAGACTTGAATGGGCTTAAACGGAGCTCGGATGAATTAGTTATGAATTTTAGAAGATTCACTGTGTTTATTACTATACAAGAAAAACCTTAAATCAATTATTGCGCAATATATTCCAGGGCTGACGTCAGCACAGGGGAAGCGGCGCCGACATGCGGGGCCCACCGGTCAGCGGCTCGGGAGAGGGAGGAAGGGCGCCGGCACGCGGGCCCACTGGTCAGCGGCTCGGGAGAGGGGGGGAAAGGCGCCGGCACGCGGGCCCACCGGTCAGCGGCTCGAGAGGAAAGGGGCGGCGGCACCCGGCTCGGCTTGGCTCAAGGCCGGCCGACCGGCCGCGGCGACGGCGACGGCGCGCGCGCGAACGCGTTGCCGGCGACGGCAACCGGCGGCGAAGGCGACGGCGCAAACGGCGACGCGAAGGCGGCTGCGCTAAGCGGCGGCTAGGAAGGGGAGGGAACGGGCGACGATAAAGGCGGCCGCCGGCTCGGCTCGGCATCAAAGCCGACCTGCCGGCCAGGCCTAGCGGCGACGGCACGCGGCCGACGACGGCGGCGTCCGGCGGCACGGGAGGCGGCGGCGGCGGCCGAAGGCGACGGCGCGCAACTTGAAGCGGCGGCGCGGCACTAGGAGGAGAGGAAGGGGAAAAAAAAAGGGGAGGGATTCCTCACCGAGGGTGGCCGGCGCGGAGGAAGACGATGGCGAACAACGACGGCAAGCCACGGGAGGACGACGTCGGCGGGCGGACGAGCTTCGGGGTGCCCTAAGGAAGGAGAAGAGAGGGATTAGAGAGAGGGAGATGGACCACGGCGGCCGGAAACCATGGCCGAAGGCGGCGGTAGAGGTGGTGCTCACCCGAGTGCGAGGGAACGAGGGCTCCGGCGACGAACCTCGACGAAGGAGGGGTGGACGGGGTGGATCTCGGCCACGCGAACCCGACGGTGGCGACGGCGCGGCCTGGCGGCGACCCTAACGACGGCTAGCGGCGGCCGGAGTAGCGGAAAAGGCGGCGGCAAGGGGTTGCACGGCGCGGGAGCGATGGGAGACTCGAGAGAGTACGGCGGAATGGGGAAAAAGTGAGAGGGGACGACGGCGATGCTTAAATAGGGGGAGAGGGGGCCGGACGTGGCCGGGAGATACGGGAATCGCCGGCCGACGTGGGGGAGAGGGGGAGGAGAGAGAGGCGGGATTCGAAAATCGAATCCCGGCCATCTCGGGCGCGGGCGCGAGCGGGAGAGAGAGGGGAGTGGGCGCGGGAAACGCGGCGCACGCGCGGGCGTGGTCGACGTGGCCCGAAGGAGGCGGAGACGTGGGCGCGGCGGCGGTTGCGGGCGCGGCGGCGCGAGCGAGAGCGGCGGGAGGTGGGGGAAGGACCCGACAGGTGGGCCCCACCTGTCGGCGACCTCGGAGAGGAGGGCGGCGGGACGGCCTGGCTGGGCCTCGGCCTGCGGCCGGCCCAGCAAGGAGGAGGGGGAAGGAAAGGAGAGAATGGGCCGACGGCCCATTCGAAAAAAGGAGGAAAAAGAGAGGAAAAAGAAAAAGAAAAAGGAAAAAGGATTTTCCCTGGAATTAAAATATTGCTTGCTCAATTTTAATTGGTTAAAATTATTTCTAGAGCTCTGAAAATTCCACTAAAAATCATGTTAATGAATTTCGACACGTAGAACTCAAGAAAAATTCCACATGTCAAATCCGATTATTATTTGCATTATTTCCTTAGGGTTTACTCCTGATTTGCACCGGTATTTTCTTAGGGTCATTTATAAAAATTACAATTTTGGCTTGGGAGGAAAACTTCGGGGTGTGACATACCACTTATGTTTTTCTCTCTGTAGGAGCAATAGGGTTATTATGCTGGTTACTAAACTTGTTAAGGAGATGGAGTAAGTCATCATGAGTTATTAACAAGTTTTACTTCATATGAATTACGCTTTCATTCTTGGATTGATCCGTTTACTATTTCTGCGATTAACGTGGAAATTTTGAGTGCCAAAATAGGGTATAGGACTTATACATTTATGGGCTCAAGAAAAAAGATAGTATCTTTGTGTTCTTACTATCATGCAAAAAGTAAGATATTAATTAATTACTAAATCAATGCATTTAGGGACTTCTTTCTGGACAAGAAGTAGCCGTGAAGAGGTTGGCGAAGGGTTCAAGCCAGGGGCTAGAAGAGCTAAAAAACGAGCTAGTTCTAGTGGCCAAACTTCATCACAGAAACCTTGTTCGCCTTGTGGGGTTTTGCCTGGAAGAGGGAGAGAGGATGCTTGTTTATGAATACATGCCCAATAAAAGCCTCGACTTCTTTCTTTTTGGTACCATTAACAACCTAACTCTGAATCTAGATATACACCCTTCTCATGTGCATCGGTATGACATTATAACAATGAGTTTTTCATCTGGTGTCAATTAATTAGATCCAGAGAAAAGGAGAGGGCTAGACTGGGTGACACGATTCAAAATCATAGAAGGCGTAGCTCGCGGACTACAGTATCTTCACCAGGACTCCCGAAAGAAAATTGTCCACCGTGACATGAAGGCAAGCAACATCTTGCTAGACACAGACATGAACCCTAAGATCGGTGATTTTGGCCTCGCTAGGCTCTTTGGACAGGATCAGACTCGAGATGTCACCAACCGTATCGTCGGGACATTGTAATTAAGTCCAATACTTTACATATTTGTTCTTATATGTAGCTAACAAACTAATCATGTGATTCTATTTGTTGTTGCAAGCAGTGGCTACATGTCTCCCGAATACGTCATGCGTGGACAATACTCGACAAAATCTGATGTGTTCAGCTTTGGTGTTCTCATCATAGAGATTGTGACAGGCCAGAGGAACAACAGACCCTATTTGTTTGAACAAAACGAAGATATAATAAGCACAGTGAGTATCCCTGCTAGCTCATACAGCACTATGTGGTACTATTTGCGTTTGCAGGTAGCCACAAATACATGTTGGTGCCGCTGAAAACTGAAGAGATATGCCTGTAACCAATGGTAGGTGTGGAGGCGCTGGTCAGATGGAACAGTTGCAAAGATGATCGACCATTCGTTGGGAAAAAATTACCCTGAAGCCGAGGTGCTGAAATGCATCAATATCGGCCTCCTGTGCCTCCAGGAGAACCCCGTAAATCGACCTACAATGGCGGACATCATGGTTTTGCTTAACAGCAATGCTAGCAGCTCTATACCGGCTCCTGCAGCTAGGCCAACATTTTCCTTCGATGGGAGCTCTCGCTACTCTCAAACCATCACACAATTATCTGCCAGGTAGTAGGGGCTAAAGAAGAGCAGCAACAACAGTTATTGCCTGTTTTATTTTGTATTGGAATCGTACACATTATCAATATGTAATCTAAACAGCAAATTCAGTTATAAATAGGGTAACAAAAGGGAAAAAATAGTCATCCTAGACATTCCAGTGAAATTCATGGGTCAAAACCGCCCATTCAAAAGCCAGCCTATCATGCATTGTACAGCTGTTGCCGGATAGTCAACAGTACACGCATGGATTACTCCTATGAGACCTGGTCTAATGGGTCTATCCCCACATTCATGAGACCTGATCGCATAAGATTGTTCTCCCTTGTAATGCGCTACCAGTTAGGGCTATTCAAAAAAGCTCGAGGCTCGCAATCTGCTCAAGCTCGGATCGAGCTCCAAACGAGCCGAGCCCGAGCTTCTCCCAAAGCTCGCGAGCTTCTTCGAGCCGAGCTCGAGCTTTCAACGAGTCTAGTAATATATGATTTTTGTTGTTATTTAATAAATTAAGATATCAAATATATTATTTGTATGTCTTGTATTGGTCTTGTATATTTATTTATTCTTTTTTCTTCTTCTATTAATATGATGAACTAGAAATTAATTATTTTTAAAAGGTTATCCTTGAAATATACCTTGTTCTACTTAAAAATCAAGCTTAGTAGTCGAGATCGAGCTAGATCGCACTCGAACTGAGCTTGTTTGAAAGCTCGAACATTTTATAGGCTCGGCTCGAGCTTGTATCGAGCTCGAGCCTAGGCAGGCGAGTTCACTTGAGCTCGGCTCGTTGACAACCCTACTACCAGTGGAGCTATTCACACCAACAACATATCGATAGTATCGACTCACTTGGAATTGCAGCACACAGAACTTCACTGAAAGTAGTGAACTTGGAGGAGGATTTGTTGTTGTTTACTAGTACAAGGTAAACCCCAATTGAGGTGTCAAAAACGTTCCTACAAAGCTATGTTAACTCGCTTGAACAAGTGAAGAATAATCCCCAAGCAGATTTGGTTACAGGGAAGCAGGCTCTGTATCATGAGGAGCGAAAGATCCAAAAACCCAAGCAAAACCCTTTGAATAATAATTGTCGATGGGTGAAGCTAAAACAGGGCTGGATGAAACTGAATGTAGATGGTTCTATTGATATAAATTCTGAAAAATGGGGCATCGGTGTCGTTCTAAGGAACAGTATGGGGATGGTAATTTTCTCTGCTTGTGGTTTTGTTAATCAGTGTAGCAGCCCGTTGGAAGCAGAGCTTCTTGCCTGCAGGGAAGGTATTAGCTTGGCTCTTCAGTGGACTCTCCTTCCATTCATAGTGGAGACAGACTGCTTGGTGGTGAAGAACCTCATAGAGTCAGCTGTGCAAGGGCGCTCTGAGCTTACATTCATCGTCAGGGGCATTGGTGAATTGTTATCAGGAAACAGGGAAGTGATCATCGTGAAGATTCAGCGGAATCAGAATAATGTTAGCCATACTCTAGCTAATAGAGCCCGGTGTGAATCTCTGACTGAGTTCTGCCCGGATGATAAATGTAATTTCATCGCACATTTTGTTTGTGAGGACTCTTTAGCTGAGTAATATAATCCCCATTTCCCCCGCAAAAAAAACTGATATACAATCTTTTTAGGAGTGTATAATTCTATCATGTAAGGATCCCCCTGCCTGATGGTCAATATACAGTAGTAAAGAGGCCTCTCACTGAGTTCAGGAACAAGGGAGACTGAAAAATGAGCTGGTTCTGGTGGCCAAGCTTCAGCACAAGAACCTTGTTCGGCTTGTCGATGTTTGCCTCGAGGAGCATGATAAGATGGTCATCTATGAATACATGCCCAACAGAAGCCTAGATACCATTCTCTTTGGTTCATTTTCCATTGCAAAAATTTCAGCAGTACAACTGTACAAGTGTACAACACAAGTTCCACATGCAAGTCATGCCTCTCATAGATGTTTCACAACTTGAATGACAGATCATGCCAGTAGTTTGCTAGACTGGGGAAGAAGGCTGAAGATCATACACGGGATCGCTCGGCATTTGCAGTATCTCCATGAAGAATCACGGCTGAAGATCATTTACCGGGACCTCAAGACAAGCAAGTGAAGCAACGCTATGCTAGACTCCAATTTAACCCCAATATTTCGGACTTCGGTTGGCGAGGCTCTTTGGACGCGACCAGTCGGAACATAGTAAGAACATTCAGTAGTATATCATATGGGAGATGGATTTCATCTCATTTTCTTGCATATCACCTAAAAAATAAAAAAAAATTGATAATATAGATTTACATGAAATATATTGTTCCAAAAATATGCAAAGGCCAAATTTGACTTCTATAGGTTGCAAAAAAAATAAATTAAATTAAAAATAGTTAATGTATATTCGTAGTTATATTTGTTATTTTCGTTACAACTTGTAGAGGTTTGATTTGAATTTTTCATGTTTAAGAAGTGATATATTTCGTATTAATCTGCCTTCTCTTTTTTTTTTCAATTTTTAAATTTTTTATAACTATTTGGGCCTATTTGTTTTGAAGAAATTCTAACCCATAGGAATAAGAAAAGTGGAGGGACAGTAATGCATGCATACTTCAATCCATAGGAATTTTCAAAAAGGTTTGAGTGGATGAAAAGTTTCCTAGGTTTTCTCTCTACAACTTATAGGAAAGGAAAATTTCCTTTGGTTTTCCTATATCTACATTCATATAAACCAAATGAAACTCATAGGAATTAATCCTCGGTTATCTAAATCTTTCGGTTTTCCTCCAAAACGAATGGACCCTTAGGTGGCATGCAAGGAATAAGGGAATATCTTTTCAAGGGATGAAAACAATTTCCCCATCATATGCCCTATATGTCGGAGTGGATTTTAGAAGATATGGTACCAGTGTCTATATTTTCACAGTAAGATACATGGCACTAGAGAACACTGTACGCAGAATCGGTAGGCAACAGTAGCACACCGCCCACGTGCGGCGCGAGTGCGGGTCTACTCACCACTCCCAAGTCCCATCTGTAGAATCATATGATGGTTTAATTGTGGTGATGAACAATTGTCAAAGGCAAGTGTTTATAAAAATAGGTGATATGTTTTCGGATGGTAAACGGTGCGGTGGTTGGCACTGGGTTGCCGGTCTAACCAGGCGGGTGCCGCCGGTCAAACCGGAGGTGTCCGGGGCTCTGGGCAGTCTGACCGGGTTGCCTGACGGTCAGACCGGCAGACTCCAGTAGGGAGTCGATTTCGGGTTGTTTTTTTGGAATTTCTAGATTGATTCATGGATATGATTTCTAGATGATTTTTATTCGTATGTGATGCTATTGTGTGCTGATGTGAGTCAAGTTGGTGTGAACTTGTATATGGAATTTATTTGTTGTTCATGTGTAGGTGTTGCTTGAGGTCATGGGAGTATAGCCGGTGATGGATCGGGACTAGGCTTAGGGGAAGTTGAGGTCTAGACAGTTAAGGATATTACACAGGATGCTCAGGTTAGAAAACAATGCACATGGAGGTGAAGGTTTCCATATGGCATACACATAGTGTTGTGTGCGTATGGAAAGAGGAGTCAAATTTGGATTGGATTCTAAGTTTGAGAAGATTGGAGTTTGTAAAGTTTGTTTTTTTGTACGGGAAGGTTTCCTAGGGGATTAGGACTTCTTGTATGAGTTGGATTTGTGGCTAGGGACCGCCACGTTATGGGTATAAATAGATGAGGGGTTGAGGCTAGAAGTAGATTGCCTATATCGACTTTTTGAAAGAAAAAAGTTAGGGTTTACTTTGAGGTTTCAATCCTAGTTCATGAGTTGAGAGATTGGGCGTGGCTAATGGGCAGGTGGTCGTCCACAGCGATCACACCCCATCCCCAATACGCTTCTCTCCCCTTTCCTCCTCTTCTTCTCTTCCTACTACACCATAAATTTAAAAAAAATAAAAAAAACAAAGTTGGAAAATTTATGTATAGAAATACTATATATAAAAAATATTTGAATTCAAATTCAAATTTGAAACGGATATGTAAACTTTTGACTTATAAATTTTAGATCTATAAACTAATATTTGAATTCACATTCAAATTTGAAACGGGTATATAAACTTTTGACTTATAAACTTTGGGTCCATAGACTTTAAGTGTATAAACTTTATATGTATAGAAATATTATATAAAAAAATATTTGAATTCAAATTCAAATTTGAATCGGATATATAAACTTTTGACTTATAAACTTTGGATCTCTAAACTTTAGATATGTAAACTTGAGGTATACAAACTTTAGGTGTATAAATTTACTAAAATAGAAAAGTAATGCGGTGTCAAAAAAGGAAACCACGTGGAGGAGGGGAGGTGATCGCTAGGGGCGATTGACTCCCGTTAGCCTTGTCGTGAGAGATGAGTGCTTTAGATGCACTTTATAAACATATATTGATGCAAAGTTGATCTACTTTCAAGAGTTTCATCAATGCGTGTTTTTGGGGATCTCGGCAGTTTGACCGGAGGCAAATCGATGGTCTAACCAGCGGGCGGTCAACCAGTTGCTGGAAGGCGGTCCAACCAGCGACAAGGCGTCGGTCAGACCGGCGGTGTGCAGGCGGTCAGACCAGCAACAACACTGCAGTCAGACCGGAGTTGATCTGACGGTTAGACCGACTACGTCGAGATCTCCATTGATATGAGGGTAACTTTTATTTCCGTTAAAAATTTTTGGGTTTTTGGTTTTCCCTAGCATTCACTCTCTCTAGTAGGTTTGTTTGATATTGTTCGATACTACACCGTCGATGGCGCTGATTGCCTACTTGCTCCATTGTTGCAGCCCCGCCGTCATCAGTCATGGATCTGGATCAGCTGCAGTCAACTTAAAGCAATAGCAGTGCACACTATCTATTAACTTATTAAAGGAATAGAAAAAGGAGCCTCTATGTTCGCTCTCATAGCCTAGAAATTCTCATATTAATCGGAGAAAAGGAAAAATAGAGTCCATATAGAAATACAATTTAGAAATAGTTGAAATTCGGAATTTAAAAAAACAAGGAATATTGGAAGAGGAGACTAGAGTCCATATAGAAATACAATTAAGAAATAATAAAAATTCGGAATTAAAAATAAGGTATATTAGAAGTAGAGTATAGAGTCCATATAAAAATACAATTAAGAAATAATAGAAATACGGAATT